GATTCATGTTGATATCTCTTATAATTTTAGAGTAATGTTCCCAGACAAAGTTCAAAGTTTTCAAAATGAACAAAGGGCAATAACTCCAAAAGTAGGCAAGACAGTGTTACAGTTCTTGTGCACTGCAACTTACTCAATGAGATCTATCTACCTACAAAGTTTCATGTTGATATCTCTTATACATTAAGAGTTATGTCCTGGAACAAGTTCAAAGTGTAAAAATAAACAAAGGGGGATAATTCAAAATTAGGCAGGCAGAGTTAAGGTTCTTGTTCACTGCACACCTACTCAATGAGATCTATCTACCTACAAAGTTTTCATGTTGATACCTCTTTTACTTTTAGAGTTATGTCCCGGACAAAGTTTCAAAGTGTAAAATAAACAAAGGGGGATAAAAAATTCAAAAATAAGACAAGGCAGAGTTACGGTTCTTGGTTGCACTGCACACCTACTCAATGAGATCTATCTACCTACAAAGTTTCATGTTGATACCTCTATATACTTTTGAGAGTTATGTCCCGGACAAAGTTCAAAGTGTAAAATAAACAAAGGGGGAATATTCAAAAATTTAGGCAAGGCAGAGTTACGGTTTCTTGTGCACTGCACACCTACTCAATGAGATCTATCTACCTACAAAGTTTCATGTTGATACCTCTTATACTTTTAGAGTAATGTCCCGGACAAAGTTCAAAGTGTAAAATAAACAAAGGGGATAATTCAAAAATCAGGCAAGGCAGAGTTACGGTTCTTGTGCACTGCACACACTACTCAATGAGATCTATCTACCTACAAAAGTTTCATGTTGATACCTCTTATGCTTTTAGAGTTATGTCCAGGACAAAGTTCAAAGTGTAAAAATAAACAAAAGGGAGATAATTCAAAAATTAGGCAAGGCAGAGTTACGGTTCTTGTACACTGCACACCTACTCAATGAGATCTATCTACCTACAAAGTTTCATGTTGATACCCTCTATACTTTTAGAGTAATGTCCCGGACAAAGTTCAAAGTGTAAAAAAAACAAAGGGGGATAATTCACAAATTAGGCAAGGCAGAGTTACGGTTCTTGTGCACTGACACACCTACTCAATGAGATCTATCTACCTACAAAGTTTCATGTTGATACCCTCTTATACTTTTTAGAGTTATGTCCCGGACAAATTTCAAAGTGTAAAATAAACAAAGGGGGGTAATTCAAAAATTAGGCAAGACAGAGTTACGGTTCTTGTGCACTGACACACTACTCAATGAGATCTATCTACCTACAAAGTTTCATGTTGATACCTCTTGTTTTTTCAAAGTTATGTCCCGGACAAGAAAAGGGACGGAACAAGGCGGCGACTATATGCTCCCCGAAATTTTTTCGGGGAGCATAAAAATCCCTAGCAGGATTCAAAACCCACAGCAGTAAGGGGAAAGTGGCTTGAAGTCAGTGACCTTAACCATGTTGCCAAACATAATGTTGAAGAAAAAAAACAAAAAAAAACAAGATTTGCATTTGTGAAAACTATTTGCCCCGCATTAATACAACATTTAAATAGTAGTGTAGAACAATTTTTTTTTTTGTTTCCTAATACAATTTTGAAGATTCATAATGCATAGATCCCTAACCCTATCTAATTTCTTATTATCAGATAAGTGGTTAAATCGTGTTAACTCAATAAAAGATAAGAGAAATTATCAAGCACTCTACAGGATTTGGTGCGAAGTCATATTTCACACAGCCTAAAAATTCATACACATCAAAGACAACAAAAAGAAACACTTTGTCAAAATCTAGGTCAGCGAAATCAAAGTTCACTTTAAAATCTTAACCTGTCCATGGTTCAAATTTCAAAACTGTACATCAAAAGACAAAAAAGTAGGTCACACTCATCACAAAAATCTAAGGTCACCTGATATCACAGTTCAATTTTACAAACTAAAACTGTGCACATGGTCAAAATTTCATTGCTGTACATTAAAAGACAAGAAAGTAGGTCAGTTTCCCCTTGGGCAAGGCAAAATTTTGGACCCAAGGGTTTAATTCAAAACCAATCTTGATACAGGTCCACCAAAATAACATTTCAAGTCAAAATATCTAAGCTGTAGCTTTCTCCCATTCAGAAAACATTTGTTTTATTTTTACTATGTGTACATAATCACTGACCCGTCGGCAGGGCCAATTTTGAAAACCAGGGGAAAATTTGAAACAACTTTGGAATAGGACCTATAGATGATATTATATAGCAAACATCAAAGCTGTTTGCCTTGTACCTTCAGGCAAAAAATATTTTTTTATTTTTTTTACTATATGTACATAATGAAAATCAATGACCCCCTGGGCAGAACCAATTTTGACCCAAGGGCTATAATTTGAACAATCTTGGTAAAGGTTCACTTCGCAAAGTCTCATGCCATATATTTAACCTCTTAGCCTTTGTCAATTTAGAGAAGAAGATTTTTCAATTCAGAGAAGAAGATTTTTCAAGTCTTTACTTTATACATATAAGGAAAACTATCGCCTCTGGGGCAGCTGGGCAAATTTAACACTAGGGCATAATTAAAACAACTTTAGTAGAGAAAACCCATAGATGATATTATATACCAAATATCAAAGCTCTAAGCCTTGTACCTTCAGACAATAAGATTTTAAAATTTTTTACTATAATGTACATACTGAAAATCAATGACCCTGGGGTGGGGCCAATTTTTGACCCCAGGGCTATAATTTGAACAATCTTGCTAGAGGTTCACTACAGAATGTTTCATTCAAAATAAATCTTAACTCTAGCTTTTTGTAAATTTAGAGAAGATGATTTTTTTAAGTTTTTTACTACATATAAGGAAAACTATCGCCTCTGGAGCAGCTGGGCTAATTTTGACACTAGAGGCAAAATTTGAACAACTTTGGTAGAGTACCTATAGATGTTATCATTAAACAAAAAATTAAAGCTCTAAGCCTTGTACCTTCAGACAATTAGATTTTTTAACTATATGTATATATTGAAAATCAATGACCCCCGGGGGGGGGCATTTTTAACCCCCACGGCTATAATTTGAACAATCTTGCTAGAAGTTCACTTCACAATTTTTTATGCAAAATATCAAACCTGTAGCATTTGTCAATTGCTACAAGAATTTTTTTTTAAGTTTTTTACTATAAGTTTTTACTATATACATTATAACGAAAACCAATGACCCGGGCGGGGCCGATTTTGGCCCCAGGGCTATAATTTTATCAATCTTGGTAGAGGTGTTCAGACAATGCTTATGCAAAATATCTAAGCTCTAGGCCTTTTGGGTCTTTACAAGAAGGTATTTTAAGTTTTACTATATGTACATATATAGTGAAAACCAATGACCCCCCGGGTGTGGGGCCGATTTTTGCCCCAGGGCTATAATTTGATCAATCTTGGTAGAGGTGTTCCAGACAATGCCTTATGCAAAATATCTAAGCTCTAGGCCTTTTGGGTCTTTACAAGAAGGTATTATATGTACATATATAGTAAAAAACCAATGACCCCCGGGGCGGGGCCGATTTTGACCCAAGGGCTATAATTTGAACAATCTTGGTAAGGGTCTACCAGACAATGCCTTATGCAAAATATCTAAGCTCTAGGCCTTTTGGGTCTTTACAAGAAGGTATTTTTAAGTTTTTACTATATGTATATATAGTGAAAATCAATGGACCCCCGGGCGGGGCCAATTTTGACCCCAGGGCTATAATTTGAACAATCTTGGTAGAGGTCTACCATACAATGCCTTATGCAAAATATCTAAGAGTCTCTAGGCCTTTTGGGTCTTTACAAGAAGATTTTTTAAATTATTCTTATAATTCCTTTTGGTTGCCATGGCAACCAGATTTCTGCATGGAATTAAATTCTTTGAACAACTTTTGGAAGCCCTCACCCAAGGATCAATCCTGCCAAGTTTGGTTGAAATTGGACTGGTGGTTTTTCATAAGAAGATTTTTTAAGTTCACTATATAATCTATATAACACACACACACACAAACAAACACACACACAGGTGAATCGCTATATGCCACCGCATCGCAAAATGTTTCCCGGTTGGAAAAAAAAAAAGATGTAGTTTAAGTTTGCAAAAATAAAAAATCTTTGTTTTTTGGGGTTGGGGACTAACAAAAAAAACCTTTCCCAAAGGGAAAAAGGGGGTTTAAAAAAATTTTGCCAAATTTCCAAACCCAGAGTATTTTTTGAAGAAATTTTTTAAAAAAAATACTAACTTCCCTTCTACTAAACCCAAAACAACATCCCCCTTTTGAAAGCTGAAATTTTTGATACTCAGCTTTTTATGTTTTTTTATAGGTCTGTTGAAAACAAAAAAACCCCAAATATTTTAAAATTGCACTGAAAGGGACAATGGTTTTCCCCCTAAAATTTAATGATTTTCCTTTGCTGGGGGGAGAAGACAAAAAAATTTTTTAACAACCAACTCTAAATGCCAAATACATTTAATAATAATGAGGGAAAATTCTTTTTCCCATTTATTTAAAATTTTTGTGATATGACAATAAAATATAAAGGATACCAGAAAAAAAACAAATAAATCCCTGCAACAATTTTAAAATCTAAGAGTTGGATGGATTCCAAATCTCACAAAATAATGAGATTTTTCTATTCTATAAGGCAAAGACAGCTTCTGGTGTAATGGTAACCTCCCTATACAAGTAATAAATCTCCCTTGACAAGTAATGTCTAATATCTTGTAAAAATAACCACTTGTCTAATATAAAATAAACATTTTTATCTATTAACTAAACTAACATGCATCTTAATTACTTTTTGATTGTCTTAATCTTTTAGATTCCTATGTATTTCTGAATATAAAAACATTGAATATAAAATAATCAAAACATCTAACTGCATGAACACAAACTTTCTGTGCTTTGCTAGGGCAGGTCTATATACAGCTTAGACCAGTAAATTCACACTCACTTTTATGTGTCATAAACACATGTCCTGGTACATCTTTCATTCTATCATTTTCTTATAACATGTATAAGTATTCCTTATCATTTAAGTTATTAACATGTTTTAAATGTTAAATTTCATACTGTAATTTTAGTTGATTTTTCTTGTCACTATTTATAAATCTGTCTTTCAATATGTTTTATTTAAGAATTATAAATGTGTGATATTGTTACTTATGTTGTACATGTACAATATTATGGCTTACTGTTAAGAATATGTATAATAGTATAGCTTGCTGTAATGTAGGAAATTTTTGAAAAGGTTGTTAACTTGGATAATATAATCACCAGTTTTGATAAATGCCCTCTTAAATGCCATTTCTAATAATACAATTCATTAAGATAAGATTCTAAAAGTCAGCAAACAGAAACAAGTTTTGTTTGTAAACACAAATGCTCCCCTGACCTAAATTGACTAATGTTTAACAAAGGTCTAGTGAAATTCCCTGAACGTTTGAAAATTTTACCATAAATGTCAAGGTCATTTAGGAGTTGAAGGTTAAATATCAAAGGTCATGTATCAATACATCATAACAATTCTCATTCAGTGGCATAAATGTATCCAAGTATGAAGGTTCTTTGGAGGCCATTAAAATGAAGACATTATTTGAAAGAGTAAAAGTTGTCTGTACAAACAGACATTATCATCGGTACAAACAGACAGATAAACAAAAAATGATCATAATCTATCAACTAAAGCAAAAGTATGAACATTTTCCAATTAAATTTTATAACGTATTAAAAGAAGAAAATATTTACACAATAATTTACAGAATAATATATCCTGTAAGCTTTAAAATATTGCCCTAATATTGTACAGAATCAACTGTATTCTAGAGTTAACTGTATTCTAATACACTATTTAATCTTTCTGATTGCATACACTGGATCGCCAACTTGAACTGTACCGCACACATCTGGTGCCGCGTTGATACCGAACACACACTCGTTGTATTTGTCATATGGGGGCACTGATCCGCGTATCCTGGAAAAAATGATATAAAACATGTGACATTTTTCAATACATGAATAATGAGGCAGGAATCTGAGGCCGAGTGGTTAAGGTTGTTTCCTTCAACTTGCCCATAATCACTTTGGGTTTGAATTCCGGCAGAGACATACAAATATTTCCAGGACTGACAATAACATAAGGGGTAACAATATAATTTTACTGTTGTTTTTTTTTTTATGAATTGAATTTACTTTTTGCTTCAGATAGCTTAATACTTCTTCATCCATTTGGGACTAAACAATTAAAATTTTTGATCTGTAAAGAATAAACAGCCTGGTCAGACTACATTTTATGCATTTTACTGATGAGGAAAGCTATAAACTTTTCGTTCCTGCATTCTGGTTGTTATCACTGCTGCATTTGACCTTACCTTTGCAATGTTTTCAAAGGCTCACCATCCTCACTTTTAACACCTTTCTCTGGATCAACTGTAGTCAACAAACATCTGAAAGTAGACAATACAAGTTGAAAAACAAACCCATCTTCTTTTATTACTTATGGTCATCAAGGTCAGACATGTACAACATTCAAACAATACTGAAATCTTGACTAAACAAGAGCCCGGTTTGAGCCGGGTGATGCTCCCCGAATAGGTTTTGGACACAGAAAGTACACCTCTTGTAGTTTCAGAGTTATGTCCCTGGAAAAAGTTCAAAGTGCAATAATTCCAAAATTAGGCAAGGCAGAGTTACTGTTCTTTGCACTGCACTTCTAATCAATGTGATCTATCAACCTACAAAGTTTCTTGATGATATCTCTTATGATTTCCGAGTTATGTCCCGGACAATTTCAAAAAGTAAAAATAAACAAAGGGCAATAACTCCAGAATTAGGCAAGGCAGAGTTATGATTCTTGTACACTGCACATCTACCCATTGAGATATATCTACCTACAAAGTTTCATGTTGATATCTCTTATAGTTTTACAGCTATGTCCTGGACAAGATTTTTCTAAAGGGGAAGATAATTCAAAAATGAGGCTTAACAGAGTTATGGTTCTTTTGCACTGCACCTCTACTCAATGAGATCTATCTACCTACAATGTTTCATCTTGATATCTCTTATAGTTTTAGAGTTATGTTCCGGACAAAGTTCAAAGTGTTAAAATAAACAAAGGGCAATAACTCCAAAATTAGGACAAAAAGAGTTATTGTTCTTATACACTGCACATCTACCCATTGAGATCTATTCACCTACAAAGTTTCATGTTGATATCTCTTATAGTTTTAGATTTATGCCCCGGACAAGATTTTTCTATAAGGGGAGATAATTAAAAAACCGGGCAAAATAGAGCTATGGTTCTTTGACTCTGCACTCCCCCTCAATGCCCTCTACCACTGTATGAGGTTTCAACAAATTATCTCCACGGGTTTTCAAGTTATGCTCCGGACAAGAAAACGGACGGACAGACGGAAGGACGGACAGACGGACAAGGCACCGACTATATGCTCCCCCGAAATTTTTCGGGGAGCATAAAAAAAGAATGAAATATTGACTTCAAACAAGCCAGAAATCTTGACAACAAATAATACTGAAATATTGACTACAAACGAGCCTGAAATCTTGACTACAAATAATACTAAAATCTTGTCTCAAACAAGACTGAAATTTTGACTACAAATAATACTGAAATCTTGTCTTCAAACAAGCCTGAAATCTTGACAACAAATAATACTGAAATCTTGTCTTCAAACAAGACTGAAATTTTGACTACAAATAATTCTGAAATATTGACTATAAACAAGCCTAAAATCTTGACTACAAATAATACTGAAATATCGACTATAAACAAGCCTGAAATCTTGACAACAAATAATAATGAAATATTGACTACAAACAAGTACAAATAATACTGAAATCTTGTCTTCAAACAAGACTGAAATTTTGACTACAAATAATACTGAAATATTGACTATAAACAAGCCTGAAATCTTGACTACAAAAAATACTGACATATTGACTACAAGCAAGCCTGAAATCTTGACAACAAATAATACTGAAATATTGACTACAAACAAGCCTGAAATCTTGACTACAAATAAAACTGAAATCTTGTCTTCAAACAATACTGAAATATTGACAACAAATAAACTGAAATATTGACTATACTGGTTGGAGAGATAACTCCGACACTAAATCACATATTTTTTGTAATATCTTAATTATCTTCCTGTATATTTTAAATATTGAACCACCTAAATAAAGTTCAGTTCAAAGACTTTACATGACACTACAAAAATTATGTATGAAAATGAGAATTGGTACTTCTTTAAGGTCCTGAATGGGGTATACAAAACATGGTCTTTTTAACCCTCAACAGTAGATAAAGTCGACACTTAAATTTTTAAGTAAAAAATGACAGGAAAATCAGCATCATTAATTCATTTTTACATCTTATATGCTTTATCTATTTTTTGTTGATGTAAAAACAAGTTTTCAAAAATATTTCCAAAGTCAGTGGCCTGTGGTCAATACATTTCTTACTACCTCATTGTAATTTAGTAAAAAGAACGTTTTGAAGCAGTTTTTGCCAACGAAAAGTTTCGGTTAATTGAAAAATATTAAAAAGTTTACCAACTTACAAAAAATCATCATATTCTGTCCTGCTCCTATACTACTAGGTGACCATATGCTTTTTTGTTGAAAAATAAAATTATAAAAATTATATTTATCAAGTGTTGGGGTTATCTATGCGTCGGAGTTATCTCTCCGACCAGTAAACAAGCCGGAAATAGTGGCTACAAATGATACTAAAATCATGTCTTCAAACAATACTGAAATCTTGACAACAAATAATACTGAAATCTTGACTACAAATAATACTGAAATCTTGTCTTCAAACAAGACTGAAATTTTGACTACAAATAATACTGTAATTTTGACTACAAAAGAGCCTCAAATGTCTACTACAAATAATACTGAAATCTTGTCTTGAAACAATACTGAAATTTTCACTACAAATAATACTGTAATTTTGACTACAAACAAGCCTCAAATGTCTACTACAAATAATACTGAAATCTTGTCTTGAAACAATACTGAAATTTTCACTACAAATAATACTGTAATTTTGACTACAAACAAGCCTCAAATGTCTACTACAAATTATACTGAAATCTTGTCTTCAAATAATACTGAAATTTTGACTACAAACAAGACAGAAATCTTTACTACAAATAATACTGAAATCTTGTCTACAAACAAGACTGAAATTTTGACTACAAAACAAGACTGAAATTTTGACTACAAAACAAGACTGAAATTTTGACTACAAAACAAGACTGAAATTTTCACTACAAACAAGACAGAAATCTTTACTACAAAGAATATTGAAATATTTACTACAACAGAGTATGATCTAATGGAATTTTACCAGAAGTTTCTTTAGAAGAGTTAATTCAGAAATATGATAAAGTTACATTTCCAAATTTTTAGCCCATTTATGATAAATATTTTATTTGCAGCCATGCATACCAAAACCTGAATCCAAATAATAAAGTAGTTGTGCAAGAACAAATTGCTATAGATAAAATAGATAAGCTTATACACACAATCAAATCCATTCATGGAACCAACAAGAGATAGTGAGTGTAAATTTTCTTGCTAAAGCAAACAACAAAATCCTTAGATAACTACATTGTAGTTAAGTCAGATGTGTTAACCACTGAGCAACACTGCCATTATTTCTACAATTAACAAATTCTTCATGCCTGCCAATAACATGGTAGAAGTATTGTCATTTTGATTTTCAACCATGTAGTTATTATAATCCTCAGGAATGAACTGGTTCTTGAACCCCAGACCTCAAGCTTAATAGACAGATACTCAATGTTATAACTGAAGGGTTAAGCCAACAGCAAGGTTGCTGGAAGTGGCCCATAACTATATTCACTACACTACACATAAATTTTCCCATCACATAAGGTGCAATAACAATGTTATGCATAAACATATCAGTTTAAAGTATCTACTTGAAGGCATAATAATGTACGTAAAACAATGAACATTAAAGCTGTCATCATGTTTGTTTTTATCACAGGCATGCTAAAAATATCATTTCAGTTCTACTGAAATAAACAGTTTCTTTTTTTTATAATTTTGTTCGGTTTTCGTTGCACCAACACAGTAAAGGTCACTTAGCGACTTTCCAGCATTACTGGTAGAGGAAGACCTCAGATGCCTTTCCGTGCATTATTTTAGGCATGAACGTGCACATGAGTAGAATCACAACATTTCATAAAATAGTTGGAGAGCTTTTTACATAAAAGTCCTTGCTGGGATTTGAACCTAAAGCGGTGAGGGGCAAGTGGTTTGAAGTCAACGACCTTAACCACTCAGCCATGGACGCCCCTAATATGTTTATACAGATCAAAACTCACAAATCTATAGCTTATGAACCCGAGTTTTGTAACTGACACAAACATGTGATTTAAATTAATAACTCACAAACTTATGGTCATGATCTCAATCTATAAATGCTAATGAGGATGGCTTAAAGATAACAGTTAAAGATAACAAACCTGTCACAGGCAGACAAACATCTCATCTGGACTTTGTCTCCTATAATAACCTCCTCCCAACCATCCTAATTAACACAAGTAGTCAATTATTAACCCAAAGATACAAAAACACAGGGATTCATGACTAGGTTGGAAGCAAAGGCATCAGATATATAGAAAGAAACAAATGAAAAATAAAGCTCAAGGAAAATGCAGTAAAGTTAACATTAGAAACAACGCAATGCGACAAAACCAGGTTTTCAATGTTTATGTTTCACAGAAGCTTCATGATCAAGTGCCCTGGTGCATTTTGTCAGCGTTTTGCAATCTGAACATTATTTGGGGACATATTGGCTTTTTAAATTTTTTTACTTATATATTGTATCACATTCCTATAAATTTTCTCCCTAAAATACACGCAAATCTTGAAGTGCGAATAAGCTCAATGGATAGAAAATTCCGTATTATGTCAGTGACATTATTAATACGATACCATATATGGAAGTGCTGGACTATTTTTGATGTTGGTTCCAATTTTAGCTGCGTATAACACATTTAAAAACAGGAACCAAAATTATGGAAGGCGTGGTCAGTTTTGCAAAAATTACATATTCATCCGTCATTTATGAATGACAGCTACATTTCATTTCCTGAAATTACCGATAGAAGTGAAGTATATTGAAACTCCTTTTTACTTAAAATGATAAGGTATATAATAAAAGGAAAATTATGTAGTGGCAGCTTTCTGGGTCCATGTATTTTGCTACTCGCAACGTTGGAAAATACAAAGCCTCAGAAAGCTACTACAACATAATACTCCGTATATATCTATAATTGATGAAAATTAATTTGTATCTTTCATGTTTCTACAGATTTAAAATGCTTATTGTATCTTAAATTAGATACCTATTATTACAAACAATAAACTTCAGAATAAATAAACTTTATTCATAATAATAATCTATTCATTAGATTATAGTAGTATATTATGCTGCTTGATTATTCTGTTTGCTTTGTACAGTTTACTTGTTCATGATTTACTAAATGTATGCATCATTTATTATGCTTTTATATATTATACATTATAATAGCATAGCAGAAAACAGAGCTATCTGTGAGTGACAATGATTTCTTCCCATAACACATCTTTTCCCAAAACTCAAAATTCTAGGCTAAAAATTGCAAAAAAATCTGTCAAAATGTTAGACAGTGTTATAAGAAAGCTTCGATGAAAGTTTAGTCTAAATTGCATGAGAAATGTAGTAGGTTTTAAAAAAACAAACAAAAAAAACCCAAAAAACAACAAAGGGCCATAAATCCATCAAAAATGTTTTAATGGTAAACACTGACAGCACATGTATGTGTCAGGACATGTGATGATAAAGCTCCTGTTGAAGTGTAGAAGAAGTTATGCACAGAAGAAATTGTTAATATACCCGTCATTCAACCTGCCTGCCGAGTCGCCGACAAAACCCAATCTAATAACTAGACTTTTCCTTCAAAAAACCTGGTTAAAAATTGTACCAGTTAAGCAAAGTTAATATATGAATATTAGTGACAAGCAAAGCCTGATGGGAACAGTCTTTTCAATTATAATGCAAAGCATGAAAATTCTTGAGTATTTACACCTTGCAAATGTTTTTTTTTAAATTAGGCCTTTACTTGAAAAATTTACAATCTTATAATCTATAGGAGCAAACATACATGCAGACTAACATAGACAAACAAATAAGTATCATACTTGGTTGAATTTCGAAAGATTTAAGAAAGAAAAAGCTTTATACATTGTAATTTATAACTTCTGAAAAAGCAATCTTTAAAGCAGGATTCACAATGCCTATTCCATTCGACAAGCACCCTAATTTATTGAGATGCTATGAGATGCATAGACTCTTGTAATTCAAGCCCATTTAGTCGCCATTTATGATCAAGCAGGGATAAACTGTGACTGCAATTCTTATGCCTCAACCTTTAAAAGCAACACCTCAGCCACAAGGGCTCTTATTTTATAAGATATACACGTACCTACAGAAAATAGTATAGATTTATCGACACAAAATTTTCAAATCAAACTTTCAGCAACAAGTGGAAACAACAAACAGAAAAATGTGCTAATATGCATGCATGCCACATTAATATATCACGGATTTCATTGAATAAGACGACTAGCAAGGTTACATTATAAATGACCGCCAGCATGACAAACTGACCCTTGATTCAAATGATGTCAAAAGACATTAATGTTGTGGTTGATGTTAAAAACAAAAATCTGAACCACACTTGAGATGTTTAACAATTAACAGGAAAGGATAAATAATTGCCATGGTTATTCATCACTTTAAGAGCTAAACAAGGAGCGCCACTATGCGATGAAAACCAGGTTTTCAACAATCAAGTTTTGATGTGACAGCAATCAATAGGTCAAACCAATTGAGAAGAAGCTGAAAATTCTATTGTAAGCAAATGACCTTGACCTTGCTCCCAGATATCTAAGTGGCAATCCAAAGCTGCCACACAGCAAGTTCAGTGTCAAAAGGTCAAAGCAAACTCAAGTTATTACATGAAAACTGAATTTATTACATGAAAACTGAATACATTAACCTTGATCACTGACACCTGGGTAGCAATCCAAAGCTGCATCTTGATATAAGCTATCCATTTACCAAGTTTGGTGTCAATTGGCCAAAGCAAACTCAAGTAATTGAGCGCAAACTGAATTTCTATTTTTAGTAACACTGACCTTGACCTTGATCTCAGACACCTGGGTAACAATCCAAAGCTGCCTCTTGATATAAGCAACCTACACACCAAGTTTGGTGTCAATAGACCAAAGCAAACATAAGTTATTGAGCGAAATCAAAAAGTTGATGTCTGCCCACTGACTTCGGCATTACAATAACCCGGTTTTCGTTGAAAACCTGGTTAAAAACAAATATATGTCCGTTAAAAAAGAATTCATGACATTAAAGGCTGTTTACTCATGCCAGTAGTCATGTTGTTTTGTATAAAGCAGAAAATGGGAAATATAAACAATGATTTGTTTTATACATGTTAATAATGAAATTTTGAGTTTTATATATACTGTTAATGCCATTACCTGTGTCCATGTATCTTTGATATACTAGTAAATGATCTCAAAATTTGTAACTTACCTTTAAAATGGCTAAAATCTTAAATTTCCAGACAACAATGGAAAATTTCCACCGATGCATCTGTAAGCAAGACATTCTCATTGCTTACCAGTTTTCATGTAAACCATTATGTAACTTTCAGGTTTCCATGTGAACCATCTGTAACTTGCAAGTTTCTATATAAACCATCTGTAACTTAACAGTTTCATTGTAAACCAACAGTCTGTAACTTGCAGGTTTCCATGTTTACCATCTGTAATTTACAGGTTTCCATGTAAATCATTTGTAACTTGCCAGTTTTTATGTAAGCCATCTGTCACCAGTTTCATTGTTAACCTTCTGTAACTTAAACAATTTCATTGCAAACCATCTGTAACTTGCAGATTTCCATGTAAAGCATTAATTTTGTAACTTGCCAGTTTCTATATAAGCCATCTGTCACTAGTTTCATTGCAAACCATCTGTAGCTTAAAAAGTTTCATTGTAAACCATCTGTAACTTGCCAATTTTATTGCCATCCATCTAGTACAAGTTTCATTGTAAACCATTTGTAACTAACCACGGAAGCCATTAGTTTAAGTTACTTACCAGCTCCATGTATACCATTCATACCATTTTCCATTTAAAATTGTTACTTACCAACTTCCATGAAAATCATTTGTTTCAAGTTTTTGGTAAATTATCTGTAAATTAAGCCTTTCTTTCTCTTCTTTCTTGTTTTAACAATGAAGTTAAAAACTCTACCTTGAACAGGCATCCAGACATCTCATTTGTACATCTTCTCCAATCAAAATTTCTTCCCAGGTGTCCTTAATGGCGTAGAGGAAAAGTTTTTCTATCAAGCACATGAATGTATGATATGCAGGTTTAATGAACATAATGTGTGATATTATTTCATAAACATACAGAATGATTTGAAATCATTCAAGATCTTTTTCTTTATTTTCTGTACTTAATTAAAGGGACACCACTAAAAATAGCACAAAAATATGACTTTCAACTTGTTTTTGAGTATATTTCCTCATTGTTCATGCTGATATTTGTAAGAATTTTAAATTTACAATTTTAGTCTCTGGACCTCAGTGGAGTTCCTTTAATGCAGGATTTTTTATGTTAATGCCAAATTGTTATTTCCAACCACAATTTATTATAAATTTGATATACAGTTCTAAGAATGACACAATGTTGTGATTTTACCAATCTCATTAAAATCAGGGCTGCGTTTCATGGAGAGTCCTAAGTCTTAAGTTTGTCTTAAGATAAAAATTGTGACAATTTTGCGTTTCAAAGAAAGTCTTTAAAAAGGTCCTAACTTATGACTCCTATATTTATGACCAAAAACAGTCCTAAGTCTAGGAGTGTTTTAAAGGTATCTTAAGATTGTCCTAAGTTAAACCACTCAAAAATCAAACAATTTTTTGTTGAATTTTGTTTTGAAAACTATCTAGAATGATAGATAATGGTCTAACTAAGAAAATAAATCCGAACACCAATATCTTTAATTCAGTCATTAACGCTGTACAGACGTTTAAAGAGTTGTTTACATGACGTCACAATGTAGCGCCAAATATCGCGTGCAAAACAAGACGCATCTATAAATAATAATATTACTGCGCGCTGTACATCGTAACCATTTTTTTACTATGAAATTAAATAAAACGGTTATTTTATCGTTTTTCTTGAAATGTGGTATATATTTTCACTCAACAGGATAAGAGGGCAATACATTACTTTTTATACTTGATATTATCAATTACATAGTAAATCCAATCCGGGATTATGCGCGTGCCATTGTATTTTGTAACTTTTTTCAGGAGAGCGAATTGGTCACAAGTCTTAAGTTTAAGACAAAAGATAGGACAGTTACTTGAAACGGTCTTAAGTGCAAAAACTTTTTCTCCTAAAGTTGGTCATAAGTCCTAGGATTTAGGATAAACTTAGGACTCTCCATGAAACGCAGCCCAGATCATCCCTTCCGCTTTGTTACTCTTAGCTACCTAGCGAAGGGTAGTGGAAACAGTTAGGATATAATTTTAATGAGATTGTGATTTTACTGAACATTGTATCATATGATAAAAAGTCTTTTGAATCTTTTTCAAAAGTGGAATGACAATGATAGAATTGCAGTTTTATATCAAATCTGTAAAGTAATTCCTTTCATCTAATAGACTCATTGCTTACATATAGCAAACATATACGACACTGTAGGCAGAATCTATCTGTGAGAAATACTGTTATAAAAATCTGATCGTCAAGAAATAGTAATTTGTAATTTGTATTTGTATTTAAAGGGACTCCTTTATATTTTTTGGCATGACTGGACTGGAAATAATTTTTTTGAGAATGATGTTCCATTTGATATAGGTCTAGACCTATATCTTGTGTGCAATGCAATTTATTCCGAGTATATTTCTCAAGTACCTTTCGCATATCTTATTGTTTTAAATGCCCCCAATTGATCTATGTCAGAAATTTAAATTTTGTGTTTTTAGGCTTTTGGACCTCAGAAGAGTTAATTTTAAATTACTTAAAATGAAAATTATTTTCAAAATAAAGAAATATGATTTCACACACTTTTTACTGTAGTGCAATTGACTTGCATGATGAATGCGAGAGTATGTTTATGAAACATTTAAATGATATCACATTGCTTTTTAACAGGTTCACTAGCAGACTAACAAATAACTTTCACATGTAGCAATTTCTCTGGTATATTCTTGATTATAAATAAAGCATGAGGTATTAACAATAAGCAAGGAACACAGAGGTGAATCTTTCATCCAATTATTTCAGAAAATACAAGTACAATTACATGTAATCTGGGATGTACTATAACATCGTATTGTATGTTCCAGATGTAATGCATAATTTACTTTGTGATTTATTTTCAAAATTTACAACTTTAAAAATTATTTTTTGTCTTACTTCATATCTAAAGCAGAATTTTAGCATTAAAAGAAGAATTTAAACATCAAAAGACTGAAAAATAATTTTATATCTCTATATATGTATTTCTGTATGGAAAGTTTATTCATTCATAAATTATCAAATTTTTTACATACTGTCCATTATTCATGTTAAGAAAATATAAACATAAGACATATATACCTCTTCAAATGCATCTGTACCGTCAATAACAATGTTTGGACGGAAACTTTTCATAGTTAGAGGTTTCTTCAGTTGTTTGTTAAGAGCTTCTAGCGATGCAGTGGTCAGGAATAGATAGGTCGCCCAGTCCGCATACCCTGACTGTAAAAACATGCATCATTATTATAATAATCATTATCATATGATCTAAATATAGCTGCAATCTCATTAGTCAGAACAGTAGTCAACAGAACTTTTTATAGAATCACTAAGTGAAGTATCATATTCACTGGCTGAATTGGATTTTCCCAGTCAAAGTTGAAGGTCTTGGATATTGACCAATTATGCTAGCAAATAAGTTTGTGAAGTGTCAACCACTTCCTTTCAGTAGTTTTGGAGATAACAATTTGCAAGCAAAAACTTAACCGAAGTGTGACACTAATGCGAATGTCTGGGAGAATACAATAGCTCTCCCTATTCTTTGAATAGTCAAGCTTAAAAACAGCAAAACGTCTTACATAGTCTGTTTCAAGTGTCCTTGTAAACCATGGCTTTGTTTCATTTATAAATTTTCTTCTCTCCAGGTCAGGAGAACAAAACACAATTCTACAGCCTGGTTTTCCCAGGTATTTAGAAATCCATTGTCCAGCTGCATCCCCACAGTCTAAACCTTGTGTGTTACAGTCCCAAACTCTGTAATATATTTTCATTAAATAATCATAACTGGTTAAAAACAGAATTGAAGCAAAATTACTGGTACAAATGAATATAATTTATGACCTACTGAAATGGCAAAATGACATGAGTTTGTATTATCATATATAATGACATGAAATTGTGTTCAAATTCATACTAGTAAGAAAAGTTTCATAACAGCAAAAATAATGGACTAAAACCTTTTAATAAAATCTTATTATTATTATTATCGTATAAGTTTCAAAACTTAGAATATATGAAATATAAACACGAGGGAATAATACTAAATAACACCAGAATATATCTATAATTGTATCGTCTATCACAAGAATATAATGTTAAAAGTAGATTATTGTATCAATCAATTCAATAGGACCCCAACAGAAGGCACCATGCAAAGATTCTGTCAGCAATGTTTGAAGTAACCCTGACTTTAAGTGTCAGAGAAGTAGATGTCTAAGTGTTGAACGGCACCAGACATACAAAGCATCAATCTATCATTTACCCTTATAATGCCAAATATCTTAAATGGACTTAACCATTTTTCGATCTGGAAAAGACCAATCATCATTTTAAAGAAAAATTTAAAAATTCATACTGACTCAACAGTGAACAGTGCTAACCATGATCAGATGGCATGGATGTGCTGGTTGATCTTAGTCTGCACTGGTTGCAAGGGTAAAATCTATTGCCAGCAGACTATTAGAGTCCCGCATCTCCATTGACTGAAAGCTAAATTTACATAAATATGCAACAAGTAAAACTTACGCCACTTTGGATAAATTGTATCTTGTCTTCTGAATGTTTGAACTCAATTTTAGAGGTACCATTCCTGGCGCACTTAGTTCAATCTCCGTCCCCATAACTTTTACTGAAATCAATGCCATTGTAGGCTCCTGCCTCTGTGACAAGAAACGCCCATTGTCTCTTGTTACCATGAAATGCCTATCAAAATATGGAAATAATAACATTTTATGATACATCTTACAGTTTTGGGAGACAAAACCTGAATCAATTATTTTGTCATGTGTATACTTATGAGTAAACATTATTTGCTTCTGATACTTTACGTTTTGTTATAAAACTAATTATGGTTTGAAATGAAAAAAAAAAACTTCAGACACTTTAATTAAATTGCAGAGGCATAAGAAGCTCCTAAAATAGAAAATTTTCCGATCTTGACCCACAATCCCTTGCACGAGTTTAATTGGCTCTTTAAAGTGATCAATTTCCACCTTCTTGTTTTACGTAATAAAATTTGTTTAAATTCTCATCTATTCATGAGAATCGAATAATTCATATCCTCTCTTTTTTTTTTTTTTTTTTTTTTTTTTTACATCTTTGCAACTTCTTTCTTCTTTTTGCTTCTTCTTTACAATACCATATTATGGTAATCAAAAGAAGTAACAAAAAGTAATTTCAAAAATGTAAACAAAACAAATTTTAGATAACATGGCGTCGTACATATAGGTAAATTTTCTCTTGTCTAACATGATCTCAGAAAATCTCACAAAATGTGAACATGCGAGATAATACAGATTTTAAGTGTATGGAGTCTAGTGTTTTTTTTCACCAAAATATTCAGCGAAATTCGGCCCCATTCCCCCTTCAAAATAGTATGTTTTTCCCCCCTCAAAGCAGAAATTTCCCCCTTAACGGCAGCCCAAATTTGCCTGCAATGAATATCATTTTATTTTGCAACTAACTGCCGAAAATTGTTTTATTTTATGCCTGTAAGACTAACTGTTAAGCAAGGTTGTTTACAAATCGTTCTCTGGTAGGTAAGGTAGCTACTTCCGGCGTCCCAACAAGTTTAACATGCGACGCGTCGATACTTTAGATTCGTATATTAAAACAAGAGGGCCATGATGGCCTTAAAGTCGCTCACCTGTATATAGGCCCAAGGAGCGGGGCCAGTTTAAACCCCAGGGCTTTTATTTGAACAAACTTGGTAGACACCCATTAGAAGATGTTTCATGCTAAACATCTAAGGTCTAGCTTGTTGGGTTCTTTAAAAGAAGATTTTTTCAAGTTTTTTTCTTTACATATATAGTTAAAAACAATGACACACCTGAGGCAGGGCTAGTTTTGACCCCAGGGCTTTTATTTGAACAATCTTTGTAGACACTTACTAGACAATGTTTCATGCTTAATATCTGAACTCTAGCTATTCAGGATTTTTCAAAGAAGATTTTTAAGTTTTTGCTATAAACATATAAGGAAAATCAATGTCCCCTGGGACGGGGCCAATTTTGACCCCAGGGCTTTTATTTGAACAAACTTTGTAGACACTCACTAGAAGATGCTTCGTGCTTAATATCTAAACTCTAGCTATTTGTTGTTTTTTTCAAAGAAGATTTTTTAAGTTTTTGCTATACACATATAAGGAAAATGAATGACCCCCGGGGTGGGGCCAATTTTGACCCCAGGGCTTTTATTTGAACAAACTTGGTAGACACTCACTAGAAGATGTTTCATGCTTAGTATCTAAACTCTAGCTCTGCATTCTTTATAAGAAATTTTTTTAAGTTTTTACTATATGCATATAGGGAAAATCAATGACCCCCTGGGGCGGGGACCAATTTTGACCCCAGGGCTTTTATTTGAACAAACTTGGTAGACACCCATTAGATGTTTCATGCCAAATATCTAAGCTCTAGCTCTTTGGGTTCTTTAAAAGAAGATTTTTTTAAGTTTTTTCTTTTGGTTGCCATTGGCAACCAGAGTTCTGCATGGAATGGAATTCTTTGAACAACTTTGTTAAGGCTTCACACAAGGAACATCCCTGTGAAGTTTCATTTTGATCTGCCTTATGGTTTCAGAGGAGATGTCGTTTTAAAAGTGTGAACGGACAACATACGACGGACAAAGAGTGATCCTAATAGCTCACCCTGAGCATATGCTCAGGTGAGCTAAAAAGCAACATATTTTAAACTTGTGTTGCAAGAGCTGCTCCCCTTTTCTACCGAAAAGAAAACAATATAAAACTAGAAATGTGTCCATAGGACACGAGTGCCCCCACCGCGCCACTGTTCTGTCAATCTTATGACTCAGACTCTAGGTCAAATATTTTTTGAAAACTAAAAATCTTTTACTAAGTTAAGGGCAAGAACTTTACAAATACTGTATAAATCCACAAGCAAACCCCAAGGTGCATAAGTACACAGTCATGCTGACCAACATTCTTGTAAACTTTCAGGCCTACAAGTGAAATACTTTTTGAGCTATGCATGAACAAATTGAAAATTGCAAATTTATACTACTGTAACTCAAGGGCAATAACTCTAACAAAACTGAAAAAAATCCACATGCAAAGTCCCAGGCGCATAGCTTCACAGTGATGTGAATCATTATTCCTGTAATTCAGTGATGTTGATCATTATTCCTGCAAAGTTGGTTGATTCTAACTCAAGCACTCAAGGAACAAATAACAACATAATGAAACGGTTTTTACTAAGTCAAGGGAAATAACTCTACAAATACTGGATAAATCCACAAGCGAAACCCCAGGTGCAAAACTACATATGCTGAGCAACCTTCCCGTAAGGTTTAATGACTCTATGTCAAAACCTTTTTGAGTTACATGCATCACAAGTTGAAAATTGCAAAAATTTTCTAAGTCAAGGGCAATAACTCTAAAAATACTAAAAATATCCAGACGAAAATACCCAGGTGCAAAACTTCATATGCTGATCAACATTCCTGTAAAGTTTCATGACTCTAGGTCAAATACTTTTTGAGTTACATGCGACACAAGTTGAAAATTGCAAAACTTTACTAAGTCAGGGGCAATAACTCTAAAAATACTAAAAATATCCAGACAAAAATACCCAGGTGCACAACTACACATGCTGATCAACATTCCTGTAAAGTTTCATGACTCTAGGTCAAATACTTTTTGAGATACATGCGACACAAGTTGAAAATTGCAAAATTTTACTAAGTCAAGGGCAATAACTCTAAAAATACTAAAAATATCCAGACGAAAATACCCAGGTGCACAACTACACATGCTGATCAACATTCCTGTAAAGTTTCATGACTCTAGGTCAAATACTTTTTAAGTTACGTACGACACAAAAGAGAACGGACGGACAAGGGTAAATCTAAATGCCCGGCACAATAAATAAACAAATTCCCCCTCCTATTGCATTTTTCCCCCTCCAAAGGGCACCGACCCCCTTCCCCCAAAAGTGAAAAAAAAACACTGGAGTCATAGCCTGCTCTCCATTTTATTGATATAGCTCTGTGTAAATATCAAACCTGTCTGTTATTCCCTCCACTTTGAGGCCAAATTTGGAGCATTCTGCTTCATCGACATATACACCTTTACATGACTTCACAGGATAGCAGATTAATTCTTTAACTGTTCCAACCAGCTCAAATCTGTCTTGTCTCTTTCTACGAAGCCAATACACTGCCAAATATTTTGCAGTTGCAGCTGCTGTGAGGCCCAACAAAAACTTCAATCTGTCATCTATGTTATCAAACATTCTGTAATTTTGAATGAAAGATTTCTCAACTAATATTTGTTCATATTTGGTTTAAGGTGCTCAGGTACATTATCAAAATTTAGTGTTTGAAATAGGGTTGGATATCGTTCCTCACGAAACGGTCCGATACCGATACCGGTACTGACGAAACGATACGGGTATTTTATCGATACTGATACTTTTACAATACCAAACCCGTTGCTGCAAGTATAAGAACTGAAGAGATATAACATGTAGTAATAGAAAATAAATATGTTACATTACTGGTCTTTCTGAAATTTCATGCTGTAAAGTATACTTTTCTTTTGTTGTTTTGTGTTTACTCTTTTTTACAACATTTACACATGTTAATTGTAAAATACTTTTACTTTTTCATCAAAAGTACATGACATAATTTAAACACAGCAACATATCTTATGCAGGACAGCAGTCTGCAGCTGAGAAGTCTACAAATTATTGTTTTAATCTTGATATCTCTACATCTGAAAGAATTTAAGACAGTTGGTTATCTATCATTTTCTTACAGCTATTATTATTACTGTGTAGAAATTTTATTCTGATGCTGATATTCTTTTTCAATCACATTATTGGTTACTGTAATAAATGAAATCGCTGGATTGGTTGGCTTACTTTGCAATTTATAATTACATGTAAGAAATTTCATTAGATGTTTTTTCAAAGTCACTTATGTTTCCAGTCTGTTCTACTACAACAGCAGAAACATATTTTCCAACAGTAATAAACTTAGAAATTTTGAAATACATGTATATGCACAGTCAGCACAGACTGTTTCCAAAATGACTTGTTTACATTTTCATGTTAACCTAATATTAGTCCTTGTAGAAGTCATAAAGCAAATACCTATGCTTTACAAATAATAAGGATTTGGTATTTATTAATATTGAATTTACCCTTCAATTTTACACATCTTTTATTTTTCAATAACATGCACCGTGAAAATCTTGCTACAGAAAAAAAGGGTATTGTCCTTACCAAATTGCATAATTCCATACTGCTCAAATACGCAAAAATACTAACCAACATTTGCAAAAAATCCTACAAACACTATATGAAATATGTTTCAGTTGTTTAAAGTATCACAGATCTAAATGTGTAATACACACAAGTTGAACTTTGACAGGTGCATAATAGGCTATTCAAAAGAATATGCCTCCCTTTGATGTTGTTACTATATCACCATCAAAGAGCCGCCGACATTCACACTTTTTGATTGAAGTTCTGTCGGCATTCTTTTGTTAAGAAAATGTATACATGTTTAATAATAGTTCAGTGTTACACCAAAAACAAAAGAAGGCATATTTTGTTGGAATATTTCGGCCTCATTTATGTTAAAATCGTAATTCACGTGTGGATTTGTACATGTGGTAATGGATGAAAAGAACCTGGAAACATTAAATATGTATTCATTATGAGTGTTTAGAGACTTAAACTGAAAAAAGGATTTAATTATTTTTTAAAAGCATTGTTTGAATAAACAATTGTCATATGTTGGATTTACATTGTAATTACGGCAAAAGCTGTGTGCGATGTGATTGGAAGGACTGTGTGCGATGTGCCGATGATTACTCAAGTATTTGATTTGTTTTCTCGTTGTTTCTTTGACTTTTAAAACTTACAAACTCTTAGCAAAATCAGTTCAAATAATTATATTTTCCTGCCGAGTACAAAAATATTATTATCTTGAACATAAGCGGCATAATACTTTTACAAAAATATCGCCGCGTCACAAACTTCAAGTTTGCCGCGAAAGCCGTACTCGCCGCATGATAATAGTAATTCATAGTTTGTTTTACGTGTTTGTAGGCTGTTTTTATTTAAAAATCTTCTTATATTTTTTACATATTGACTATTAAATTATTTTTTTTTACAAAATTGCAAAAGTATCAAATCCAGTACCGGTATTTTACGAAACGGTATATACCGGTAATTTACGAAGTTACTATTCGGTATAGGACCGATACCGGGAACCGGTGTCCAACCCTAGTTTGAAATTATTTTTTGTCTGGTAGGATCACAGTATTTCAAAAGAATCGTAACACATTTACTTTGGTAAATCAGCAAACTGTTAATCAGTCTAGTAAATCGACTGTTTATAAAAATAATTCAAAACACTAAGCAGGTTAAAATTTGTAAGTACGTATTTATAAAAATAAATTGGTCGTGCGGCTGTGCGATTTGCGCATATTTTTTGCAGATCAGTATCATCACACATTTTAATGAAGTCATAGTTGAGCCATAGTTAAGCTGCAAATTTTCCCATTTAATCTGTTAATGACAAGTCCTCACCTACAATGTTTTCTCAATAAATTGAGTTTGACTGTCACTTCCCATTTGAAAAAAGCGAACGCCAGTAAGTAAGTATTTGAGAAAAATATTTTAATATTAAGTGGCAATTTACACGAGTACGAGTTGACAATTGTACGAATCACCAGGCATAAATATTGCAGATAAAAGGAAATGAAATAAAAGGACTGGCAGTCTATTATCAATATGCCATACTCTTCATATTAAATGCATAATTTAAATTAAGTGCTTAATCTACCAAAAACATTATGTATTAGTAACGAAACTTACATTAAATCTGCTTAAATGTTAGTCAGACACTTGTTGTTGTTGTTGTTGTTACCGGAAGTGCTCTCTAAACTTCAGAAAGAAGAGCACTTCAACTATGAAAGTGTTTTGACAGCAACAAAAACACAAGTTTATTCTTGTTATTTTCTTTAACACTGGAGATCGAATCTTCGATTGAAGTCAATCATAATTGTGTTATTGTTATGGCAAAAACAAACATAGAAAGTTACTGGCGATGCTTCAGGGGCATAAGTTTTGTTTTCCTTATATTTTATTCCACCTACTTTGGAACGATCTTTTTATTGACACCGATCCTCCCATTATTTTTCATCGCACCGGTGTATACAAAAAGTGTTACTGACAAGATTATATGGGCATGGAAACTATATTGTGTGGTAAGTTTGATACCTTTTGCTCATGTCACTTTGACTTGACATATTAATATGAAAAAGGCAAAGCATCAAAGCGAGCTCGATTTTCTTTTACCGTAAGATACTGTAGTTTAAAATAATCGTTCATTTTTATTTTACATTTTCCGTTTTAAAATTGTCGTTCGGTATTTTATACATTGCTTCCATTTATTCTGGTTCCCCCTTTCTATTATGGTTCCTATATAAGTGCACAGGACACCTGAGTCTACGCTTCCGATTTCAATCAGAGTACATCGATCGGCTTTTATCGTTAACTTGTAATTTGAAAAGTTGCGATATGTCCAATTCGGTACTTCGGATGAAAGTTTTCAAAACCATCACTTAGCAGGTACAGGTGTTACTGTAAAGCTGGCTTTGCAAGCTCGTCGAGCTCGCTCAAAATATTTCTTGACTGAAAATTATAGTTATATCATGTATATTAGACTTCAGCGAATAGGTTTTATAATATACTGTAGCAACGTCAAAATAAAACTATTAAAAGCGACATATAAAGTTATGGAAGCCAGTTCTAACTAATATTGCATCTTCGGGATTTAAGTTCTTTTTATGTCACTTTTATTTTGACATTGTGCGTCAGTCTAGAAGTACCACAGATATATAAACAACGGATAAGAAACTCCGAAAATAGACGATAGTCAGATTCAGACCCACAATCCTTTGCGCGCTTCGGTGAGTCTCCGCTAGTCTCCGATTTTCACGCTATTGTTTAACTTCGGCGATATCCGTGAATTATTGCTTACATTGCCGACATGGGTTTTCTTCGGAGAAATATTTGTGTGGAAAAGTGTTTTTTGTACGTTTTAGAATAAATAACTATTGCTTCTTATATAAGTAGAAAACATGATTAGTCTTTTTTGTTAATGTACCTCTGGGAATTTAATATGGCGGTATTTTGGCTACTTTTACCCATGATGCATCAAATCTCGCAAAATCCTGCGATCGACATATGATAACTTGCGGGAACAAAAGTCTGCCGATACTGATTTTAAATGTGTGACGTCACAGTTTCTTCTCCATCTTATATTTAGCTCCATGGCAGTACTATAAAACCTGTTTTTGGATGGTTAATGTCTTTTTACAATGGTTTGACCTGGGGAAATAAAAGAAAGTATGAAAAATGAATCAAACCATTGAAGCCAATGGTTTGACCTGGGGAAATAAAAGAAAGTATGAAAAATGGATCAAACCATTGAAGCCAAATTTAAGCGGCTTTTAGCTTTTCTAAAGGTTAGATATATTATTTTTAGATAAATCGTTTTATATAATTGTCAAACCAAAAGAAAAAAGGTGCAAAATGAAATTTGCCAACAATAAAATACATAAACATTAAAGGAAAAACCTCGATACCAGTCTAATCTACCATGCAGTCTGTTCCCTATATTTAAATTAGTAAAGTGGACGATTTGTTAATTAATCTAATCTTCTCTTTTTAGAACAGAACATCACTGATGGCCGTTATAAATAGCTTACACTGACTCTGGGCGCTGTTTTGAGCAAAGCTTTTAAAACAGTGATATGATGCACTTTTCCCAGATAAAAGTGCAGAAATAGTTGGATTGAAACAACACAGAATTGTTTTTCCAACATATAATAATTTTTAAGCAGAAGGCCACTATAAAAATAGTCAACATTACTGTAATTTTTTGTCGTCACTAATCTCATGGTAAAAGCTAATATCCATGTGTCCATGTGACATGTTTACAATGGTCAAAGTTGTTCTCTGTGACAGATGATCTTGGACATTGAGTCTAATGGTCACTTGTCTCCCACCAAGGATTCAGAAATCATGAGAGATCAGTAGTAAGACCCTTGCAGAGATATTGGTAATTGCTGGTTTAAGTTATCCAGCTAAGTAGGTTGGCAGATACATGCAGACTGATGAGACATGATAATAAATTTGTTAAAATATCTGAATAAACCACCAAAACATAAAGAAACATGTAACATTTTATCAGTAGAACTTATAACTTCATAATAAGGAAAAATAGACTTTTAAAAAAGTCCCATTTTCAGAGGATTCCAGTTTTCAGAGGGACTTGTTTTTAGAGTTTTTACTGTATTTGTTTTCCTAAAGACACATGGTTAAACCTTTAATAGACTTACAATATAATGTTGTTTCATTTTCAGTCCATTTATGAAGTAATTTTCCAGACCAAGGTTAGCATTTATGGCAGAGTTCCAAGTAACGAAGCATCTAATCTTATGATTATGAATCACCGTACAAGATTTGATTGGCTGTACCTGTTTTCATACCAAGTCAGGCATGCATCAACCAGACGCTATACTATCAGCTTGAAAAATGGACTGAAATATCTTCCAGGAATAGGTGAGTTTGAAATATTTATTAGTTGCCTATTAAAAACAATCAGGTAGGCGGTTCTACTCAGGTGCCCACTTGTGTCTGATAAAAAAGAAACACCTAAGGTCTTTCACCAGCAGATAAGCAGATAAGCTCCCATATCATGACAATTACACATACATGTTTATTTAATGGTCTTTGTGACTTGAAAATCAAACAAGTCTGCGAGGAATCACTTTTTTCCATATATTTATTTTTGGTTTAAGATAGGGAAAATGATCATATTACTTTACTTCTTTCGTTCTCTTCCTGGTTATAAATATTTTATAATTCAATATAATTTACATGCATATCGATCTAAAACTTGAAGTAACATTATGCCCATTTTTTTGTTGCCTGGTTGAGCTGAATTTATAGATATGTATTTAAAAAGATTGAGGACTTTTATGACTGGTATAATTGATAATGACAAATGATTAGGATAAAATTTGAAAAAACTGCCTAAAATAAAAAAAGACTGCCCCACATTTTTTATCAAGTGAACATTACTGATAATTTTCAAAGGTTATTTCTTGTGGGTCATGCAAGTTATTGATTGTTTATGTTAATATGTGAAACTAAATAGTGAATTAAAAAAGAATTATGACAAAATTTAATTTATAACGTCCTTTTCCAGTACACTAATCATGTACATGTACACTGGGATGGGACGTGATGTCACTGTCTGCAGCCTCCAGATAAGCCAAAATATTTCAAGAAAATCAAAATTAAGAAAAAAGGACTAAGATTTTGAGAAAAGTAAAAAAGATTGAAGATTCAAGTAATAATTTATATGTTACAATGTATGTACGATTTATTACGATGCATGTCTTAGCTCCAGCAGGTGAGGTGCTTTTGACCCCGTGTGTTGCTTTGAAGTTTGTAAGACCTAAGATTAGCCAAAATCATCTTTCCTGTTTTGGCGCCATATGACCTAAACTATGTTGGTGCACTGTAAAACCAAACAAAAACAAACAATAGACCTATTATGGAGTCTGGCGCCTTTTTTATCTACTGATACTGCTTATGGTCAAAACTGATGATTGATTTTGTTGAACAGGTTGGGCTATGCAGATCGCTGGTTTTATATTTCTGGACAGGAAGTGGGAGGACGATCAGAGAACCATATCAAAATGTCTTGGTGTGTACAAACATATTGATTATAGACCTCAGGTAAGGCTTTGATTTATCAGTTTATCTTTATTTATACATTCATCAAGATATTTTTTTCTAAATACAATATTTTATATATTTTTTATTTGAATAGATCTGACATTAAGGTAAAACATCCACATTAAGGCTTAACCTGCTGAATTTCTTAAATGGACAAAAATGGGAAGTTGGAATTTACCATTTTCAAATTTAGGGAAATCAAGATGAAACTTGAGTTGGTCAGCCAATAGTATAGAGTCTGGTCAGACTGCATGGGTGTGCAGATTGGCTTTGCTGTATACTCCTGGCAAAGGCTCATTTTAAATATCATGTAAACTTCAAAACACATAGAAAATAGAACTGCTTAATTTATGATTCGATTTAAAACACAAACAAATAGTACCATTGTAATGGTATTTATATATTTGAGCTTTCATTATTAAATATTACATTTTGTTTTAATGTTGAAACAGTTAATTTATAGAGGTTGAGGTATGTATAAAAATAAATTTGTTTGTTCTTTCAAGAAAATCCAAATTTCATAATTTGCTGAAGAAAAATGGATTTTATATATGAAAAATCAAACAAATTTGTTTTATTTCTTGCATTTCGGTGGCATTTTAGACTGAACTCAATTTTAAAAATCTTTTTTGGTGCTTTCATTTATCATGAAATTGGATATTGGATTGTTTTTCAGAAAATAACCAATAATTGCATGTAATTAAGAACCGTGCTGGGACGGGGTCCTGTTAAAGGATCCCGCACCCCGACGCGCCACCATAGGCGGCGGGCTGAATTCCCCGGGAAGACTTTGCGGATCCACCTGTTTGACTCTATGCGGTTTCACGTACTCTTGAACTATCTCTTCAAAAAATTATGTATATGTAAATGGAATTTAAAATTTACAGGATTGAGAGGAAATGCCTTGATAGGAAAATAATTAGCTTTATGCATTTAATTTCTGCTTTGAAATAATAAATTAATTTCATTTTGCCTCGTAAGTCTGTGTACATCTTTGGTTAGATTTATTAAAATCGGCTTGAAATGAATTTGATAAATTATTTTAAATCATGTTTTGTTGTTTGAACATTTTATGTGGAGTGTCCAAATCAATTTAAAATGCTACACAGTTACTTCTACTTATATAAAGGTTTCTGTTTGCATACAATTAAACATTATTTTAATATTATTGAAATGTTTTTTTGTATCTTGATAAGAAAAGAAATAGCTGGTTTTGACCCCTAATTTGTAACACTCTCAAGGTTAGCAAAAATCAAGCAAAAAATTGTTTTGGCACCATTATGGCCAATAGTGTTGGTGTGCCCTCAAATCAATCAATCAAACAAACAAACAAAGAAACAAAAAAAGGCATTTTCTCTCAACCTCATGTGATAAAGAAGAATTCACCTGAATGTGTCCATGGAAGAATGTAAATTACATGTATTTATACAAGAGAATTGGTATGCTGGTGACTATATACAAGATCACATATTTGTACATGTATATTTTATGATTCACTCCCAAGTAATTTGAAAAAAAATTGATTTGTAACCTATATGTGCTATAATGCTATTATGTTTGTTAATGTAATGGAATTGTCCTGCTTGAAATTTTGAAATTTACCATTGTTAGTTTACCCTTTAACCTGCTGAATTTCTAAAATGGACTTGTCCTGACCTACTAATTTTTGGAATTGATCATTATCATTTTAGGGATATCAAGATGAACATTTAATATTTAAAATAAGTCAGCCAACAGTATTGAGCCTCAGGTCAGACTGCATGGAATATGTGCCTGTTGGACCGGCTCTTATAATACTGGTGGCAAAGCAAAACTATCAGTTCAGGCAGGTTATGGGTTAAGGGGTATCTGTGACTATCACAATGCAAAAGATACATGTAAGTCAGCCGTAGAGTGGCGGCATGGCCGAGTGGTTAACGCAGCCGACTAGTAATCTAATGATCGCTAGTCGCATGGGTTCAAACCCCGTGAGGGGAAAGTCGTTGCTTCCTTGAGCTAGAAACTTTACACTTATTGCTCATAACTAGTTGGTTCCAGGAACGGATTCAAAAGTGTGTCTTTAAGCTTATAGCTTACTACATAATCATACTAAAATAAATTCTGTATAAACCAAGTCAGTCGTAAGCCAACTTTATAAACGGTTATATAGTATAAATCGCTGGATCTGAGAATGATACTGTTTCATGAACTCTGTGTTTATTATAATATTCATGATAATATCATATATTATATGCCATGATAAATAACATAATTTGTGTCGTAAAAGTGAATATTAAATTTAAGACACTGATGCATAATGCTTGCAAAATTTGTACATGTTTATCACAATTTCAGTTAAAGATCACAAAAGAATTTTACATTCACTGAATGAAATGTAACCAATACTTATATTATATTCTTATGAATGAAATATTGATGTTCAAAATAAAATGCATAATTTTCATTTTCTGTAATTTCACTGTAAACATTTTATTTTTCACTGCAGAGAACATAATTTCTGTATTTTCACTGGTTTCTTGCTGGACTACTTTCTTCAAAATTCAGACATTACACAAAATTAAAGGAAGTCTTTTGAATTGTAAGAGCAAAGAAGTATATAATTAACAGAAAATTCAAGTTTTCTTTATATAAAAACAAGATTTATTTTCATCTTTTGGTATGAAAATTATCATATTTCATATGTGCACCCTTGCTCGTACCACAAGATGAAAAGAAATCCTGTATTTATAAAAAAAAATTGAATATATATTTTTGCAACATAGATTTACATTCATTTTTTACATTCAAATTTTTCATTTACATTCTAAGTTATTATACATTATATATGTTTTTAGAATCACCCCAGAATTGATTCTCGATCCTTGCTTTTCAGATCCAAAGAAGATTACATGACATTTTCTGTACATAATCATATTCATTTATACTTTTGCCTACAGTATGTTTAAATTATTTTTTCATGACCGCTAGCTAAACAATATTTTGAGGTAACATCTTTTACCTAGAGCTGTAAGTTAATAAAACAGTAAAAAATCCATCATTCTTTAGTTTACATAAAATTATTTGTTTTGTTTTTCAACCAAACTGCACACTTAAAGACCCATGTAATAGTATATTATTAAGTTGGTATGACATAAAAATTATACAATCCTATTTTATTACCATACTGATGTATATAAATTTTTTTTTTAGATATCTAAGCTAATTATTTAATTGCTTACCTCCAGTTACTTGATGACTCGAGTACGACAATGCCACATTTTTGTGTCAATGTTTTTGGGGTATTTTTTCAACTTTAAAATTTTTGACAAAATACAGATTTAAGATAAATAGAATATAACTAGAAAGAAATACTGACAAATTTAACTCACTACAGTGTTGGATCAGTACCGTTTTCTAACATTTTTCATTAATGATCGTATATAAATTGATGTGAGATGAATTAGCCATCTTAAAGTGCATTTTGGCGAGTGAAAAGGCAAGATTTTAGCATTTAATCATTCAAGTGCCTTGTCCGCTATATGCCATAATATGATATTAAGTGTTACTTTTTTAGTCTCACTCAATACTGATAGCATGTATATTAAAAATAATTCCATATTTTCAGATTTTGCTGTTTCCAGAAGGTACAGACTTGACGGCAAATACAAAAAAGCGTAGTGACGCACACGCTGAAAAGAATAACCTACCAAAGTATAACTATGTGCTTCATCCACGGACGACGGGTTTTACCCATATTGTACAGTCAATGAAGAAAGGTATTTGTGAAGATTTCTTGAAATAAGATTTATTTATGATTTATTGTAATATAATACAGAATGTTTGTTACATAGATATACATTGGAGAATTGTGATGTTTATAAAATTTGTATACATGGCTACTGCAAATTTATTAATTTATTTTTATTTCAATCAAAGAAAGCAGTACATATATTGAAATTTGGTGTAAAAACTTGATTGTTAATGGAAAATTCATAGATTTTAAACATTAACTTATAATCTTGTCATAAAATAACGACAACAAAGGTTATGTTATTAAATCTTTATAAAACTTCTTTATAGTTATCATGTTTTGACTATTGATTTACTAAACTGTGTTAATGAGACATATAACTTTAAGAAACATACTCATAGAGTATGCTTGAATTTTATATTAATATAGAATCTGTGTGTTTCAGATGAAATATTGGACTGTGTCACAGATATCACCATAGCATATCCAAAAACCATTCCCCAAAATGAAATGGATATAATTAAGGGAAATTTCCCATCAGAGATCCATTTTCTGATAGACTGGTTTCCAAATAAAGAAATCCCCACCCACAAAGACGATCTGGATAATTGGTGTAAAGAAAAATGGAGTCAGAAAGAGGCGGTCCTTAAAGAATTTTACGAAAAGAAATCTTTTGACGGCACAGGGCAGGAGGCTCTTCGATCTAATGAAAGTTTAATTGGGGCTTTATTTATGTATAGCTGGGTAGCATGGTCAACTTGGCATGTATTTGTTACCTATGTCCTGTGGAGTTACCCATTAGCATGGGTGTATGTAGCTTTATGTACTGTGTTTTATTTTTGCGTATCAAAATACACGCAAGGGTTCAACATTCTTATAGCTAAAGCAATGAATATCCAATAAGGATATAAAAATACGGTACAAACATGTCTGTGAATTCTTTATCTTTTTCTAAGTCATTCATGAATTTGTTGTCAGTTTTTACATATTTTTGTGATGGTCTAACGTATATTATAGTGATAGCCTAATGTCTTATTAAGTATTTAGGTATATATATATATTATCATGTATATATATATGATATGTAAAATATTTATTCTTATACATTTGTACATGTATGCATCCCTTTGTATTGTCTTGATCTCATAGCATTTAATAAACGATGTACTTATGTACATGTAGATGCCCAGTATGAATAAAGTAGGATGCTGGGTTTTTATCAAATATTGTATGTATATACATGTATTGAATGTATATACATACATAGATAGAGCCATTCCTGTAACTCTATTTTTAATGCCTGTCTGATCATTATGTTTTTAAATTGATCATTTAAATACTTAAACCTGCTGCAACTGATAGTTATATACTTAATAGTCTTTGGATTTAACTCAATACAGTGTTGAAGTTAAATACCTCTAGACACTTTCAGAAATCATAATCACAAAGTAGAAATATATTGCTTTTTTTGGCGATTTTTCTTTCATTATCATATATAAATTGGTGTGAACAGATGAATAAGATGTCTTAAATTGCATTTCGGCAGGTGAAAAGGCGAGATTTTAGCAATTCTCTATTCAAGCGCCTTGTCCGGTATATACCGGAATACAGTATTTATTATTGTGGTGCTCCAACACTTTTTTAAACCTCACTCACTCTTAGCCTTTACCACCAGTAAAGAGCCAGGCTAGCCTGATGTCTGCTATTCAGGCTCTATGCTGTTACAAGCTTCATTTTTAAATTTCCATTCTGGAATCCCTTCAATTTTAAATGAACTGTTCCAAAATTCAAAACAGGGCAACTCCATTACACAAAAGCAGGTACATTTTTGTAAAGGGCATATATAGTCACCTAAGTGCAGTAACAGGTTAACTCTTACAATATTATATAATGAGTTAAACTGTTACTGCACTAAAGTGACGATAATCGTTAAAGTTTTAAATAACTATTTTTCTTGTTAGAGATTGGTACATATTTTCATATATTACCATTAGCTTAATCATCTCTTAGTCATTTGGCAAATCAGATTTACATCAAGTCTTTGTGCTAATAATGTTGTGATATTTATCTTTACATAGGCAAAAAAGTCCATTGTAACAGTAAACTTGTTTTTTGTTGTTTTTTTCAACCTGTTACATTTTATGCAGGATTTTTATCTTTTTACCTTGGCTTAAAAAAAGCAAAGAAAGTGAGGGGTTAGCTACTTAATGTATGTGTCGAAATGTGAGAGTTATTTTATCTTTGATAAAAGGGTTTAAAAAAATAAAACAAAAAGTAAGCCAACATTTAGTTTTCTCATATTCTATTGCTTTTTTTTCTTTCTATACCAAACAGAGTGGCATGCAAACATAAGACAGAACATTATTGAATAAATTTACAGTAGTCACATGGATGCTGTAATTGTTCATTAAAAGCAAACAGGGTCGGACCACACATTAAAACTACATTATAGTTGGCTATTACGGTCATAATGATGTATCAAAGAGTAAGATTTAGGGTTTCCTTGTTTTTTGTAAGAGATTGTCAATTATTACAAACCTGTGCTGATTTTGTGACTCAATAAAAATTGTATTAGACGGATGTGCATATATTTTGACATGATGTCATATACGTTATACAAACATTAGTGTAAAGATGTGCTAAATTTAAGTGTTACACTAGAGGCGTGTCAATGAAAAATGATTCTTTTACATAATTTTTAAACAGTTTTATTTTGGCTATGTGCTTAATAGAATGTTATATTTGTGTAGGTTCATTACTGATTTTATTGAAGTCATTGAATAAAATAATATTTTGCTTGCCAGAGGCTCCCCATAATAAAATTTTATTCAACTGGTTCAATAAATTCGGTAGTGAACTTACACTCATTCAATATCCTCTATAGTTATAGGTTAGATTTGATCTTTCATTCCCAAATTTGTGATGGAGAACCAAAAAACTAATAACTAATAAGAATTAATTGCTAAATGAATTTTGTCTATTTTTAATGAAAAATTAATTGAAAGTTATTTATGACTAATGAAATATTTTGTAAGTTTTATAATCTTCAGTGCCATACAGTAAATTTTTATCTAAAGCTGAAAGATCGATATTTTTTTATATTTCACTTGTTAATGATATCACTAACTAGTTTTATATGTAAAATGATGAAGCGGCCAATAAATGAATATTTTTATAAGTTAAATTGTTGAAATTAAATATAGGAAATGCGGTGCTTTTTAAGATCTTATATACTGTTCTAAGTGAAGTGCTACAGATGAAAATTCCTAGAGTTGAAACATGTATATCTATTAAAAAAAAATATAATTTAAGTTTATATTCAACATCTGATGTGAAAATATTGATATAGAAATTTGTTTCTGGGAAGGAACTCTGAGGTTCTATTTAATAGAAATATGAAGAGAAATCTACCGGAGGTGTGATATTCACTGGAATGTATTTTCAATCTGTTACTAGATTAACAAATTTATTTTCTGAGCTGTGTTATCATTTGCCATGCTTTAACATTGTTAAGGGATTTGTTATGTAATTATATAATTCTAGCATAAACCTTTTAAGGATTTTGCAATAAAATTGAACAAAAGAATATTATATATGATAATAAAGGTTATATAGATTTCAAAATAAACCAACATTGACATTTTGGTGTTCTTTTTTGTGATGAGCAACATTTCTTTATGCCATGACATTTTAATGCATGCAGATCAAATTTCTATTTTTTTAAATGATTACAAAAATGTACAATAAAATCAGTTTCTTGATTTTTATGTTACATTGTTCTATAATTTTTTTTTGGTCAGATTATATTAACAAAATTATATACTATGTACAATAATAAGTGTATTATATACATTTATGTATAATTTAAGCTGTCAGATATGTTATTGTGTTGTGTAGGTAATTAATAATGTAATTTGTATGTTATATGTTTCTATAGTTTTACTGTTATCTTTATTTTATACACTACAGTTCTTACATTGCCCATGTTTCATTCTTTTTAAAGAAACTACATGTACTTAAAGCATGAATCACTTTATAACTTTGTCATCCTATTTTCATTAATATGTTATCAATCTTGACAAAACACATACATATAAACTGGATTTGAATTTCTCTGTATGTATTTCACGTAATCTGTAGCTCATTTGTTAAAACTTAAGTTTGATGAAAATTATTTCCATTTTTGTCAAAGAAATATTTTTAGAAGTGTTTTGGTGTAATATTGTTACTTCACACGGCACATTGGCATGGAAAAAGTTTTTAAATCTATATTTAGCTTATGAACTGTCATTGAATTTTAATATTTTAATGATATGTTACTTTAAACATTGATTTTGCTATAACCTTACAGTATTGCTATAACTTACACCAATGCTTTGAAATACTTCCATGCCTTCTGTGCAACCTGTTTGAATTTCAAGGTGTGAAAAGCCATTTTTTTTCTTTTTGTGCAATAGTATCATATGTGTGTGTATGTGGGAGGGGGGTATTGCCATTGCAGCCAATAGATTTTGGTTTATTAATAGATATTATAATTTAAGAACAAGAACAAACAATTTTAGCCAATAGGCTCTGGTATATTTAAAAATTATTTATTCGTGGAACAATGAGCAGCCATTTTGGCCAATGGGTGTACGTTTATTTATAGATTGTATATTTATAGAACAAATGATATCTATTCCAGCCAATGAGGTTTGATTTATTAATATATTATATATTCATAAAACAAATGATGGCCACTCTTGCCAACAGAAATTGGTTTATTTATAATTTTTTAACAAGAATCCACCACTGTTAATGTTATGTATAAATGATCTATTTATAGAACACATTTGACATGGAGTATTTCAGGGCATGGACTTTGTTTGTTTTCTCAGGTAGTCATGCTTCAATTTTTTGTATGAAAAAAATGCTTTATCTATGTGTCTGAACAGTCCTTTTATATACCTCAAGTTTCCAGTTTCCTTTACTTAAAAACCCTTTCTTAGTTCTTAGCTGGATTACTGATACATATCAGTAACCCAGTTATATGTATCAGTTATCCAGTTATTACATATCAGTTACCCAGTTAGTATATATGTTTTAATCCTTACTATTTGTATATGTATATTTTGCTGATTTTCTTGTGACATTCCAAGGGGGGTAATTATGTTGTCATGTAATGTCATGTTTTCAAAGATGCAATATTTTCTTAGTGTATACACATTTATTTTAGATTGTGTTGTAAGCTATAAGCTTACTGAAACACTCTCAAATCCAGTCCTGGAACCAACCAGTACTAAGCAATGAGTGTAAAGTTTATTGCTCATGGAAACAATGGCTTGCCCCTGATGGGGTTTGAACCCATGCGGCCAAAAATCTTTAGATTACTAGTTCAACAGGTTAACCATTCAGCCATGCTGCCAATTAATATTCTCTTAGCATTTGTTGTAATGCAGCATAAAAAACTAGTTATTCTAGCTCTCAAAACAGATTTTTAATTGTTTAGAATGTGACAATAAAAATTGGTGCTATTAAAGAATGCAATAGCCATGTCTCTATATAATTATATTATTAAATATTTAAGGGTGGTCTTATCAAATGAGGAACCTTGAAAAAAACAATGTTGTTATTATTGTTGATTTTAAATGTGTGGGTGAATTTAAATTTAGAATTTTAAGTTTTCAACAATCAAGTAAAGACCATTTAGATACTAACAGACTGCTAAATTCTTACCCCAGTAGGTCTTTATTTCTGTTATTTACACTGATAACTTCGGACAAAAAATATGCCGTTTCACTTTGATCAACTTGATTTTGCAATCAAAGCTGAAATAAATATGTTTAAAATAATATTTTGTATGTAAAAGCAAAGAAAATATTGCTGAAGTGAACATAATGCACATTCAATATAGGCTTTAAACATGTCAATCATATTCAGTATAACATTTTAATGTAGAAATCATTTGGAATACAGGGTTACAAAATGTGAGCATGTTATTAAAAGTATATACATGTACTGAGGGAATATGATAAAGTCATATACTTTTAGAATGTAATTATATTTTGTATAGTGAAAATTGAGATTATAATTTCCAAAATGTATTTTTAAAGCAGAAGAACAAAGAGTAAAGTTATTTTTAGACATTTAGGTAATGATGTAAAATTAGATACAAACATATACTCCCGTGTTTTCTGTCCTCTTGCTTTTGTTTATTTTTGTGTTATTTATTTTTTGTATTTATCAATATTTACAGGCTTTCTGTTACTGCATTAGAGATTTGTGTTTTCACATCCTTAAAGGAGCTCCACTGAGGTAAAAAAAACCTATAAATAAAATAAAATTTGATATTTTTGCACAGATCAAGTGTTGCTTATCTGCAACAAATATTCTTCGAGTTAATTTGAAAATCTTATTTATTTTTTTTGCATGATTTTAGCCAGGTTTGAGAGATTAGCATTGCAATGATTTTCAATGTTTGGTAATTTTCCACAATAAAAACGATTATTCTTAGAAAACAAAGCAAAATAACGATATGAAATTTTGCACACAATTTATGTAAGTTCAGACCTACATCAAATGGAACATTAATCTCCAAAATATATTTCCAGTCCCTTCATGTAAAAAAAACCAAAGTGGAGTCCCTTTAATGTATTGTAACATATATTGTAGAAGTTGATTTTTAATATGTTATTTTGATTTGATTTTATGCTTTAAATTTTTATATTTATTTTACCATTTGCCTGCTGGTAGCAGATGATTACATCCATGCCACCAGTGCAGACCCAAGACCAGTGGTAACATCCATGCTGTCTGATCATGGTTTGCACTGTTTGGCATTAGTAAAATTTTACCCAAAAATGATAAATGGTTTGGTCCAGAATGATAAAAGGACAAGACCGTTTAAGATATAAATTCTGTGTTGTTAAGGTCAATTAGGGTTATTTTTCATTTAGATCAATGAAAAAAAGACCCATCAAGTTAAGATTTCCACAAGTTTTTTTTGTGTGGATATTTAACATGAATAGTTGTACTGTAGCTTTACTTTTACATATCTTTTTATTTGTGTGCCCTAAACTGTCCCTTATTTTAATTTCTATTATTAACTTATATTCATCTTTATACATTTTCCTGTCATTATTCATTATCAGATTAAATTTATGACATCATCATATGATTGGGTGCTTTAATAACTAGCATTTCTTATTTAAGGCATTCTGCCTCTTGACAGATAAAAATTTGCATGTATATAGTAAAGAATATTTTGTTAAAGACATACTATGACCATTTTTTCATAATATCAGCATTGTTAACAAGTGTTTTATGAGTCAAACTTAAAGCTGAACTACATGTATATTTAAACTGCTGAACAAAGTTTGATTAAAAGACAAAAAGAAAATTGAATTTTTTGATGACTCTTTATAAAGCTATGTGACATATAAAAATGTATAGTTTATAATTTATTTTTTGGTTATTCTACTTAAGACCCCACAGGTCTCAGGTATTTGATTGGTCAGAAACTGCCTCATAATGTTCTTTGACCAATGAAAATCTAGAGTTTTGAGAAAGAACTTAGAAAAAGTTTTATAATATGGATGCCATTCTAGTTGTTTGTTATATGAAGAGGACTTAAAAGGAATTGGTAAAAGTTTTGTTAACTTGCTTTTCAAGCAATGTAATTCGCATTATGAATCTAAAAATAACATAAATTTTCTGTTCCAGTATACAAGGTTTATTATCCCTTAAATGATCAGAAAACTGGAAGCAAATGTTTTTGTCTGTTTTTGCAACATAACAATTAGAGATTGTAATTATTAAATTGTTATTAACTTGATTTTTCTTGTTAACTAAGTTGCATTGGGGGCTCAAGATGTTACTGTTATATTCAAGTTAAGTTCACAAAGATTTAATTACTGATATAAATATACGGAGTTAAAATTAGATAAATTTTATTTTTTGCGAAAAGCTAGAAAATTTCAGCATACATTATGGGTATTCATCATTTTACATGACATACATGTTATAGTTAATGTTTTGGTAACTAGTTATTATTATTGTATTGACGTGAACTATTTAAATGGTGTTTTATTTTCATTGCCAGTCTTTATGCTTAGTGATATTTTTGTAGATTAAATGTGAAAAGATGTATGAAGGATGTTTTTGTTTTGTTTCTACAATGTTTGATAAATCTACCTTTTAACTTATATTCCTGATTAAAAAGATTGTATTAACTCAGAGTCTACTGGCAGCGATTATACTCCTGAGATCCTTATGTTGCTCTAATAAAAAAGAGCAAAATTGCGTGAATTATCAGCGGCGTACTTACATTTCTTAGGCATCCGTGGTTAAGGTCATTGATTTTAAACCACTTGTCTCTCATCATTGTGGGTTTGAATCTCGTGAGAGTCCTTGTATACTTTCCTTTGTGATGAAGCTGCCCACCTAGCTTACGGAAGGTCTATGGTTCTACTTAGGTGACATGCTCGTGCATGAAATAATGCATGAAGTCTTTCCTTGGCAGTTGCTATATAATCATTAGTGACTGTATGACTTAAAAACCACTAAAATACATTTAAATAAAAACAACAACAATTTTATGTTCATGGAATGTACGCAATCCCTCGGAGGACTAACTCAGCATTGGATCCACTTATATAATAATTGCTATTTCGTTATGTCTGGAAACACACATAATTACCGAAATAAAATCGGTGTCCATTTCATTTGTTTTATCTATTGAACAATTTAAACAATTACTGTACATCAAATATAAAATTTTATTAGATATCACAAATATATAAGGTTAGCAACTACACAGTCACAGTGTCGTTGTTTTAAAAAGTAATGTAGAAATACTTCTGAACTTGTTAAAATCTCAACCCCTGTAAAAACTGACGACTGTTATTACTTTTCATTAACGTCTATACATAAAGTCTGACACATCTTTTAAAGTTCCTGCCGCCGACTGGATAGTAAACAAAACCACAGAAAAGTGTTTTTTCACAATCTCCCTTTGTTCAGTAGTGTTCTTTCCTAGCGATATTTCTACAAGAGCGTCTGAGAGACCAGGAAAACTACTTCCGGAATAATTGTCGATCGTGCTATCAGCAAATAATATATGTCTGTAAGGCAGAAGAACAGAGGTCAGTAAGTGCATATACATGCAAAAATACATATGCGGATATAAAACATGTACATAACAAGAAAAAAAGAAAAATCTTTAAGTTTGAAAATAACGAGTCATATTCGGTATCTTCTGTCCGCCACGGATATGACTTTTGTAGAACGCACAACAAATATTTATATATATAACTAATACTAGTAACTTTTTCATTTTTAGGTCAAATTAAACGATTTTTTGCATTTATTTTTATTCTATTGTTATAAATTATCAAAGCAAGAAAAAATATAAAAATTACAAGTGATATCCGGTATTTAAGTCATATCCGCGGATATCAGTCATATCCGGTATAAAGTCAAAATCCATTTTCTTCTTAACCCTAACCAGCTGGACTCAGAAGTATTTAGACACTGCCGCCAGTATAGAGCCAGACCAGTCTTAAACCCATGCAGTCCGACCAGACTCCATATTGTTGGTAGCACAGTTTTTTATATTTTGATATCGATATCCGTCAAACATTAGACTGCTTCAAATTCAAAATTTGGCGAATACTTACGCAGGTCAAGTGCTCGCTTCTCATTTACAGTTTCGTATAAATGTGTTCGGATATTAAGTTTTTTGTTTGTAGAAGAAATTAGTTTAAGACATTAACTAAGTGTGCAATAAATGATTAGTGCTGAATATATGTTTTAAGAGAAAATAGTTCCTTCGGACGGTGATGATGTTTATACATGTATTATAACCTTTACATTCAGTACTGTACAATGTTGAAACGTTGGCAAGTCATTATCAAATATCTAAAATAACTATTTTTGGTCGCTGGTTACATATTCCCTACTACCCCATGTGTTGAAAATTAACACTGGAATACCCATTCTTTTATTTTCTAAGAAAAGTTTACTCGGACGAAATTATATTATACTAAGTCTTTGAAAACGCACGCTTCGGACAAAGAAAAATGCTTATTACATTGTATCTCCATACATAGTTTAAATTTCTTTATTGTTGTCATTCTGACATAAACGCATTTCATACATGTATTTGTTTAATAATAACGAAAATATCGCTTGTTACAAACCGTGTAATTGAAGTAACAAAAGTGGTGGTGTGAAATAAAGAGGTCATTAAACATGGTTGAGAACATTACCGATTTTATTTGACTCGAACACAGCTCTAAAACGTATATCAGACTCTGCTATTATCCGTCCATAGTTTTGACAGCTGTGTACTCGTACAATATGTTCAGTATTGTACACAACAATTTATAATAACATCATAATATCAACATTTGTTACCTTTTCAACTTTCGCCCTGGTAAACCAGCTGGGTCAAGAAAAGCTCTATCAAGTTGCATTAGTTGATCATTAATTCTTCTTACAACAAAAGGGCTAAAATAAAAATAAGACTTATATAATATAAACATTTAAGGATGCAAAATAGTCATTAACGTTTGTTGAATGGCCATAATAGTATTTAAAAGAATAATTTTCTTTTAAAATAAATGACGGCTATAATTTTTGAGAATTATAATTCTTCACAGTGATTATTTTGTCCGAGGATGGGGTGTGGGGTTGGGGAGGTCATAATACTATAACAGGTGTGGGGGCATACTATTACGGCCAGGGAATCATTCTTTTCAAAACATGTATAACGATAGCTATGATGCCAGGGGCTTGTGTGCGTAGAGATCAACCTAGGAGGGCATTGATCCAAGATAAGTACATGGACAAAGCTTCATATTTGTATAGTCGTTTTAACCATGACTTAAACTACAAAGTAAAAGCCGCATTTCAGCTTAATGCAGAATTTTGCCATCAAAATGAACATGCGAACACTTGATTGTCTAATTTTCGTTCTTTGATATATACTGGTATATACATGTATATGTATATTGTAACACTTTTTGCTTTATAATTGCTTGATTTATTTACCGGTATTTATTATGTAGTGACAACTTACTCTTGTAGATTTGCTGTTTTTATCCGCTTTTCAAACTCCTCTGTCTCCCGTGTGAAGTTAGAAATGACACCCTGTAACAGTGCTGTAAAAAAATGAAATCAAAAATAAACAATGTAAAACACATTTGTTTACATTTTATCGTAAGATTCTTCAGTTCCAAACAAGTTAATTTTTTGTATAATTATCTGTTGAATATTCAACATACATGTATGATGTCCCGTTCTTGCAACAAATTTCTACATATGAACGGATTCTTTTGACAAGTAAGTAAAATTATTTTTACAATTACAAAACAAATTAGCTCATTCTGTGGTCACTATCATTCCCCATTACAGGCACACATGATGCAGCTTTCAAAACAAAAATGTTATTGAAGCACTTATGGGGAAGTTTTAAGTTTAACCAGTAGCAGTGACTAATATCGCAGACGATATTTTGCAAGTTTTTCCAAAAAACTAAAGAACAGCAGATATTACTTTATGATATCGCCCGACACCCCCCCCCCCCTCCAACGACGCTAAATGTCGCACTTGCCGCCAAATATCGCCCTATTGCCGCTAAATGTCTCAAAATATGCTGACGTTAAATGTCATAATGATGACATTAAATATCACACCATTTTCCCTTACCATCAAATGTCACATCCGTGCAGATTGAAACGGCTCTGAAGTTATGGCTGACTGACTTTAGTAACTTCTATATTGATATTACCCGATTGAAAGATAGCATTTTACAAATTTTAGAAATGCAGCAGTTCAAGATTAGGCTTGGAAATATGCAACAGTCTCACCACTGTTGGAATTGTCGGCTGCTCCTGTTTAATCTATTTCTTTTGCAACCCATCACATTACCTTTTCTGTACAAGTAGGTTAAGTCGAATATAGAACTTAAATACGTACTTTGGCAAAAATCTCCCCAGGATAATACAAACAAAATGTGAAATATATCTCCCATATTTAATGCATATCAAACGTTTTTTAAAAGTTCGTGTTTTACAAAAATATAATAATTCCATTATATACATAGAATAAACTGTAGAAATAATTGTAACTCAAAATTTTGAGTTTATAAATCTTCAATGTTAAGCTTTGTTTATTGCGATTGATTACGTCATCTAAACTTTTGTGTTCAAGTGACTAGTTTTTCATTGAGCCACCTTAAAACTCACTGTCAGAGAGCTGATTTCCTCATTTTGCAAAAAATAATGCCGAGTAGCAAGACGGCCAAAAATGAATAATGACCTAAATCTTGCCAAATACCCTAACTTTTGTTATTATATATACATTATTTATATAGTAACTTAAGTATTAATGTAATTCAATATCACAAGCTAAGTTAATTTAATCATGAACCTTACAACATTAAACGGCAAGGAAAAATCGTGCGACATTTAACATTGTGGCATTTAATGGCAGAAGATTATGTGACATTTAGCGGCGGCTGCGACATTAAGCGGTAATGGCGAGACATCAAGTGGCAGTAAACATTTAGCTGCTTTGCAACATATACAGGCTCCACACACACATATATTATGAAAGTAAATGTGTAAGCGGCCGGAAAGATCAGTCGGTAGAGCCACAGAACTGTATTCCGAGGCTGCCAGGTTCCAGTCGCAACGTAGAACCATTATGGTGACTAAATAACTTATTAAAATACTGTCAAGGCTGACCGTAATGGCTATAACTTATCAGTTATGTAGTTACATGTGTCTAATCCAAAGCTTTGCATCTCTCGTTCAAATCTAGAAATGAACGATTCACCAAGGTCATTCAGTACAGTAGAGTAGTCCGATACGTTAAATGGCAGCAAAAGACTGTCAGCTAAGTCACGTGTAACTTCTGTCCAAATTTGGCCCATTGTTGTATGATACTGTAAAACAGGAATTATTTATTCACTGATTCATACCAGGAGATTAAAAAGAGAAGACACGTTTGAAGTTATAAATTTCGAAAGTTCCTAATAAATGCTGCTCAAATTTTAGTTGTTATGCTTACATCTAATTTTAAAGATTGTACTGAAGTTTCACAGTTATGTACTTTATGTAAGACTGAATTGTCTGCAATATTTAAGCCGAAGTCAAGAAGTCATTTGTTAAAATAAATACTGTACTGTTTCGTTATAAAAATGAATTACATAAAGAACAAATCGTCCATCCAAAAAGTGACCATGCCTTCTACCGGACAAAATTTCATTACCATGGAATTAAGTGAATTAAGTTCTCCAAGGGTGGACATACCTTGAAGCCTATGTCGGCAATCTTATCCACCATGTAGAACGTATCGTACACTGAATGATACAGAGGGTACGACAGAACGTTAAGATCCGGCTAGAAAAAAAGTATATAATCTGTCACATAAAATGGTTCTAAAAACCATACAACTACACTTATATCAAATACAAGAGAAAATTGCCACCCTTGCCTGAAATAATGCAAGAAGTGGCAGCTGAGGTCTGTCTCCACCAGTAAAGCTTAGAAAGTCGACAATTGTCCTCAACAATGCCGCTGTGACTGAGATTCAACATACAAGAATGATTAACACTATTCCTCACGGAACGTCGGCGGTTCTACTAGGGTGTCCGTTCCTGCCTGAAGTAATAATCGGAAGGGTACCCGACTCTAGAAATGCGATTTATGACCTCTTCTGTGTTGGTGCTACGTATCCCTTTCCCAAAGTAACAACAATATAATCCAGCCATCCATGGCATATTAAAGCAAAAGTATTGACAAGGTTCTTACATTCCACAAAACATTCAGTAGCTTTAACATACCTACATTTGTTCATCTAAAGTATATATTTTAAATATTTAGAGACAAATGCAAGTCAAATTTTGAAATCTGAAAATGCACTGGCATAGGGACGCTTCTAGTTTATTGTGTTTGGGACTAGCCAGTACTAGTATCATATGAGGAAACGTGGTCCCAACTTCAGAAGGGTTCCTCTGTAAAGAGGCAGACAAAGTTGATTTCATAACAAGACAAGTTAGGTATCTTAATAATTATTACCATAACAAGAGCACCGCACACGGTGTTAACGCTCGTCTGTTTGGCATTCTAAGGTCTAAAGGGGCATAACTCCAAAGATATCGCATCTGCACATTATCATGATAAGCAAGTATTCCAAGTTTTTATGTAGGTACCTTTTGAAATGTTTGAACAATGGGCTATATTAGTTTTTCTATAACGACAACAACGCTGACGCTGCAGCGATCATAAAAGCTCGATATTCTCTTGGAAACTGTTAAGCTAATCGTAATGTTCTGACTAAACAAAATTGTGTGACTTACATCGTAGGTATACCATAGATCAATAATTGGAACGCCAAGCTTGTCCCTGAATGGAGCGTAATCACTTCCAGATCCGGGCAATGCTATTCTATAAATAACATAGAGAAAAATCATTCTAGAGTGTTCTATAATTATCCAAAAAAAAATTAAGATCAGAGTTCAAGAACATAAGATTATTAATTTACATTTCTTCATTTACTTACGTTATAAATGTTAGATTTACCCCGACTATAAACTACCCATTAATTAATGGTCACAACATATCTATGAATGTAAAAAATGACAACTTGGGACACATGAAAACTTACAGATTGTGCAAGATTTTTTAAGTGAATTTGATACTTTCGGTACAAGTCGCCTGAATTAGTCTAACTCATTATCAATAAATACTGAAATCTTACCTAGGCCTTCCAAACTTCTTAGCTGGAAAGGTAGCTAACCAAGTATCGTACACTGTAGTCCGCCCAGCAGCTATTTCTGTTTCATTTGGATTTCTGATTGTTTTTGTAGCTTTGATAACAGGTGAAAATAATAATGGTGTGCCTTCGGCGTAAAATGAAAAATTTCCTGTGAAAATAAGTTACAAAAGTAGATGTAATTATTGTAAAAGAGATTCCACAGCGTTTTTGTTTTTTTACATGACGGGACTTTTTAAGTTTTTTTTTCAGTGATTTTTAAACCATTCGATGAAGATCTAGATCAATAACTTGTGTGAAAAGTTTCAGACCATTCCCTCACCCTGTTTTGTTTTCAGAACAATCATATATTTTTATCCAGAATGAACTTAAAATGCACGTTTTTTTATTATCCCTAGCAGATTATTCCATTTTAAGCACTTCACTTAATCTTTGTAAGAATTTTGAATTCTATGTTTTTAGTTTGTTGTTGATTTTTAACATCGGCGGAGCTCTTTCAAATAAACAAAAAAAAACAGCAGAATATCGCAAACACTTTATTTGTCGTTAGATCTAATACATTTTTAATATTGCACATCTGTAATGTCACTTTTCATTGGATAATTGTGACGTTAAGATACCCTTTATACACTTCTGCTGTCAATTTATAATGTAATTCCTTTTTTTTTCAATAATGGGAATTTGTTATATTATAAATTTGTTATAACAATTTTAAGGTTAAATGGCCGTATATAAACGGTTGTTTACAAGAAAACTCTCGCCTGTAAGGTCGGGTTATGAATGGCTCTATGACAATATCTTATTCAAAATAAAAGTGACTTTTTATCTGCTTTTCACTTATTGTATTATCAATACTAATTAAACTCACAAATTTTAAACACACTACTCCTCTACCCCAGCACATCCCCCAACCTCTCTCTCACATAAAAAAGAAATACAAACCGTCAAAAGCATAGTCTACATTAACATAGGCAACGGCCCTGGCCCCCAGACTTTTCGTGTATTCCTGAAATTGAAGGAAACACATTAAAATTGTTACCAATTTGAAAGTATGGAAGATTTCCTCAATAAATAGTTTCTTATCTCTATGTTAATGTACTCGCTATGCTAAAAAATATTAAAAACCAAAACCTCACGTTATCATGAAAATACATATCTATAAGTCATTCACATATTTTAGCAGAATTTCATATAGCTGAAATCATATTTCACTATCTTTGCATTATCGGTATTCTAATTAAAATGATATTCTCACCTCCACCCACTCTGTTACTCCTATAATCCCATACTCCTCTGCACCCCAGCTACCGAAAACTATGGAACGCCTTGGTCGCCATTTTCCTATACAAATTTCAAAACGGTATATTACAATTTGATGCCTTGGCCTCTTTAAATACCTTGAAAATTCACAGTTCTACATATTCATATTACCTGCTTTCAAGATCTTGAAAAATATATTACTCTGATCAATATTACTAGGATAATTTATGTACATGTATATTAATTTTTCGAAAACAATACCCATTACCAGACCTGAATCATCATCATCATCATCATTACCATAATCATCATCATCATTACCATCATCGTCATCATCAATCATATCATCATCATCATATTATCATTGCTTTCATCATTGCTCACAAGAGATAAATACCTGATTTTACAAGTTGACCCATGACCCGTGAAATTTCCATCATGACGGCAGTTCCACTTGAAGGATCGATAGCTCCAAAAACCCAAGCGTCTCTATGGTTCCCAATTATTACATAACGATCTGGAACCGGAAGAAACAAAAAACTGTTTCTATATATTCTTATGAAGTATCATTTTTCCCCGTATAAACTATCATATATATTCATAAGAATTTAGTTTAATTGACCAATTCTTTGTAAAAAATGCCGAATTAACAATCTGAATCTATGTGATTTGAATTCCTTAAGTCTAAGATACCCGTTATTCAAATTCTGAATACAAAGCAAGACTAGTCTCATATTGTGATAAATTAAAACAGTGTACTGAAAAATGTCCAATACATGTTGAATGCTGTTCTAGAAGCACTTTCTAGGCCCATCACCTGGGACCGTGGGTTGAGTCCTGGGTGAGGCGAATATAGACGTACACTCGTAGGTTCGAATCCTGGTTCAGCCACTTTTATATTTTTTTCTTTTAAAATTGCCATTTCTCTCTTAACTCGTGCAAAACGTTTTGATCTTTGTGCGTGTATTCTATCTGTGTAGTATTTTTAATTTGTATTATGAACGCGCTGTCCTTTGCACTTTCCATTTCCGTCCATGAACAGGCTAAATCAAACCGAGCCTGCAACATTTTCGATTGTGTCGTTTTGTGCGTTCTTTAGGAATTCTTTATTTTCCTCTACTCTAATTAAAATTTTCCATATACAATTGCATTTTTCCTGTTCTTTTTGTTAAACGATAGATCTAAATTCTAAAATAAAATATGAAATCAAAAACCTGGCTCTACACTTCCTCTGATTACACCAATAGTGTTATATGTTGTCGCATTCTGATTACTTGTTGATATCTTTATATGAGCTTTCCTGAAAATATTGAAAGATGATTTATCCCATTAATATTTAGGGTGGTAAATCTGAATCCATTAAATTATAGAAGTACACCCACGAGTAACAAACGTCCTACTTTGATCTAAGTAATAAGACTTGTTTGTCTTGTTTTTGTAATAGTTCCCTTGACTATCAATTGCAAGTACACATCCATTGTTGATATTTTTATATCAAGCAGAAGAAAAATCTAAATGATTCAACGGAATATCCGGTAATAAGGTAAACTTTGAGGTCATCAATAATACAGTTATAACTCAATTGAATGAAGGGACATGCGACATGGCCGAGTGGTTAACGCGTCGGACTAGTAATCTAATGATCGCTAGCCGAATGGGTTCAAACCCCGTCAGGGGCAAGTCGTTGTTTCCTTGAGCAAGAAACTTTACACTCATTGCTCAGTACTGGTTGCTATAAGTTTATAGCTTCCTACACAATCGAACTAAAATAAATTCTGTATAAACCAATTGAATGAAGCTCGTTATTCTATGGGAAAGACTTGCTGTTGTCTCATATATTATGTTAGAAGAATGTCTGATAAATATCGTTATTCTAAATCACAGAATAAACTTTCTTACCATCCGGGTACTTTAAATTCGTCTCCAAACCTATAAATAACATTCATTCCACCTTGCCATTCATCTTGTACACTGTCGCCACCTAGGTTTCTAAAATAAATACAACAAAACGTCAAATTGTCGATACTGGTATGTTAAAAAATTTATTCATCAAAATAAATTGCTCTAATTATTGTTTACAATAAATAAACTATTTAATATATCATTTAAAAATCATTCGTTAATACTTTGATTATCAAACTAAAATAAGCACAATTGCGTATGTTTGTACAAGCTTATAATAATTAAGTCCAAATTATTGGCAATAAACTGTAGATGGGTACTATGCAGTAAATATCGAAATTTAAAAAAAAGAAAAAAAAACATGAAAAAAAAAAACAACAAAAAAAAGGGGGGCATCAAAACTGCTTACTTCATTAAGTCCATTGCAATGCCGTAACCTATAGGATGGCATGGTATTTTTGGTACAAAATAATCCGTTGATAATTCTCGATAAGCTGTTTCTGTAAGTACAGAACATAACATGAACGGCTTTCCATATAATATCTAAATGTATTGAACAATATGAATAAAATATATCAATTTTGCAGACTTTTCTCTGAAGGGTTGAATATGGCAGTAGATCAAAATTACGTTGCGTTAATGTCATCAACATTATATAATTGGAACTAGGTGAATAAAAATGATCAATTTATATCAATCATCAGCATTTTACAACTTGTTCTTGCTCAGAAAGATGAAAAGATGCTTTAATTAACCAGTCCAGATGAGTCTGCTTTTATACACACTGTCAATAATGGCAATAGATAAGTAGAACCTGACATATCAAACCTTCAATATATTGTCATGATATCCCAACAAGACACATTACACTGACACCGGAATGATATGTCCTTTCTAATCACAGCGCCAAACGACAACACTAAAACATGGGTATTTGTAATTGTCTCAGACAGTGACTGATATTGTCCATTCGAAGATCGAAATTGCGACCTATGTATTTTTCCCAATATCGGGCAAACACATTTTTCACTATACCATTTGACCAAAGCAATATAACTGTCTAGCGCTGGTCAAAATTCTAATAATCTAAAATACTTCATTGTATGGTTATTTCAAATTCACTGGCCTTATCTTTTTTAAAAACTATACCTATGGATGGATAGTCTGCAGTCGTTGGGTCCCCTTCTCCAATTAGAAGCGTTCCGCGCTCGGTACCAGATGGCGGAAGCCACCAGTCATCCGGATATACTCGGCTAAAATCGCCGTTTGTTACATCATTTGGATCTGAAAATAAAATGACACCGGCGGCTCCCCATCTTTCAGCTAAACGAACCTGTTATGAAAAGTTAATATATTTGTTTAAAATATTTACATGTATTGTTATGTTGTATATGGTTGGAAAGATGACATTAAATATCTTTCTATTGTCAGTGCAAAACGACAACACTTAAGCATGCGTAATTGTAATTTGGCGCTGAGGATAGAAAAATATTAATATCTAATTTCTATTCATTTTCTGTGATCAGAATATTTGACAAGCAATTTATTTTCTTTCTAATAATCAAAAAGCAACTAGAACTGCCACTATCATGGCGTGAATACCCCCGCATACCACTTTGTCAGAATCAACAGTGGCCATTTAGAGCTCAAGGACAACCTCCCTGCCAAATCTGAGGTTACTAAGCCAGTGCATTGCTAAGTTATGTATTCTACATGCTTCAAATGTGAAAATGTCAAAATCAATACATTGCGGACAGGACATTCTTAAGCAATTGAGAAGAAAAGCTTTTTTTTGTCAAGGTCCCTGTGACCTTGACCTTTGACCCAGTGACCTCAAAATCAATAGGGGTCACCTTATAGTCATGATCAACATCCATGCCAAATATGAAGACTGTGGGTCAAAGGAATCTTAAGTTAATGGGTGGACAAACTTTTTGAAGTCAAAGTCCCTGTGACCTTGACCTTTGATCCAGTGACCTCAAAATCAAAAGGGGTCATCTACTAATCATGATCAACATCCATGCCAAATATGAAGACTGTGGGTCAAAGGAATCTTAAGTTATTGGGCGGACAAGCTTTTTGAAGCAAAGGCCCCTGTGACCTTGACCTTTGACCTGGTGACCTCAAAGTCAATAGGGATCATCTACTAATCATGACTTGCCTCCATGCCAAATATGAAGACTGTGGGTCAAAGGAATCTTAAGTTATTGGGCGGACAAGCTTTTTGAAGTCAAGGCCCCTGTGACCTTGACCTTTGACCTAGTGACCTCAAAATCAATAGGGGTCATCTACTAATCATGACTTACCTCCATGCAAAATATGAAGACTGTGGGTCAAAGGAATCTTAAGTTATTGGGCGGACAAGCTTTTTGAACTCAAGGCCCCTGTGACCTTGACCTTTGACCTAGTGACCTCAAAATCAATAGGAGTCATGTACTTATCATGACTAACCTCCATGCCAAATATGAAGACTGTAGGTCAAAGGAATCTTACGTTATTGGGCGGACAAGCTTTTTGAAGTCAAGGCCCCTGTGACCTTGACCTTTGACCTAGTGACCTCAAAATCAATAGGGGTCATCTACTAATCATGACTAACCTCCATGCCAAATATGAAGACTAAGGGTCAAAGGAATCTTAAGTTATTGGGCGGACAAGAAAAAACCGACGGACGGACGGCCGGACAGCCGGACGGACGGACAAGCTGATAATAGTATACCCCCCTTATAACTTTGTTGTGCAGGGGTATAAATATTATATACATGTATACATGTATCTGTGTAGATAATATTGAAATATGTGCGCATTGACGTACATTAACTATGAGAATTCTAAGTCTAAATTTTGGTGAAGGTTAGAAATTTATACTGAAAAGCAAATTTGAACTTTATTTCAAACATAGTTGAAGTCTTCATTGACTTATTTCAAAATCAAGCTAACAATGACATTGAACATGATTAATATGAAAGAAGGCAAAGCTTATGTTCGGGGAAGTCAGATAAAATAAAGTTGGTTCATTCTTTATTTTACATTTTAAAGGTGTCATTCGATATTTCATGCACAGCTTCAATCGGAACATCTCCAGACTATTCTTCAGCCGAAAAGTTGCAATTGTTCTGTTATTGGAATATCCCGCCCAGTATCATCGAGTTGCATTTAAAATGGCTGCGCCCAACTAGATGACACTGAAAAAATTTCTGATAGGTATTGAAATCTATATAATTTATTTCTTAAGTGTTTTTTATTTATTTCCTTCTAAATATACACGTATAGTCTATAACCAGGCATTGGCAAAAGCACTGTGAGGCCCGCTTCGCGGTCCCGGCCTTTGACTTCCCCATATTAGACTTCTTTTACTAAGAGACACTTATATACGTATTACCTTATCGCCTCTGTATATTTCCCCATATCGAGCAAAAACAATCTTTCCTGAGACGTTGATACTTTTGTTATTTTCAAGGAACTGGTAATCTTCTACTCTCCCATAATTAACATAAACAATATCGCCCTGAAAAAGGGAAAAAATCATCATCAGATCTTTTGCAAGGATTTAATTTTGCTTATTTCGGGAATTGAAAATACATGTTTGCTAAGTATTTACTTTATTTATTCAACATCCCCGAAAGAGGAAATTTGATTTCGCGAACATTTGGCTGCTTGGAAATATCTGATTATACGCTATTCGCTCAAAGAATGAATTCTTTACCATTTATTTTACCAAAACTTATTCTTAAACCAATCATTTGTAACTGACATTTGTGACTGAGGGTCGAAGCTTGGGGCTAGTTGGAGGTGAAGGGACTGACCTTTCCCTATATTGAGACATTCTAGGTACACTAAGCATAAAAAAACAGAATTGGCCGCGGCAGTTACGTTCTCTTATTGATTTGAAATTCAGATCTTTGGTTAATAATCTATGTACAGATACACAGACGAAAATTGGGACTGACCGGGCCAGGTAAAACGCCATTGAAAAACTGAATCAGTGAATGACAGTTATAAAAAATTGCTTACGCATTCAGCAAGCAGGGGAATAGGTACATAATTTTTTTATATAGATAGGCGATGTTATATCAGTAATCGAACTTACAGTGTATAATGTCACATAATATTGAAATATTTTCACGTTAAGTATAAAAAAAACCTAGATAAGAAAATCAAATTACAAGTGTCATAATCTATCATATTCAATATAGCTACAAATCTTAATGTTCTTTTTTGTCTTTAGTTTAAGATAAATTTCATTTTACTACGCACACGTTTGGTTAGTATATTTTTAAAGGCCCACTACACTATAGAAATGCTATCATTTTTTTATTTCTAAAAAAATAAAGCAAAAAAAAAAAACTAAAAAAAAGGATAAAAACTTGTCTATTTATTGGCATCTTGTTGCAGTTTCCAAAACAATACTCATTTGCCATATAGATAAACTACCTTTGCTCCTTTTGCTCCGTTGGCAATTGGTATAATTATAGTGAAATAGTATTTTGAAGTCAAAATATTTGTTTGTTTACATTTTACTACTTTAACGACATATAACTGCACATTCATTGCTACTTTCTTTAGCAATTAACATCTACATGTAACATGCTCTAAATCAATTATTATTAAAATGTTTGACATTTCTTGAATGAATATAGAATCTGATGTCTGAGGCATAATGTGCCTTTAAAACGGAAGCACTTATTGTGTATCTTATAGATTCATTTTTTATTCCGTTTCGTGTGCAAAAAAACCCATAAATTGCAGGTGTGCGTTTACAAAATCCTTCAGTTTATATCCAGCAATAAATGTCCATGTACTCCACTTCTAAATTGTGGATTTAATTATTTCAGTTTCGAAGCCAGTAGTAAGCTTAAAGTGGATTGGTCTACAATAAGACACATTTTCCATAAGTTAAAAGAGGATTAGTCAGAAATAATATATGCATAAATTTTATGAATCTTGTAGGCCTCATTAATGACAGCCAAGTTGTTATATTACATAAGACCTTCAAATGTGTATACCAAAAGCATTTTTAGTTTAATATAAAAATATCAACCAAGGCAACTTAAGTTGTTGAGTTATTGGTCAGAAAAGTACAAGGTCAATATGACACTGACCCCTTGACCCCAAAATCAATAGGGGTCATCTACTGGTCATGACCAATCATTATATAAAGTTTGAAGTTCCAAGGCCTAAGCCTTCTTTAGTTATTGTGCGGAAACTGTTTTTACAGACAAGGTCAATGTGACCTTGACATTTAACCCCTTGACCCAAAATCAATAGGGTTCATCTGCTGGTCATGAACAATCATCATACCAAGTTTGAAGTTCCTAGGCCTAAGTGTCCTTTAAGTATTGAGTGGTAACCGTTTATACTTACTAGGTCAATGTGACCTTGACCTTTGACCTCTTGACCCCAAAATCAATAGAGGTCACCTGCTGATCATGACCAATCACCATACCAAGTTTGAAGTTCCTAGGCCTAAGCCTTCTTTAGTTTTTGATCAGAAACGGTTTATTCTTACAAGGTCAATGTGACCTTGACCTTTGACCCCTTTACACCAAAATCAATAGGGGCATCTGCTTGTCATGAACAATCATCATAGCAAGTTTGAAGTTCCTAGACCTAAGTGTTTTAAGTTATTGATTGAAAACCGTTCTTTACCTACAAGGTCAATGCGACCTTGACCTTTTACCCTAAATCAATAGGGGTCATCTGCTGGTCATGATCAATCACAATACCAAGTTTGAAGTTCCTAGGCCTATTCCTTCTTTAGTTTTTTATCAGAAACGGTTTATTCTTACAAGGTCAATGTGACCTTGACCTTTGACCCTTTGACCCCAAAATCAATAGGGGTCATCTGCTGGTCATGACCAATCATCACACCAAGTTTGAAGTTCCTAGGCCTAAGTATTCTTTTGTTCTTGATCGGAAACTGTTTTTACTTACAAGGTCAATGTGACCTTGATCTTTGACCCCTTGACCCCAAAATCAAAAGGGGTCATCTGCTAGTCATGACTAATCACCATACCAAGTTTGAAGTTCCTAGGCCTAAGCGTTCTTTAGTTATTGATCGGAAACCATTTTTACTTACAAGGTCAATGTGACCTTGACCTTTGACCCCTTGACCCCAAAATCAATAGGGTCATCTGCTGGTCATGACCAATCACCATACCAAGTTTGAAGTTCCTAGGCCTAAGCCTTCTTTAGTAATTGATCGTAAACCGTTTTTACTTACAAGGTCAATGTGACCTTGACCTTTGACCCCTTGACCCCAAAATCAATAGTGGTCATCTGCTGGTCATGTCAAATCACCATACCAAGTTTAAAGTTCCTAGGCCTAAGGGTTCTTTAGTTATTGATTGGAAACCGTTTTTACTTACAAGGTCAATGTGACCTTGACCTTTGACCTCTTGACACCAAAATCAATAGGGGTCATATACTGGTCATGCCCAATCACCATACCAAGTTTGAAGTTCCTAGGCCTAAGGGTTCTTAAGTTATCACTCGGAAACCATTTGGTCTACGGACCGACGGACGGACAGACAGACAAATGCAAAGGAATATATCCCCTCTTCTTTGAAGTGGGGGCATAATAAAAATAAATTCAATAATAAGAATAAATTCAATATGTGCAAGCACTACAAAGTACAAGCAAGATAAGATAAATATAAATATGACGGTTGTCCAATCAAAATCGATGCTGCAATGTGAAATATGATACTATAATAAAAGCACTTACATAAATATCCCCTGATGCCGAGTATGCATTAAATGGTGGCACGACACCAGGTTTATCTTCCTCTGGAGTAAGGATCTTTTCAGTAGTATTAGACCTATATTGCGTTACGTTATTTCCGTCTAAAAGTTCCACAAAATTGGGGTCATCCGGGTCAGGATAGGACAAGAGTACTTTATATGGCGTCATGGTCACGTGATCTAATCCGACAGCTTCCCAGTGGTCTCTGAGCTCCCTAGCTAATTCGTGACTTTCATTGGTTCCAGCTAAATGAGGTTTTTCAGTCAGCTTTCTTTAAAGATTTCAATGTATGAAATGATTTTTTTTATGTATTGTAACTTTCACCTATGTATTGAAATTACTTTTGTTGCAACATTTTTACCTCTTCTGTGACATAAGCGAAACTGACATTGTTGGAAACAGAATGATATAAGACTTTAATATCGGGTTTGAAACCATATAAGAACGAAGGACAACATCCCCTAAGACTTTCGCATCTGCATTTATAGAAATGTGAATTATTCATGTGTAATCATTTAAATTGTAAATGATTAAAAATATCAAAGTTAAGTTAAAATCTATAATTCATGCGTAATTAAGATATATGCGCGCATAATGTACATCAAGAGTTGCGCATAATGTACATCAAGAGTTGCGCATGTGCGGCGGCCATCTTTGATGCTAGATTATGACTCAAATGTCCGTTAGTACGAATGAGCATAATACTATATAAACGTTCTCTCCGGTTGCAATACAATATTACAGATTTCATATATTTTAAAAAAGTAACGTCACATGCCACAAACTTTATCCACATACCTTAGATATTTTCGTATATTGTCACTGTTGATGTTTTTCATGAGCACTTCCGCTATTTCCGGGTCCCCGTCTTTGACAAGGAATTCCGAAACCCCTTTTAAGTAGAGCCCATCTTTAACTTCCGGTTCGTCATCCGGGCGGATGGCGAAACGCCCAATGAGTATACCAATAACACATGACACAATGCAGCCGACAACCAGGATGATGTACAAATACCGATTACTGGGACTTCTTCGAAATATTTTTTCCTCCATATCCATTGCCCTGAAACATATTCAAGTTCATTTTTATTTGGATTAATTTTATTTGTATTTTTCGCATCGTGTATACATATACACTTTATCATACACTGATAAAAAAAATCGGTCCAATTCATAATTCTGGCGGTTTAGCACAAACTACAGTTTTACGTGTTTCGTGATGTTTGTTGTGTTTATATGTGTTTTTGACTTCACAGAAATAAAACACAAAAGCATGACAAACACCAGGACGACATGTTTCCACTCTGTCATGCGTTTTACCTTGGTATCAAACTATGCCACTGTTTTCTGTTCCTGAGTTCGGCCTTAGTCCTCACACCACCACCCACATTTCTATAATATTCAAATACTTTATTCAGCAAATACATGTATTTGATTTAACAACTTCACACAACAGACAAATGAATACTGGAGTGTCATTTGTGTTTTAAGTCACAAAAAAAGTCATATGACGATTTCCCAGCTTAGATGGTGAAGTAAAACCCATTGTGTTCCTCCATGCATTAATTTTGGCACGATAGGGCAGCGGAGTAGAACCACTGCAATCCATATATTAAGCAAGCTGGATCCCTGGATCCCCGCTGGATCTGAACCAACGGCGGTGAGCGGGAAGACAGCGACCTAAACCCATCAACGGTACCCACGGTACACTACATTTGTGCATGGTAAATAGACTGGTTTACCGAGCATGCCTTAACCACACAGCCACGAAGGTCCTGAAGTGTGATTAAAAAGGTAAAATCACTCTTTCTCTTGTCTTCGTAACAGGCAACAATGCAAGTGTTGGAACATATTATTATGTAATCATTAAAATATATGCATTCATTTCTTTTTGAAAAATTTGACTTGGACTTTATAGAAAATAATTTTTTTATTGCCTCCCTTTATTTACATGAAATGTTCAATTCGGTAATATCTTTATAAATAATGATTTTTGGAACTTACAAAATTGATAAATCTTAATTTGAGCATCATATTTATGATATAAAACCGTAAAAGGTTTGTGTTACAGGAACCTAAATATACTTGTTATTAACCAAAACAAAAACTGAAGTTTTCAACAGCTTCCTTACCGAATACAAACCCATGTTAAATAAATGCAATGTTAAAGGCACATTATGCCTCAGAAATCCATATTTATAAAATTCTCTAAAATGTCATGTGTAAAATTATGTATAAATAATGGACTTAATATTAAATTTTTAAATACCTACGAAAGTAGCGCTAAATTCGCAATAAATTTCTTGTAAAGGTAGAAAAATATCAATTAAGTATAGTATTTTGACTTTCACACAAAATACTTCTTCACATTAAAGCAGCACGCCTCCAGATTCATGCTAATTTTCATGAAAATTTTGAAAATGTGTTTAAACGTATTTTTTAGTGACATAACCAAAAGGAAGCAATTTACACATTATCAATGGCACTAAGTACAACCCGCGTAAATTTCGAAAAAGAGGACAAAATATGCAAAAATAGCCCTTACTCCGTTAGTAACGCAGTAGAAATATAGTTATAAATACTGAAAAACAGTCATTAATCGTACATTACATGCAAATTATTACTTGAATCTTGAATATTTTTACTTTTCCAAAAATCTTAGTACATTTTTCTCAAGTTTGATTATATTGAAATATTTTTGCTCATCTGGAGGCATGCAGCTTTAATTGTCAGCAAGGCAAAAGAAGCAATTATAGTTTATCTATATGTCAAATAAGTAATTGTTGGAAACTCTTACACAATACTAAAAATAAAAAAAGATTATGCGAAATAAAAATCATATTATTTCTGAGGCATAATGGGCTTTTAAGAATAATTATGATAACTTAGCCACCTTATACTGATATAAGGCATGCGGGATTTGTATACGTAGCGTTGATGCGTGATAAAATGCAGCATTTTGTATGTTTTTTGTAATTAGATGATTAGAGGCACTGTCTGTCATTTTTAAAATCTATATACTATGACTTTGCAATATATGTTAGCTTCAGGTAAGATATACCAAACGGTTAGCCTATTTTGATTAAAGTGTATGAATACATTACGTTGTATGAATACATTATGTGATATGAATATAAATAAGCTTTAACCCTCGACCTGCTAGTGGCGGATGAGTCTATGAATTTATCCATGCGTCTTATATAGACTAATATAGACCAAGATCAGCAAGCGTGTTCACTGTTCAGCCCGTGATCATAATATATGTATCTCTATATGAAATGAAAAAAACTGGTAAAAATTGTCATTTGTAGCAACGCACGTGCTTAACTACATTTTAGTGTTAGTAATAAAAGAAAAGCAAGAAAAATTTAGACACTTAACCCTGAAGTTCAAGATCAAGGTTAAGGTTAGTCTGTTCTACCTAAAGGAATTGTCCCAAGAGTTGTTGTGGCCAAGTATGAAGACAATACACCAAGAACATCAACATACAAGTTTGCGATTGCAACGACATCGCCGACATAACTGTAACACTACATCTACTTTAAAAAAAAACCAACAAACAAACAAAAAAACGTCGAGCTAAAAATGGAAACAGACTGTTACTACAGAGTGAATTTGGGTGATATACTGATATTACTAACAATATATAGCTAAAGCTGCGGTCTCACTTACTCACGGCACAGCCCAGGACCAACCCAGTGAGTTTTATTAAATATTTTATTCCATCCGGGGTCGAATGCCAGATGTTTCCGGATCATCCCGGACGTTGCCGGCAGAGTTACGGATGTACTCCGGTTGTTCCCGGTCGTACCGCGGTCGTTCCCGGATCACCCCGGACGTTTACGGGGCTCTGCCGGGATGTAAGTGAGACTGTGGCTTAAGAAATTTATTTGAATTATTGTTACTTGCTGTATTTGTATGCATGCTTAATTAAACACTGTAAGAAATTTTAACTCAATTACATGTACTAGTAAACCGGTAGGAATATATTCGAAGACTTTAGTTTGCACTTGACAGTATGTACAGTTCATGAACAGGCTCAATCAAACCGAGCCTTGAACATTTTCAATTTTGCCGTGTTGGGCTTTCTTTAAGGATTCTTATTTTCTCTATTGTTTCATGTTCTAATCTTTAAAACTTTAGAAATGTTACGGTTTCAAACTTTTAATATCTAAGTCATACAGTTCATTTCATCACGCAGGTCATAGATGGTGTAGGAATAAAATAGCTTACTAATAAACATGATATAAATAAAAAAGAAAAAAACTATGCTTACCAGATTATTAATTACAATAATTTAGTCCTGAATACACCGTTAAAATCCTTATGTCCATTCACTGTTAAACGTTTTGTTTTAATTACCCTCTGTTTTAATTATCATTCCCAAAACTGACTCACTATGTCCTCTTATCGGAGAATAACCTAGCTGTTGTTACCTTACTTGCACGTGTACAAGTGGAATATAAGCCGCTATCTCCCAATAAAGTAGGACTGGTGTAAATTTTAATGCAAAATGACGCGAAAAGCAAAACGGTAATTTAGACAATGTGGAAAGTCGATGACAGTGTACCATATATTAAACGTTATCAAAAATCTTATTTGCATTTTACCCCTTGAAGAAATATATATTTTTATAGCTAGAGATGAACTGCTGAGTTTTGAGCCGTATAAAAATTACGACCACAAATCTAATGCTCATCCATGAGTAAAATATTTTAATCATAGAAATTTATTGAAATCTATGAAATTCTTACTGTATATGTCTAATTTGAATAAAAGTATGAATAAACTATGTTCTAATTTGAATAAAAGAATGAATAAACTATGTATGGGAAGTTGAATTCCCTAAAACAGGTCAAGTTCAGTTGGTCTTTTCGTAAAAAAATGCCAGCTTTTTTAATGACACTATATATTCATTATATTCATACTGTGAACAACAATAGTGTGTAGACTTTTAAACATAACATATCTACTTTGTGCGAAGTCATTTTATATGTATAAAGGGACTGTGTAGCAATTATCAATATTTTCTAATATAAAATTTGAGCATAGTATATCTTTAACGTTTTTTTTCCACATCTACCCTTCTCTCGCATTTTTTTGCTGTAGTCGCAGGGCCTACATTCATGACTCTTCGTAACATTTCCAATGACATGTAGTCTTAATTTTCAAATTTATCATTGTTAAAAAGCTATCAGTTCGTAAGATTTTACCATAAAAGATTAAATTGAATCCTTTAATGCAGCCTATGCACAGCTAATCTTTTGTCAAAAATAAGCGTTATCAAGTATTATCAAGTGTTTACATTAGTTTTTTTCGGGAAATTCTAAATAAATAAAAAAAGGTTCAACACATACATGCAAAATCTATCGTTATATCACTTTATAATAAAAGCTTCCATGATGTATGTACTTCAGGTTATTAAATTTTCAAATGTTCTTCAGGGTAGGTAAGGTACTTCAGAATATTAAAGCTTTGAAAGTACTTCAGGCAATCTAAGCTTTCAATGTACTTCAGGTTATGTAAGCTTTTAAAGAACTTCAGGTTATTTAAGCTTTTAAATAACTCCAGGTGATGTAAGCTTTCAAAGTACTTCAGGCTATTTAAGATTTCAAAGTACTTCAGATTATTTAAACTTTCGAAGTGCTTCAGGTAATTTAAACTTTCAAAGTACTTCAAGGGAAATAAGCTTTAAAAGAACATCAGGATATTTAAGCTTTCAACGTACTTCAGGTCATATAGGCTTTTTAAGTAATTCAGATCAATTAAGCTTTCAAAGTACATAAGGTCATATAACTTATAAGCTTTCAAAGTACTTCAGGTTATGTACACTTTCGAAGTACTTCAGGTTATGTACACTTTCAAAATACAACAGGTTATTTAAGCTTTCAAAGTACTTCAGATTATTCAAGCTTTCGAAGTACTTCAAGTAATTTAAACTTTCAAAGTACTTCAGGCGATGTAAGCTTTTAAAGTACATCAGGTTAAAAAAGCTTTCAAAGTACTACATACTATTTAAGCTTTCGAAGTACTTCAGGTAATTTAAACTTTCAAAGTACTTCAGGTGATGTTAGCTTTTAAAATACATCAGGTTATTTAAGCTTTCAACGTACTTCAGATCATTTAAGCTTTCAAAGTACATAAGGTCATATAAGCTTTCGAAGTACTTCAGGTTATGTACACTTTCAAAGTACAACAGGTTATTTAAGCTTTCAAAGTACTCCAGATTATTTAAACTTTCAAAGTACTTCAGGTGATGTAAGCTTTTAAAGTACATCAGGTTATTTAAGCTTTCAATGTACTTCAGGTCAGGTTATGTAAACTTTCAAAGTACTACAGGTTATCTACGCTTTCAAAGTGCTTCAGGTTATGTAAGCTTTCAAAGTTCTTCAGGTGATATAAGCTTTCGAAGTTCTTCAGTACATATTATTTAAGCTTTTAAAGTACTTCAGGTTATGTAAGCTTTCAAAGTTCTTCAGGCCATATACGCTTTCAAAGTACTTCAGGTTATTTAAGCTTTCGAGGTACTTCAGGTTATGTTAGCTTTCAAAGTATTTTAGGTTATGTAAGCTTTAAAAGTACTTAAAGTTATATAAGCTTGCAAACATTATATACAAAGCCATATAATATACCAGAGCTTAATATGCTTATATATCCTGATTCGCTTGAAAAAACGTTTAAAACAGAGGATATTTATTGTTTTGCACCAGTCTGAAAATATACAAACTGGGTTATGCATGTATATGTTGCTAAAACTGCAAATATGGTTCCAAGCTTAAAACAGATGTTAAACATTCACAATTTATTTTGACACCCATATAATGTTGATAGAAAAAAAACTGGCATGGCACGTGGGAGGGAAACAAAAATAATTTTAAGGCTTGCTGGATGTTGATATAGCCACGAGTGAAAATGTATAGGAGCTTGCGTTCACGAGTGACATATAATTTGATCCTACATACAAAAACAAAACAAAATGTCAACATTTAAAAGAACACTTATCATATATCAACAAAGCTTAAGCAGTTTTTTTTTAAATGAGATCATATTTCAACTTCTATCATAATTATACTATATATGTACACGATAGACGCTTTTAATGATCGATAGAAAAAAAATCGCTCATAAAAGCGGTAAGCCCGAGGTCAGCACTGATTTGGCTACTGGGGATTGAGGAGATATTTTAAAAGAACGAGACTCAGACTCCTCATGCTCCTTTACTGTAGGCGTTAATGGGATATTAATTTCCTTGGTATTATTATATAGATATGATAGTAAGTCTATATTAGTCCAGGTTACTGTATAGCTCCATGTACATGCATTATCCACAGGAACTTGATTTGTTTTAATCAATAAATCTCAAAATATACGTACATTTGTATATTAAAGATAAGAGATAAGGGCTAAATCTGTAATAATATATGTGCGTATATTTTGTGGGTAACTAGTATTATAGTTGTATTCGAAACGGTGCACTATCCGAATATCGCTTCATTTTGAAACCAAATATTTTGATTTATAAAAGGTGAAATAAAGATGTACTTACATGTATGTATACGTTTCCATAACAACACGAGAATGTCAGATGATTTATTATACGCATCATGTAACTTTTAAATAAACTTTGCTGTTTTTCTCTCTACAACTTATAGTCCATTGACCTTTTTTCAAATGCTTATTCCCCCTTGTAAATAAACAACATCGCTAGTTATATATGTAACGCATTTACCTTTAACAGTGTTTATTAAATCAATCTATTTGAACTGAACTTGTTGTAGTGTAATACATCACAAAAAAACGAAGAATAAAGGCCAATTAATGATATACCTGCATCTAAAATGAAATTATCGATTAAAGATGGATTGAAAACATATAATATTGAATCATAACATACACCATTATACTTGATATGTACTACATGTAGCCTAGTTAAATGAACCTGTGGTGACCCACTTTAACCACGTACATACGTGTACCGACAGCAGCCTAAAGTCAATAATTGAGATCGATTATGTGGAGGAGGGGTGGGGGAGAGGGGCGCCAATAGGTATTCTACAGGTTTCTTAAGGGGGCGGGAGTCATTGTCCTTCAGAGGATGGGGTGTTATTTTTTTCTATAGGAAAATGCATGCTACTGTTTTTAATAGCAGACGTGTTAAAACGACAATCAGCAACACTAAATCACATTTCCTCAGATTTCAACCACGGTACATAACCGGGTATCTATATAGTTTATGGTTTTTTTTGTTATTGTTTTGTTTTTTTTTTTTTTTTTTTTTAAAGAAAATCTTTAATGTTTTTTCGGTTCAGTTGTAAAATTTCTAGAGCGTTTAACATTTAATTGGACTTGGAATAATTTTCGAAGTTTTATAGTACACTTAATTATTTAAAGCGTCTACTTTTAACATTTCATTTCCAACTATTCTAACGTAAAGAACCATCAAAATATTGTCTGGATTACCATAAAGTTGATTTGCTGTCCCTCATTTTTATCGAAAGATTTAATACAGGGACGTTAAAATAATTAATTAATGCATTCAGTTAGCTTTATTGCGATTAAAATATATATCTATTTTTTTATAAAAGAAAAAAGGTCATGAAGGCAAAATTCAATTTATATTTGACTTTGTGATTATTTTTTTCTTTATCTGCTTATGGACAGGTTTTTCCATGTGACCTGGTCTGTCTTAAAAATCAAGACCCAACACCCTGTGCACGTCTGGCTAACAAGACAAGATCCTGTGCACGTCTGTCTAAAATGACAATTTAAGACCCTGTGCACGTCTGTCTAACAAGGCAAGACCATGTGCACGTCTGTCTAACAAGACAAAACCCTGTGTACGTCTGACTAACAAATCGATACCCTGTGCACGTATGACTAACAAGACCAGATCCTGTGCACGTCTGACTAACAAATTAAGATATGATCTGTGCACGTCTGACTATCAAGACAAGACCCTGTGCACGTCTTATAATACTAACAAGACAAAACCCTGTGCACGTATGACTAACAAGACAAGACTCTGTGGACGTCTGACTAACATGACATGATCTATGCACGTCTGACTAACAAGACAAGTACCTGTGCACGTCTGACTAACAAGACAAGATCCTGTGCACGTCTTACTAACAAGACAAGACCCTGTGTACGTCTGTCTACAAGACAAGACTCTGTGGACGTCTGACTAACATGACATGATCTATGCACGTCTGACTAACAAGACAAGACCTTGTGCACGTATGACTAACAAGACCATGTGCACGTCTGACTAACAAGACAAGACCCTGTGTACGTCTGACTAACAAGACAAGACCCTGTGTACGTCTGTCTACAAGACAAGACTCTGTGGACGTCTGACTAACATGACATGATCTATGCACGTCTGACTAACAAGACAAGTACCTGTGCACGTCTGACTAACAAGACAAGATCCTGTGCACGTCTTACTAACAAGACCATGTGCACCTCTGTCTACAAGACAAGACCATGTGCACGTCTGACTAACAAGACAAGACCCTGTGCACGTCTGAATAACAAGACAAGATCATGTGCACGTCTTACTAACAAGACAAGACCCTGTGCACGTATGACTAATATGACAGGATATGTACACGTCTGACTAACAAGACAAGACCCTGCGCACGTCTGACTAACAAGACCATGTGCAGCTCTGTCTACAAGACAAGACCCTGTGCACGTCTAACTAACAAGACAAGACCCTGTGTATATCTAACTAACAAGACAAGACCCTGTGTGCGTCTGTCTACAAGACAAGACCCTGTGGACGTCTGACTAACATGACATGATCTATGCACGTCTGACTAACAAGACAAGTACCTGTGCACGTCTGACTAACAAGACAAGACCCTGTGCACGTCTGTCTAACAAGACAAGACCCTGTGCACGTCTGACAAATATGACATGATCTGTGCACGTCTGACTAACAAGACAAGTACCTGTGCACGTCTGACTAACAAGACAAAACCTTGTACACGTCTGTCTAACAAAACAAGACCATGTGCACGTCTGTCTAACAGGACAAAACCCTGTGCACATCTGACTAACATGACATGATATGTGCACGTCTTACAATACTTTGTGCATGTCTGACTAACAAGACAAGAACCTGTGCACGTCTGTCTACAAGACAAAACTCTGTGCAAGTCTGTCAAACAAGACAAGACAATGTGCATGTCTGACTAACAAGACAATACCCTGTGCACGTCTGGCAAACAAGACAAGACTCAGTGCACGTGTAGCTAACAAGACAAGACCCATGTTCACATCTAGCTAACAAGACAATATCCTGTGCACGTCTAGCTAACAAGACAAGACAAGACCTGTACACGCCTGTCTAACAAGACAATTTAGACCCTGTGTACGTCTATCTAACAAGACAAGACCCTGTGCACGCCTGTCTAACAAAACAATACCATGCGCACGTCCTTTTACCAAGACGAAACCCTGTGCACTTCTAGCTAACAAAACAAGACCCTGTGTACACCTGTCTAACAAGACAAGACCCTGTGCATGTCGTACCCCGTGTTGAGGTTTAGCTCTGGATATCTGAACAATACTGTTTGTAAAGCTGGTGCATATCTTTTATGGTTGTGTCCAAAGGGACCCGGCACAGTGTTAGGATAGTGTAAAAAAGTAATTCTAGAAAAAAAATAGTTTATAAATAATATATAGACATTACATATAAACTATATATTTTTTCTAAATTACTTTTTTACACTATCCCAAAACTGTGCCGGGTCCCTATGGTTGTGTTGACATCAAAGCTTTCCGTGCTTTAGTTATTCGATCATAACCTCATGTCTATTATGTTGTATCTCCCGCAATTCAATCAACAAAGATTTTGTTCAATATTTATGTATTTTATTCATATACATGGTATTGTTAGTAATTATACGTAAAAAGGTATGAAATATATAGATCTATGTACATGTATACTACAAGAATGGATAACAATAAAATATATATAAATATATATATAAATATATAAATTCACATTTTGACAATAAGTTTCAAAATATATTTTTTATCATACTAAAAACTATTTATATTACACAAGTCTAAGTCTAATAATTATTACATTCATGTATGTGATGCAAGTATATAAAATATATAAAGTTCCTATGAAATATATTAAGATTTATAATTAATAATTAAACATAAAATTTGTGACGTCCATTATAGTAGTAGATGCAGACTGAATTGTAAATAAAACTACAGAAAAATGTTTCTTGACGATTGTCCACTGTTTATCCACATCACGTCCGATATTGATTTCTTCCAAAGCGTCAGTAATTCCCGGAAAGCTGCTTCCAGAGTACGCATTTACAGAACTTTCCGCGAATAAGATTTGTCTGAAACAAAACATATAAATCAGCGGAGGAAATTCGACAAAAAAACAAATAAGTGTATTCTTTAAAATATACAAGGATCCATTCATTCAGTTGATTAATACAAACAATTCTCAGGTGCGTTATTGTGCCTTATTTGACAAATTTAGCATTTTTGACGTTTTATTCTGTGAACATGTTGATAAAAGAATCAGTAACGTCCAATATGCGTATTTATGGTATACTTATAAATGAAATATCGAGAAATACTGATGAAATAAAATGCGCATTCTCATTTTCGATTTTGAATGCAGTGAAACATATTTCCGTATTTTCAGCAATAGTATAAAAGCGAAATTTGCGGCCCATCGTTGATAACGGACATTTCTTTACTTTATTTAACAAAAATGAAATTACCTTTTAAATTCACGCCCTGGCAGACCAGCAGGGTCCATAAACGCTCTGTCAAGCTGCATTAGTTGGTCGTTAATACGACGGGCAACAAATGGGCTAAAATGTACCATATAAATGATGAACACATAAAACACATTCATTTCATTTTCTATATAGTCAATTAAAAATTTGTTGTATTCTTAGAAACAATGTTACATAATTATGTTTGCATGTTTGTTTCTTTTATTGATTGATTAATTTGATTGAGTGATTGATTGATTTGATTTGATTTGATTTGATTTGATTTGATTGATCTAAAGGCGACTTTTTAACGCATGCTTTTGTCATATCTCGGCGGTTTGTCCACCTAACCGGTTCTCAATTCTTTTTCAAAACCGTCAAAATCAAAGAAAATCAAATAAATAGATATAATGCATCAAACATTACATGCATAACGATTGTATACGTGTATAATATAGGGTACTAACTCTTTTAAGTTTGCATTCTTCATGCTATTCTGGAAGTCGTCTGCAGCATTTGTAAAGTTGTTTATAGCTGATTCTAGGAGTGCTGTAAAACATTAATATTGTGGATAATTAACAAAATGAACACTTCAGTGCACATATGTTTTCAAATGCGTAGGGCTTCGAACTTCGGACAAAAGTTAAAACACTCAAAATTGTGTGTCTGAATGACTAAACGGATGAAAATGTTACTATAATGTTCATCTCATCGCCGGATATCAACAGCCGAACCATTAACATTTGTAATGTTACATGTTAATCAACCGTTGGTATCCGACGATGATCTAATCTTAACGAATATAAAAAAATAATATACATTTTGAAAAATAAAGAGAGAAAAAGTAAAATATATTTTTCAAATTACTCAGCTCAAATTTATTTGCATACATGATTAACATATGCTATATATTTATGGTGCGCCATATTCTCAATTGTTCAAACAGGACCATTATGTTGAAAATCGTTCCCGTTTTTCACCCGGCTTAATAATTATGTAAAACATACATGTTTCGATCATCAGATTAAAATGTAAATCTGTTAAAAAATGTAATCCTTTTTTTTTCAAGAAACACATTGCCTCTTCTGTACATTTTTAAAAAGAACTTTTAATCTAAAATTTAGCGATTGAATTCTATTAACAACTGTAAAGTACAACTTCATAATTGTGACGCCGTTATAAATGTCTCAAATATTTTGCCGTTAAATATCGCACCATTTTCCTTCACCGTTAAATGTTACAAAACTATCGTTTCTAAATTCATGTTAAACAACTGGTATTATGGCAATACCAACGTTATGCACTAGCTAATTATCAGATAGGAACAGATTTGCTGTGATGTTTTTAGTTGAAATTGTAGTCATCTTAGTCAGTATTATAAATTGACGACCACAACTTATGCAAAAGATTCCCGTGGTGATAAAACACATTTGTTATACGTTTTTCATTGAACAATCAACATGTCGTGGATTCAGCTACGAAATCAGCTTGAGATGGGTCTATTTATTCTAGAAAGATTCAATTAATTCAATCTCAGAATTTTTTTAATTTTGTGTCGGGCTTTCACTTCATTGTTTTATCGGCATTAAAGGTATTATGCTATATGTGTTATTATTTTGCTTCAATCAGATTACAGTTTTACAAATTTATTCGATGCAATCATAACTTATGGTCACATATGCAAAATATCAGCCCAGTGTCTTTTCTTGAGAATGTTACAGGCGTCCGAAATGAAATGCTGCCGTTACAGCAGACGGCTGTCAGAAAATCAAGCTAATTGTTTATTCGTATTGTAATATCCACAATTGAGGCTTTAAACTATCATTAATTTTGTTAAGACTTGCAAATATATTTAGTGTCAGAATTGACGATTAATCAAATTTAATCTTTTTTTCTTGCAGCCAATCACATTACCTTTTTCTATTACAAGAAATTAAATAAAATGCCCTCAGGTTAATATTTGAAAACAAAGTGTGAAATATGTCTTCCATATTTATCGCATAAAAAACGTTTTTTAAAAGTATCATGTTTTGCAACGTAAGAATAATTCTGTCATATATATACGTACGGTGAATGAAAAGAAGAAAAAACTTTAAACAGAAATTATATATGATCTTTTAAAATTTCATAACGGACTTTAAAGGACGTTAACTGATACCCCATTTGCTTTGCATTACTATTGCTGTATATAAACCATTTCAAAACACATCTGTGAAACTTAGCCTCCTTATCAATAACAATAAGGTAATGGCATTTGTCTGCCCTTAAATAAAAGGGCGGACAACTCTTTGTCTCCCGTCCTTGTAAGAGAAGGGAATTCCTGTGATGCTGTATGTGGTCGCACGGTCACTTTCCTAACAACATGTCCTCGATGCATTTATGTGGTCGCATGGTCGAAAATCTCTAATAAAATGGCAACGTTTTCAAAGGCGTTTTAGTACGGAACAGTCCGGAGCAAAGTCTTTATGTTATTAAAAACAGCTGTTTTACTTGTAATAAGGAGTTTGTTACTTCTGTTTAGGAGTTTCAGAGGTCTAAAATGATGACTTTAACTTTTAATTGAAAGCTATAAAAGCCTACTTAGCAATTTGACTCTCCTTTATATATAGGAGAGATCTAAAACCCGTTTTACAATTTCTTACTACAATTAATAGATTTTTTTTATTAAATTAAAGAATGAGAAGAAAGTAACCTAATAACAACTTAAAAGCATTAAAACCCCTAATCAACATAAATCAAAATTTCAAAAAAAGGGGTTGAGGAATAAAAATCTTTAATAGGAGGAGCTTCAAAGGACTTAATATAAATTGAACATTGTACCTTCTATTTACGTTTTTTATTCAAAGAACAAATAAGAATTATGTTTTTCTAAGGAGGACATTTCATGTCTTAATTAGTTTTTTAAACTTCTAAGTAGGACATATGAAGTCCTAATTAGATTTTAGACATTAAAACGTCACACAAACACAGTAAGGTCATAAAGCAATTTTCCAGAACATTTTTGGTGCCTCTTTGTGCACGGAAGGGAACTTGAGTCCGACGTTCCGTAAGGTGGATCGATAGCTTCCTCACAGGAAATAATCCTAAGTCCCTGGTGGGATTCTAACCCACAGCGGTGAGGGGCAAGTAGATGTACACTAGTCTAGTTTTAAATTTGCAAAAGTACTCAAAGCAATATCTTTAAAATGACTATTATCTGCACCTAACATGTAGAGTAAATGCAGAGTGTTTACATTTTATATAATTAATTGCAAACAAAAAAGACATTTACAGTGTATTGGTCTATCATGGAAAGTGTGTTATACCATAGATAGTTATGGTGATTGTATTCAGTATGATAACAAACCATGAAATGATTAAATGTGGATATTGATTATGATATGTTCTTGAACAATGTAGCAGTAATTCATCATATAAATGTCATGTAGATTAACACTTTTTGTTTAAGAAATATTTTGTGAGATTTTCAAAATGATATGTTTCTATTGTTTATAAATATGTGAAAGACATCTATAGATATCTTGAAAATTTGCCAATTATAGACCAATCCACTTTAAGAAGCATCTTGAGCCGGCAGATGTAACGTGACATTCCTTTATGTTCAAAAGTTACTAAATATGTAAAGATATTTACTCAATGTGTATTGAAATTTAATACCACCAGTTTCCTTAATTATATCATGAATATACATTTAGCGACACCGAACGGTAGTGTTGCGACATTCAACGTCAAGGGAAAGTCGTGCGACATTCATGTTACCATTGCGATATTGAGCGGCAGAAGATTTTGCGATACTTAGTGGTGGTTGCGACATTTAGCGACAATGCTGCGACATTTATATTAGTGGGAAGTGCGACATTAAGCGGCAATGCGACATATAACGGCGGCACAATGATTTTTTTTAAATTATAGGATCATTACTTAAGATACATTCTTAGATACTGCTTACTATCAATAAGTTAATTGAACCGTTCTTTGAATATCTCCTGGCAGCTTCAAAAATAATCTATTTAAACAATAGAAGTGGATAATTACATGTATTTAGACCGTGGTCATTCAGTTGTTGACCATATTTTGTTATCAATGTTTGTCCAAGATCTGCCATGACAGCCGAGTAGTCGGAAACATTGAAGGGTAGTATCAAACTATCAGCCAAGTCTCTCGCCATTTCACTCAATAACTGACTTAGCGCCGTGTGATACTGAAAATTAAAACAAAACAATCACAATAGAATTACTTAGACACATTTCAACATGAACAGTTTTATCATGCATGTATTTGCGGTTCTAATAAACGGTTAAGTACGTATGTGAGAAGTTAGCAGTGAGCATTGAGCTTAGCACTAAGCATATATAAATTGTAATGCTTAGTACTTAAAGCTGTTTGTTCACTGCTACCTTTTCATATACGTGGAGCATTTCAATAACACTTGAAATGTATTGCAAAGTATTAAATTGGTAAAATTGAAGAAATCATTCGACAGTTCGGAGGGTTGATAAAATCGTTTTGTTCAAAAACTGGAGAAAAAAATGTGATCCCTCGGAAGCACTAATCACAACAAAATTACATGAAAATTGAAGATTCGGTTTGATTGAGGGATGATGAAAAAGTGCAACATCCCTCACTACCAACCACTAGCACCGGCCTGGGCGGTATTCAATTTTCAACACTTAAAAGTGCTTGAATCAATCATCCTAGAAAAATATAACAACACTGAAGTGAAGTACGGGGCAACTTTTTACGGCTGCCACACAGGACTTGACACCTGCTGTTGTGAAGTATAAAAATCTGGAAGAACTGTGATCCCTCGGAAGCATTAATAACAACAAGAAAAATTGCAGACTTAGTTTGACTGAGTCTGTACATGAGGGATTATGAAAAAGTGCAACATCCTTCAAGCCCCCTAGCACCGGCTATGTATCATGCACATATGATCACGTTGCTGAACACCTAATAGTTATAATAGTGAAAAACATGTTATTTTGTATAGGATCCTTTCGCCAATTTATTTATATTTCAGGCATTAATCGGACGGCTTGGCGGTGTGGTCAAGTGTTTCACGAATAGGTCTAATAACCTAAGATGTCTTGCCACATGGGTTCAAACCCCATCAGAGACAAACCGTTGTTTACTTGAGCTAGAAGATTTACACAAAGTGCTAAGGACTGGTTAGTTCAAAAATGTTTCTATAAGCTTACATCTTATTTAACAATTGAACTAAAATAATTCTTTATAAACTAGCCGTTCAATAGTAAACCTAGCAAGAATTCTTTGATTATGTATCCATCAATGTCTCTATTTGCTGATCAGTTATCCGCTAGCTTAATTTCCTTCATTCTGAACCTTTCCAACTTATGAATTTCCTACTTACGTAATCGGTAATCGTTTTTTTACCATTTTCAAACTGAATAAACGTTTTTATTGTTTGGTTATGTATAGGAAAAGCTCGAATCAATAATAAGTTTAATAACGTTCTAATAATGGATAAAAACATTTTAGATGTTTAATAACTGAAGAAAGTAACAATTAATGTGCAGTAATGTGTGATTAAGAAGCAAAATGTAAACAAAACAGTTCTTTTACTTCCGTACAAAATACTTATTAACTATAATTATACTAACTGCCAACAGAGCAAAAGAAGCAAATATGTATGGCAAATAGGTATTTTTTTTGGAAACTGTGACATTGATACCAAAATAAAAGTTTTTTGAGAAATAAAAATGACAGCATTAATGAGGCTATGAAGCTAGAATGGGCCTTTAAAACTTAGTGACATACCTTAAATCCACGATCCATTATTTTATCAACAAGATAAAATGTCTCATATGCCGTATGGTACATTGGATAAATTGAAACTTTCAATTTTTTCTGAAAATATAGAGTTCGTAAAGTATTACCAGTTTCAATGGAAATTTTTTTAAGCATGTCTAAAACGCAATGTAAATATTCATTAGATAATCAATATTATTTTTTTATCAATATTGTCTTAAAAAATTGATTTGTAAATATCTAAAAATATATTACAGTTTTTACAGTAACATGATCCTTTCCACACTCGCATGATCATTTCAGCGCTCACACGAGTCTTGCCTTATTCACACAAGCTTTCTACACTCACACAAGCTTTTCCACATTCACATGAGCCTTTTAACACTCACATGAGCCTTGCAACACTCACATGAGCCTTTCCACACTCACACGAGCCTTTCCACACTCACTTAAGTCTTTTCCATACCACATGAGCCTTTCCACACCACATGAGCCTTTCCACACTCACATGAGCTTTTCCACACTTACATGAGCCTGTCCACACTTACAGGAGCCTTTCCATACTCAATGAGCCTTTCCACACTCATATGAGCCCTTCCAGACTTGTATGAACCTTTCCACACTTACATTAGCCTTTCCATACTCCCATGAGCCCTTCCACATTCACATGAGCCTTTCCACAGTCATACAAGCCTTTCCACACTCACATATGCCTTTTCACAGTCATCTGATGCTTTCCACACTCACATAAGCCTTCCCATACTCCCATGAGCCCTTCCACCATCACATGAGCCTTTCCACACTCATACAAGCCTTTCTACACTCATACAAGCCTTTCCACACTAACATATGCCTTTTCACAGACACATGAGGCTTTCGAAACTCGCATGAGCGTTTCCACACATATATGAGCCTTTCCACACTCATACAAGCTTTTTCACACTCAGATAAGCCTTTCCACAGTCACATGAGGCTTTCCACATTCACATGAGCCTTTTCACACATAAATGAGCCTTTCCACACTCATACAAGCCTTTCCACACTCACATGAGGCTTTCCACACTCACATGAGGCTTTCCACACTCACATAAGGCTTTTCACACTTACATGAGCCTTTTTCCACACTCACATAAGCCTTTTCACAGACACATGAGGCTTTCCACACGCACATTAGGCTTTCCATACTCCCATGAGGCTCATCATCACATGAGCCTTTCCACACTCGCATAAGCCTTTTTCACAGTCACATGAGGCTTTCCACGCTCACATGAGGCTTTCCACACTCATATGAGGCTTTCCCCACTCACATGAGGCTTTCTACACTCACATGTGCCTTTCACCACTCACATGAGCCTTTCCACACTCACATAAGCCTTGTTTCACTTACAGGAGCCTTTCTACACTCACATGAGAGTTTCTTTACTCACATGAGCCTTTCCATACTCACATGTACCTTTCCACACTAACATGAGCCTTTCCACACATACATGGACCTTACCACATGAGAATTCGAGTAAAAATTGCTTCCATGATATCGGAAATGTATCATATAAAAGTGTATTTAACTCACATTGTATTTAAAATGGAGATCGATAATCGGAAGGCCCAGTCTGTCTCTGAATGGAGCATAGTCACTTCCGGACCCTGGTATATTGATTCTGTATGGATAATGGATGAGTAAATAAATTACTTAAACGCACCGAAAATTTCCCTTTATATACATATTTGTATGAGTTCATATTAATCAATAAGAATATAACAGATCACAGGTGCTTGAAACAAACTTTTTTATGTTCTATATGGGCTATATACTAAAATAATATACATGTATAGGCCGATTATGTAAATTATTTGATTATGTGACTGTGTAATAGATGAAATAGCAACTCGTAAGAAAAAAGTTGATTAACTTGTACATGTACAAAATAGTGATCACAATTATTCTCGGACTCCCCTTTTCATTTTGAAATACATCAAAATTAAAGTATTCATTCGACATCACTTACCCTAAAGTAAAATAAACGCTATTTAAACATCAAAAATAAATATGCAAATGAAAAGGCGGTCAAATACACTTGAAACATGTCTGTCATGGCGGATTCAGGCCCGGGCTTCAGGGCTGCAGCCCCCCCCCCCCCCCAGCTCTGCCCAAAGATACATTTACCAGCTGGACTGGAATATATTTTTGTCCGTTTCAAATAGTATACTCCCTTACCAAAATATTTATTGCTGTCATCCAGTTGCTAATCTCCTGCCTGGGGGCTTGGCAGAGATCTTTATCTACCAACATGCTTGAATGACTTTAATGTTTAAACTGCCTAATTGATTGGTTGATTACTTTCTAAAGGTCTAATGAAATTAATGTCACAGATAGTGGCAAATAGATGTGTTACATTGTACACTATATTTTACTATCTTAGTTTTTCCTTTCAATTCTTTTTTGGAAGCCCTATAATTAAGAAATTATTTGTAAATTAAAAAAATGGCGAGTTTTATGAAGGAATCGCTTTTTAATACTTAACTATAACTTTAATTATCAAGATGAAATGATTGGTCATTTACTTCTAATAACTTTTTATGACAGTTATATTTTTTAAATAAGATTTAAATTGTAGTGACCTCTGGATTCATCGATGGAAAAAAATCTTATTGAATATTAGTGTTTGAAATAATGTTTTTTGTACAATTTGAATAGAAAGGCAGTATTTTAATATCACTTTATTTATTCATATCAGAAAATTGATATTTGAAATTATTTTTATCAACGGTCGTGCATACATTGGTAATTAAGTGTGTTGTTCTTTTGTAAATGCTTACTCCTAAACACCAGAGGAATTCTATTTGAAAGACCTTGCAAACACTAACCTATACAAAATATAATGTGATGTTAAACCATCCAAAAGGTACCATAAACAGCAGAAGGAAGTCAAGGAAATAACATCATTTACAACCTCATATTTCAAAATCTTCTCAGTCTATGGGAGGGGACACCCCTCCCAGGCCCATCCCAATTACATGTATTTTTATTAATTCCATACAATCTAAACATTTACAAAAAACATTAGTGTACACATATATAAGCAAAGTACATTGTCACTCATAAGATAAGCTATAAAACCCACCAATTACAATTTTTGTCACATGAACAAGATGCTGGTCCAATCTTCAAACATGCACAATTTTCGCCTGTTGCGTTATTTTTATAAAAAATCTTCCACCCATATGTCAGCCCCCCCCCCCCCCCCCCCCCCCCCCCCCCCCCCCAGGAAACCATGTTCTGTATCCGCCCCTGCATCGTGATGATAAGAGTCAAAGAAGTATTTTGCATTAAATATGTTAAATACGTTAAAGAAAATGGTTCATTATTCAACGAGTTGTCAAACAAGAGTTTTTGACCTGGTTAACTGGCTCTAATGAAACCAACACAAATATTTCAATACTCACTTTGGTCGTCCAAATTTTGGGTCCGGAGACACATTATACCACGTGTCATAGATAGTCTTTCGTCCTGCCGCTATTTCGTCACTGTTTGGGTTAGGAATCTTTTTAGTAGCTTTTAGCAAAGAATGATACAATTGTGGAGTCCCTTCCGCGTTCAGAGAAAAGTTTCCTAGAATAAAACATCATGTCATTTATATGTGTTTTATTATCTTCAATTAACAGAATTTGACATTTTCTATAATACCACATGGTAACAAAAAGAGACGCCTACGGGTACGTTGTCAATCATGTTTTGTCGGGTTACTTATACGTAGAATTGAAATACTTTCTTCATGTTCGAAGCTTGGAACCAGTTTATAGGCTCCTACGGTATGCAGTAGTTCTCTTGTACAATAAGAAACATTAGCTCTATTTTCCAGGAAGGAGCCTATTTCACGAAAAACATTTTTTTTCCGAATTCCAGACTGAACACCGACTCCTATTTATTTTTTTTTGGAAATGCTAATACATGTTTAACGTATGATCGCTTTTTCACTTAAATTTAGTATTTGTTGTGGACACGGTACTATAGGGAAGGAAAGGAAAAAACTACATCTAATATATATTTACTTTTTGTGAATATGTATACGGTTTTATTTATGCATTCGTGGGTGGTGGGTGTCCGAAAGATCACTACGTCATGACAGGCTGTAGGATATGAAACTTGGTATTCATATTTTTAAAAAAATGGTCAGTACTTTTGGCCGCAACACAACATTTAAAGAAATTTTAAAAAATGCATTAACGTACCCCACACAGCGACATCTACATTCAGATACCCGATTGCACGTGCTCCAAGATTCTTCACGTAGTGCTGATAAAAATAAAATAAAAGAAGAAAACAATTTAAACATAAATAGTTGTAAAAATAAGTTGATGTAGCTTGATTTAAGCAAAACATTTCGTTCGCTGATGTTGAATGTCCAAATTTGGTTTTTGTGACATATGTGATATTAATATGATATATACTCAATTTCTAAATAATGTATACTAATGTATTGTTATTGCAATGATAATTTTGGTATACAATACAAATAACTGTATATTTATTTTTTGGTTATTAAAACTTCGGATTAATGTTCTTGAAGATTACCCTGCCTTAATTACCAGACTGTCAATTCAACGCTGTATAAATGAATATATGAAGTACTGGGTATACGGAAAGGGACTAAACTAGCCGAAAATGTTCGAGTTTTTGATTAGTGGAATACATTCTATCAGAATTTATTTTTCAAATAAAAGAAGTAATCATAGTGACATATTTAATCCGTATATCATATCGCAAGTTGATGAAAAATTCTGACAGGCCAACAAGAAGTATCTTTAAAAAGATACTCGAACGATGTAAAACTGATTTTATTTGTCTTTCAGAATGCAAATGTTTTTCCGGGACGTTATTGGTATTTTGTTATTTATAACATTTTTTTCTGTTGATTAAAATATTCACTAGAGAATTAATGAAATTTTTCAAAGCAGTGTAAAGTATGTACTCGGAGGAAGTTTACAGATCTGAAATATCCGAGAAATTTAACTGGAACGTTTGTTTCCGATTCTCCTTTATATCCTTTTATAATTGAGACGTGTATACGTTTCAGAAATATCCTTTAGATTATTATACTAATTTTAGAATGGCTAATGAGATTCCCAGATTTCAGTTTGTAATTTTAAAATGACCAATAAAAATCCTTCAGGTATTCAGTTCTTATCTGTAAATTTTACGGGAAGCCACGATCACAGACGGACTTCGTCCGAAAAAAATGCAAAAGTCGATTTTTAGTAGATATGAAACGATTACTGTAATATTTTACCTCAACCCATTCCGTGGAACCTATCAGTCCGTATTCTTCCGCTCCCCAACTACAAAACATTATAGACCGGCGAGGTCGCCATTTCCCTATATTAAATTAATAAATATCTTTGATTATTTAAAGTATAGGTTAGTGTTTCTCAGTCAGCATTATCTGCATTAGATGTGTCTGAAAATTCACTGTGCATGACTATAATTATTAGAAACGTGTTATTAAATTATATTTTGCCCATTCAGATGGTTCCATTTTTCAAATTCTTTGGTACATTTAGTTTGAACCACAACTCATCATTTAATATTGTTAAACCCGTTAAACCCGTTCCTTATAGAATGTCAGATACATATATGTATTGTGTACCACTTTGTTGGTTAGTTTTTGATAAGGTACATTTATCATCAATTAAATTACTTTAATTAATTACAATAAACCTGACGCCCGGCTACACTTACCTACTCTAAAATCTTGCACAATGAATTTTCATTCAGCATCATCAACAACAACAACAAAAACCCAACAAGTAAGGAGTTCAATTTTGTTTTTATTCTTACTATACCTAGCTCTACAATATTGGCATATTTATTTTAGATAAAAAAATCTTTGCAAAAGATAAAAATCTTAATATTTCTTACGACTTAAACAGACAGTTTAATAAGCTACTCGGTGAAATGTATTAAGTAGCCGGTGTTTTATTATTACCTTTGACTTTAATTGAATCAGATATTTAATTTCGTTTTATCTATGTAAATGCAGTCGTGATATTTACATAATTTATTCTTAAATATCATTTATGGAAGCAAAATACAATACATAACTGCATGTTCAGCTCTACTTTTTCAGTTGTTAAACAACTAACATGCTCTTAATCCATTATTCAAACATTATGAAATACATGTTTAACATTTCTAAAGAATCATATTTTAATATGAGTAAATTGTTTGTTACCAGACTTAACGAGCTGTCCCATCACACGTGACACTTCCATCATGACAGCTGTACCGCTAGACGGGTCAAGAGCACCGAACACCCACGCGTCTCTATGGTTACCAATCAGCACGTAGCGATCTGTAGAAAACGGTTAAATGAACGTTTTACGAGTATGTGTTTTAGTGTGCTTTTTTCCATAAAATAAAATAATTATCAAATATAACTTTGGGTCTATTGGTCATCTATATCTTTCCATCATGTGGAATTTGTATTCGGTTACTTGCGGATAAATTGGTAATTACTGGTTAGTTATCCAGTTCAGCCGGTTAACTGCATCGAACGCCGAGATAAGAACAAACATGTTAAAATCGGCGTAAAAACTGAAAAACAGACAATACAAACAAATACATTACGTTGCACCTCTTGGTTAAAGCCGTATCTCTCCTTATTAGTGAATTTTAGTGAACATTTTCAAAATATACTAAACAATATAATATTGTCAAGTGAACAAAAACAGTTATTTTCACATTGTAAACTACACTAAAAATATATGAAAATTGCACCCAAATCCCCCCAAAACAACAACAACAAAAAACAAAAAAAACAACAAAAAAAACAACAACAACAACAAAGAAAATAGCCCAAAAGGTGCGTAAACTTAGTGACGCAAGAAATATGGTGATAAATACGTCCACAAAACAGTATAACATGTAAATTATTTTTTGAATTGTGAATGTTTTTACTTTTAAATCTTAGTACATTTTTCTCAAGATTGTTTTTCTTGAAATATTATGGCCTATCTGGAGGCATGCAGCTTTAACGTATTTTTTGTTAACTCAAAAGATGATTATGCATGTTTTATATACATACATGGAAGTCCTATCTGCGAAAATATAGATGGCTTATAAAGGATTCCATAAAAAAGTTATCTACATAATTTCTCCCTCTATGCTGATGAGATTTTCATATATTGTCAATTAAATTCAAAAAAATGAAAAGAAAAAAAAATCCACGGGTGAGTAAATATATGTTTAGTAGATTACTATAGAGACGATTATACTTTATGCTTTCATGCTTCATAACTATGTTTACAGGTCATATGTACGGTTTATGCTATAATCTAACATTTGATAAACTTTCAACACCATAGTTACTATGGTAACATAATAGTTACCTGGCTCTATAGATCCCCGGATGACTCCTATCACATTATAAGCTGTCACCATCTTGTTGCTTGTAGTTACTTTGATGTGTGCTTGCCTTGAAAAAAATAAATAGTGAAACATCATCAATCAAACACCATCATCATCATCATAAAAAATAACAACATCAACAACAACATCATCATCATCAATAACAACAACAGCAACATCATCATCATCAGCAGCAGCAGCAGCAACAGCAACAACAACAACAACAGCAGCAGCAACAATAGAATAACAACAGAACAACAACAGAAACAACAACAACACCATCATCATCATCATCATCAACAACAACAACATCAACAACAACAACAGCAGCATCATCATCATCATCATCATCAACAACAACAACAACAACAACAACAACAACATCATCATCAACAACAACAACATCATCATTAACAACAACAGCAGCAGCAACATTAGAACAACAACAGAAACAAGAGCAGCAGCAACAACAAAATCAACGACAATAACATTAACAATGTTAGCAGTAGCAACAACATATGAACGGGCCATAGGACACATAGACATAGTTACGATATTTATACAGAATTAATTGTGATAATTTTAAGTTTGATATCATATCCAGCAGTGTTTTTTTTAAAGAACTTTAATTTTTTTATAGTATCTGTTTAAAACAGATTTGACCTTGAAAACTATCAAATATTTATATGGATATAACCAAGGTTTGCTGTGAAACTTAATTCATCATAACATTAAAAATCGAACCCCTGAGAAACGTTCTATGATGTTTACAAATGTTTATTTTCTTTGATGTTTTTTTTCGTCAGGCGCAAATGTATAAACTGAGGGAACTTCAGTCAAGTGCGGCTAGTGGACACTGTATCTCCAACAAAAATGTCGCATCTAAAGAAAACACAATTCATGTGTTTGTTTGTTTCATTGGGTTTTACGTCACACCGACACAGTATAGGTCATATGGCGACGCTCCAGCTTTACTAATGGAGGAAGACCTCAGGTGCCCTTCCGTACATAATTTCAGGCCACGGACGCCCCTAATTCATGTGTATTGCAAACGTTACGAATTATTGAGAGTCCACAATTAATATTCAACGCTCAATGTTCATGGTTTGATATACATGTACATGTATTATGTTTACATTGCATTTAAATTTATAAATCAACATAAATTATTTTATTGCACTTTTACACGATATTATAAACAAAATACTTTAAAATTAAAATGAAATTAAGCTGCATTAAATTTCTGAACTGTCGCGTACTCGATATATCAATTAAATGAAATGAGCCGCGTCACGACAAAACCAACATAGTGCGTTTGCGACCAGCATGGATCCAGACCAGCCTGCTCATCCGCGCAGTCTGATCAGGATCCATGCTGTTCGCTTACCAACCCTATTACAAGTAGAGAAACTGATAGCGAACAGCATGGATCCTGATCAGACTGCGCGGATGGATCCATACTGGTCGCAAACCCATTATGTTGGTTTTGTCATGACGCGGCTCAAATATCTTTTAGCAAAGATAGAAATAGGATATTTACAACGCATTTAAGGCACATTATGCATCATAAACGATTACATTTTTACTTCTTTAGAAAGGGCAATCATGCTTTTATTTATAACATTTAAATCATGATTTTATAGCATGTTAGATGCTTGATACATAAAGACAGTGGCGTGAAATGAGAATCAATTTGTCAATAAACAAGCAAAATGTAAACAAAGTAGTATTTTGACTTCCATACAAACTACTAAATCGCTATAACTGTACTAATTGTCAAAAATTAACAGAAGAAAACATATTGTTTAGATAATTTGCAAATCAGTAACTTTTTGAAAAGTATAAATAAAAGCACACAAAATAAGAAGCTTTTGAGAAACATAAATAAAAGTATTTCTGCTGCCAATTGGCCTTTTAAGGTGAAGTGAAGTGAATATTAAATGAGCAATACTTGAAAGGAAAGTTCTATCTATCCGTATTTCTTTTTCATCTTGCATTTTCAAATCTATTATGTTTACATGTTATTACACAATTTAAATAACATCTTAATGTAAATATGAAATCCTTTATATATCTAATCCGTATTTAAACTTGGTAAATGATGGTTTTAGCTCGAGCCATTTATCAGACGACAGCACGAGCCATTTATCAGACGACAGCACGAGCCTTTTATCAGACGACAGCACGAGCTATTTATCAGACGACTGCACGAGCCATTTTAATATCAGACGACAGTACGAGTCATTTATCAGACGACAGTACGAGTCGTTTATCAGACGACAGCACGAGTCATTTATCAGACGACAGCACCAGCTATTTATCAGACGACAGCACGAGCTATTTATCAGACGACAGCACGAGCCATTTATCATACGACTGCACGAGCCATTTTAATATCAGACGACAGCACGAGTCATTTATCAGACGACAGCACGAGCTATTTATCAGACGACAACACGAGCCATTTATCAGACGACAGTACGAGTCATTTATCAGACGACAGCACGAGCCATTTATCATACGACTGCACGAGTCATTTTAATATCACACGACAGCACGAGCCATTCATCATACGACAGCACGAGTCATTTATCAGACGGCAGCACGTGGTCATTTTGAACGCAGACGTCAATAAGAATTGGCGTTGAAATAAGAACATAAAGCAAGGCTAGCACGAATATATCCGTGTCAGTGTCGTGTATTTCAGTTTATTTATACTCGCCATTGGTTGTCCTGTTTGTTTAGCGTGCAAAGTGTTTAAGCACGGGACCTCGATTTAAAGTCTCATCGGAAAGACTGATGAGTAATTTAAGTTGGCCAGCCCGGAAATCGAACAAACAATATCGAGATTACAAGTCGCGCGCTCTGACCGATTGACCAATGCGAGATGGTCTATTGTCAGACAATACTCTGTACAAGTTAAACATTGTGATATAGGAGTCAATGGGCGAATCAACCCATTTGATAAACACATAAAGATTTTGTTACATGACAAAAAATGCCACCATCTTGACTTCACCATTCTCATTTTGTTCTTCAAAGTGGCCTATATTTCTAAATTAAAACAAGAAACATGGCAATGCCATGAAACCAGGTTTTCAATTATCACCATTGTAGATAAATATGTTGTATTTGAAATACAAATACAAGCAACAAACAATGTAACTATGTGCAATGTAAAACATGAATAATGTAGGAGGAATTGCCACTGAAGAAGTGTTCACTATAATATTATGTATAAGGAAAAAAACAAAGGGCCATAATTAGGTCAAAAACTATCCAATCACAAAACCCCGACAATATGTGCCAGGGTGCTTGATGACAAAGCTTCTGTGAAAGTTTGAACAAAATCCGTTGAGAAATGTAGGACGAATTCAGCACAGAAGAATTTGTTCACTATAATTATATTGATAATTCTGTATAATGAAAAACAAGTTACAAAGTAGACATGAAATAATATATCATATCTTTTTTAAATTACCTCCAAAGATGATATGACCTTTGACTGCCAAATCAAGTTAAAATCATGTAAACAGGATTTTCAATGTTAATGTCACTGTGACCTTGACCTTGGAGCCAGCCATGCGGAACATGCGTTCTGCACGTCATCTTGATGTGGTAAACATTTGTCTGAAGTTTCATCAAAATTCTTCAAAGGGTTGAAGAGTTACAGAGCGGACAGGATTTTCAATGTTAATGTCACTGTGACCTTGACCTTGGAGCCAGCCATGCGGAACATGCGTTCTGCACGTCATCTTGATGTGGTAAACATTTGTCTGAAGTTTCATCAAAATTCTTCAAAGGGTTGAAGAGTTACAGAGCGGACAGGATTTTCAATGTTAATGTCACTGTGACCTTGACCTTGGAGCCAGCCATGCGGAACATGCGTTCTGCACGTCATCTTGATGTGGTAAACATTTGTCTGAAGTTTCATCAAAATTCTTCAAAGGGTTGAAGAGTTACAGAGCGGACACAATTTCGTTTGACGCCCGCCCATCCGCCCCAGCCGCCCATCCGCCCATCCGCCCGCCATACCCAATCTAATAACCAGGATTTTCAAAATTGAAAACCTGGTTAATAAAATCGATCACATACCATTTAGGCGTTTTAAAAAGCCATCGCCAAATCTGTAAGTAACGTTCATACCTCCGCGCCAGTCTTCCGGAACTTCTTGGCCTACAAGCTCCCTGAAACAACCAGATAAATTCAACAAAGAATAAAGCAAGAAAAACTATAAATTATGTGTATTCTTCTTTTGCTGCAGTTTTTTCCGTATCTGTTTGCAATTTTAGATGGAGATAATATCATAGAAACGCGTTGGCTCAATGTTAAGACATAGTAACTCCATTTTTCGCGAAATTGCGATTCTTGTTTTGTAAAAAATCGAACATTACACTCAGGTAAATATGTTCATGTAATATGTAAGTAAAGTATTATATATTATTCTTATATATCAGCATAATGTTTGGATTTAACCTCGTATATCAATATTGTACCTGAAGTAAATATTATTAAAGTGAAGCTACAAATTACATCTAAGTATCCATACTTAGTACTTTTCTGAAGCTCATGTCAGTATTGATATAAATTCTGGTGCCGAAGAGGAGTTGTATCGGTATTACCGACGCCCCTGTGTCAGGATTTAGGCATGTTCGGCCATTACATGATAATTCTCCGCCACATACATCTGAGCTTGTGGAGCAATTTTATAAGTCGGAGAAATTTACCGTCTTGCCACATCCACCTTACTCTCTACATCAAGCCCAATGCGACTTTTTTTTCTTTTCCCAAAACAATAAAAAGTTCTTATTGGTCGTTGACAGTACCTCAGAGGTCTACCAAAATCAGTGTACCGTGACGCATTTGAGTCGAATGTCTTTTAGACATCGTACAATACATATTACATATTGAAAATCCCTCATATATCGGTATTTTATGGGGAATTTACCTCATAAGTTTAATGGCGATGCCATATCCAATTGGATGACAAGGAATTTTAGGCATGTCTGGCGGAAGCTCACGATAGGCGTTTTCTGTAATGTAAAGTTTACGGAGTTACATACATTGTACAAAAGGATATGGTCTAGATTCCGTAATAATATGTTAACATTAAAGCCACACGCCTCCAGATGAGCCAAAATATTTCAAGAAATTCAATCTTTAAACAAAATGTATTAAGATCTTAAGAAAAGTAAAAAGATTCAATTTTTAATTAATTATCTGCATGTTATGTGCGATTAATGACTGATTTTGCAGTATCAACCGCGTTACTAACGCAGTAAGAGGTATTAATATGTTGACCTCGGTTTGGTAATTAACGTGGATTGTAAGTGCCGTTTGCAATGTGTAAATTACTTTCACTTCACAAAAGTTTACTTTTAAATACGTTTGTAATATTTTCATACAAATTAGCATGAATCTGGAGACATGCTGCAATAGTATCAAATCATCACAATATTTAGGGCTTTAGTCACGCATCATAAGATTGTAGTAAAATCTTAAGATACGTTTGATATCAGCCTAGATCAGTATAAAAGTACATATACTTTGCATAAAACATTTTTAATCAAACAACTCGAAGTAGTGAAAAACGTGATAAATGATATTTATTAAAAAGTAACCGGTAAAAAAAGGACAACAAGTAAAATAAGAAAAATTCAAGATATTTTTTTTACCAGTTGCTGGGTACCCGGGCGTTAACGGGTCTCCTTTGGCGATATAAATGACTCCTCGCTGGGTACCAGTCTCCGGAAGCCACCAGTCCTTTGGATAAACGTTTGTTATGTCACCATCTGTGACGTCATCAGGATCACTGAATAAAATTATACCGATGGCACCTCTGCGTGTCGCTTCCTTTACCTGTGAAAATACAATAGTTTTTAATCTTCTTTTAAAAATCTGGAAACAAAGTGATCCCTCTGAAGCATTAATCACAACTAAATTACAAGAGAATTGCAGACTCGGTTTGATTGAGTCTGTACATGAGGGATAATGGATACGTGCATCATCCCTCACGCCCCCTAGCACCAGATTTCAAGAGCGGTACTCAATTCTCAACACTTAATAGTGCTACTATCAATTATTTCGAAGGACCAGAAAAAATGTGACAACACTGAAGTGAAGTACGGGGCAATCTTTTACAGCTGCCACACAGCACTTTACACCTGCTGTTGTGAAGAATGAAAGTCTGGAAACAAAGTGATCCCGCGGAAGCATTAATCAAAACAAAATTAAAAGAGAATTGCAGACTCGGTTTGATTGAGTCTGAACATGAGGGATAATGAATACGTGCAACATCCCTCAAGCACCCTAGCACCGGCTTGAGCGGTACTCAAATCTTAACACTTAATAGTGCTGGTATCAATGATCCCGAAGGACCAGAAAAATATAACAACACTGAAGTGAAGTACGGGGCAACTTTTTACAGCTGCCACACAGCACTTAACTCACACTGACTTCGTTAAGTTCATATTGCAACTTTCAAGCTAAATTGTAAGAGGCAATTATGTTATGTCTTTCTGTACTTGCATTCAAAAAGCATATACGCAAAGCGTTCGTAAGTAAGCTAGATAGTTTTCGTGTATGTAGATGTCCCTTTAGAGATTCGAACCCATTGCAACAGAGGGCCAAGCGATGCCAAGTAAACATTTGTTTAGTCACAAAAGCACCTTAACTAAAAAGATTATTAAAAAAAAAGACCCAGCTTGGTAAAGTGGAAGTAAAATTAACTCTATTTCACCGTGTATATCCAGTAACGCAGGAATGTGCAAATAACGCAGGAATTGTGTAAAAGTAACGCAGAATTGTGCAATTTAGTGGCTAAAACGAGCACCCCGATAAGTAAATGGACCAATGTATTGGAAGAAATGAATAAGCGCATATGGTTGCTGAGATACAAATGTATTATACTTAAAAATATTTTGGTTGTTTACTTACTGTTATGTTCGTTTTGGCAATAGCGTTGCACCGATTCGGTGTTACTTTTTGGTTATTTGCACATTCCTGCTTTACTGGATATGCACGGTGTATTTAGTCGAAGAAAATTTATGTTATTTTCCTCCCACGAAAAATGAATTGCGTATCGTGTTTAAGACTATTTTTACCAATAATCGCTAAAACTTTTTGAGCATATATTTGATGACGTTTATAACTCACAAGTAAGTCAAATACAAAACGTATACCAGGGCCTTACCTTGTCTCCTCTGAAGATTTTCCCGTATCTTGCAAACGCTATTTTCCCTGTAATGTTGATGCTTTTGTTTTTCTCTAGATACTCAAAGTCCTCAACTCTTGCATAGTTCACATAAACAAGCGTTCCCTGAAGAGCAAAAAGAACAGTCATTTCATTTTTTAAAACCATGCCAAGATGTCTAAAATAAATTGCTTTTTTCCAAATGCTCAACTTGTTTTAATACTGCTAGTATATATCATAAAGGGAATACATTCACTAGAGATCTTTAAAATTCCGCATATTTCGTCAATGTCTAAGACCGAATAAGAGTTTTCTTGATCAACTAAAAAAATAATTTTGTCACGTGACTGCTTGATCACTTTATATCATGTACGGAAAGTGACGATATTGACCTTATTTAAACGAACTATTCATGAAATGTCAGGCTGACTTATCTAGAGCTTTATTATTTCATTAGAACAATGTTATCTCTCTTATTGAGAAATTGATCCTCATTAAAGCAGAAGTTACATTGACATCATCATCATCACCACCATCATCATCATCACCATCATCATCATCATCATCATCATCATGAACAACAACAACACTTACATAAATGTCCCCGGGAGCCGAATAAGCATTAAACGGCGGAACAATGCCAGTTTTGTTTTCTTCTGGAGTAAGAGTTGGTTCTCTCAAATTTGATTTATATATCGTCTGATTATTTTCATCTAGAATTTCCACATAATTCAGGTCACTCATGTTCGGATAGGACAACATGACATTGTACGGGGTCAAGGTCGCCTGGTCCAGACCAACATTATCCCAATGTTCCTTGAGTTTTCTGGCAAGCTCATGATTCTGTTCCGTTCCAGCTAAATGCGGTTTATCCGTCAGCATCCTGGAAGTAAAATGACGTGTATAAAATATCTGCAAAGGTTTTTGACCGAAACGGGTATGTAAACATAATATTTTCCTTAAACTAGTTAACCCGTATCACGTTTAATGTCATAAATGACCTTGTCCCTCTTTCAATATGGACTAAACCATTCACCACTTCTAAGGTAAATTAAGTACTGACTGCAGACCATGATCAGACGGCGCTGACTTGACGGATACTTTTGTCGGCACTGGTCACATGGTAAAAGCTGTTGCCATTAGCAGACTTAAGATGATTAAGAAACGAAATTTGGACGAAATATTGCACTCCTACTTGATTCAACTTGTCGGACTAACCATGCTGTACGTTTCTAATATCAAGAATGTCGATTGAAGGAACCTTTAATAATCTCCAGCCAATATAACCAATAGCAATATACTTTGATATATAGGATCTCACACGAGTTGCCATATTATATAACGTTTTATAAAATCAGTTCAAGAAATCTTTTTAAAACGAGCATCTGGCTCTTAGAATTAGGTTCGCAAACTTGTTCATCATTTAGACAACTTGAAGATTGTCGCAATTTACAGGTGCGATTTTAATTTTGAAACACCTATAAGTACAGTATATAATGATGATGAACATTATGATCGCTGCATGTAACAATGATTAATTAATTAATAAGTCATTAAGAATAGAAAGGAAAGTCAAATTATTGTTTAACTACCGAAAATACGTAAACAAGGATGTGGTTAACAGTGCGGCCATATAATCATTAACATGTCGCTCCTATAGTATTTCACCATTGTTTGATTTGACTTAATTCATTTGTCTTACACGTATAAACATGTATCATTACATTAAAATTTACTTTCTTTTTTAATTGTATGCTATATCTATAGAAATATTCAAATGCAAAAGTATCACAATAATTAGAAAGACGTAAAAATTATAAATAAGATACACTTCGCCGAACAAAAACCAATTTGGGAATATGATACTATTATATTTTATGGTTATACGTTTTGTATAAAATTATTAGATATTTGAAGCGTTGTTTTGACCAACTGAAGGTTAAATTTGGATCACACTTGAGCTTGAGTATCACTTATGTATATGAACTTTAATTTTGAGCTAGTTTTCAGAGAAAAACCCGTAACAAACCGTATTGAAATTGAATAAATAAGCTAGACAGTTTACACATGTAGTAAATAAACGTAAAGTTGGCAGATGCTTGTAAAGGTAAATGGACTTAAATACAACTGCATGTACATCCTTATAACGAAATCTTGATAAGTAGGTTTTCTTTTTTGCGGCCGTTTACCATCTCACGCGAGTTTAAGTAAACAGGGTGAAGGTTTTAGATGTTGCAAGCCATTAAACAGTACGTTTAAGCACGGATTTATATTACAAAATAAATCAATGGTTTAAGGTTATAGCACCATCATTTGTTTTATTTAAATGTAATGAGCGTCTTTTAAATCAACTTGAAGGTAAAACAATAAATCTTTTCATCAAAAAGTTTTAGATAAGTTATACAAGATAAATGAAATGTTTAGGAACTATTTATAGATTTATACCGGGATGAAATAAATCGATTATTCATTTATTTATTTAAATACCTCAAATTTTGTCGGATATTTTCAGTGTTAATATTCTTGATCAGTTCGTCGCTTATGTCGGGGTCTCCATCTTTCACCAAATTCTCTGCGACGCCGGGAAGATATATCCCACGGGGGACCTCTTCTGGTTCTTCATCCGGGCATGTTGCAAACCGACCAATCAGAATGCCGATAACAAATGCAGCAATACATCCGACAAGAAACACTATTAGCAAACAGCGCGTGTTCGTCTGTTTGGCTGGCTCGGAAATCGACAATTTTGTCATTTTTCGACCACTACAAGCCCTACTGAAAGGAAAAGAAACGCCGCAGCATTGGCTGTTTACTGTTACAACAAATTGATAAATATAGTAAATTGCAAATTTTTGCTTATTATATAAAATGTATTGAATGAACAATTCTGGTAATTTTCAATTATTAAGCTGAATATTTAACTTTATATAAAAATACAGTCATACAAAATGATTAACAGATTTTTTTGTTGGTGTAAATTAACCATCAAGTTCAGACATATCCTTCTGCATTCTTTACATTTATTTATTATTTACTTACTTTAAGAAGGCATAATTTACATACAAATTTAAATCCCCGTAGTTATTAAATAAAAATACATGTTATTGTATACAAAACTGGTCATTAAACCAGAATCTGAAATACATTCGTAAATATGAAAATCAACTTACTTGGCGCACCAGTTGTACTCTCCTATGAAACCGGATAATGAAGTGTTTAATTTAACCCATAAGTTATATTTGAATCATAGAGCGTGAACAATATGATGGTCGCACGTAGTTTGCTTTAAATTTCAATTCATTCCGGACGTGAAGAATAAAAAAACACATTCATGTTATTTGATGTTTATGTTTATAAAAATTATCATATACCGTATATGTTTTTTTTCTCTCTCTCATTTCTTTGTTCACGTTGTACTATATTTGTAATTTGTATTTTATGTATCTCTTCATTATTGAAGAAAATAAAGACATCTTATCTCATCTTAGTAATACGCTTATGTTAATATTATGCATATGTCTCGTATATTAAAGGCTGGTTGATATATTTGTAGATAATATAACTTGTCAAAAGTTTTCGTAGCTTGTTTGTTTTCCGCATTTGCTTTGCAAGAAAACGCAAAGCAGCCACTATAGTATGACCCATTCAATTAAAAATAAAGGTCGTATTTTACGTTTGCCGATGGTCCATTACATATTAGCTTTATATTGAATGTAACCATTCAAACTTGACAAAATTGCACTAACATGATTGTTGTATTTGAGTTTATTTGAATTCGCCACCATTGTTGTATAATCTCGGTATTATCTTTGTGAAGTGATTAATGGTCTTAAATAAACTTAATATGTTAGTGCATTAAAATCAATTTACCATATAACATTTTAAATCTTTGAATATGGAACTATTCATTGTAAATTTTCGAATTTTTGGTATAAATAATTCAATAGCAAAGTGTCTGGGACAATAAATGGATGTAAAGTCTTTGCGCACACTATACCGGTGGCCTTTGGAAAGTGATGGTCTCCTTGAACTTGCCGGGAGACCTTGCAATATATAAATCTGACGAGGAGCGGCCGTCGCCGAGGGGATAAAATTGTTGACCTCAAACTACTTGCCCCTTACCGCTGTTGGTCCGACCTTTGAATTCTTTATTCAATCAGCCAGCTGATTCTACTCAAATACCCTCTCGTGTCAGAAATAACGCACGAAGGTGCACAACCAGTGAAACTGAAAAGTCGCCAAATCATCATAATTGTGTCCCAACCGAAAAAAATATCAGATAGACAGCCTGATATAACCAAACGGGAGAAAAGAAAACACAGTGCATATGGGAATAAAAGAAAAAGGATTTTCAGCAGCTTAAAGTGATCTATACGTTACCTCTGAAAAGTGTATTTTATACGGGAAGTAAATCTCCAGTTATGAAAACGTTCGGCGTTTCGAAATTTGTTTCCCCTTCCTTTGTCTGCAATGATACGAGTTGCTGTGCTATCGGGAGACAGTATAAAAGAATAAGTTTCTTTGTAAATAGTATGAAATAAAAAAATGTAAATGTTATGTGACAAAATCACTGTTCATTTTTTTTCAAAGCGTGTCCATAATTCTTGAGTTTGACATATTTTTTTGTTATACGGGTAGCAAAAATAATAAATAAATTGCTCGTTTCAAGTCACATGTTATATGTTTATCTTTGACCAAATAAAGCGGAGACTAAGGGGAAAATGTTTATCTTAAATGCATAGTAACGAATTTTTTGATAAATTTTTTTATTCTTCTTTTTACAGTACAGACATTACATTTGTTGTATCGCGATGTATTCCTGTCCAGATGTGTGAAGCATCACCCTTCGTAAAGATCAGCCTCACACTTATAATTTCGGCGATTAAAATATCCATCCGTCTTTTAGAAAGATATATTTTATTTTTAACATAAGCCCTTTGATATAATTTGACTTGAAGATAGTATTTTATATAATTCATTATTGTAGATCCTTATAATAATCAATTTCAATCTACATTCGCTTTTGATATCCTCGGAAATGTTTGCATGGGTCATGTACATCTAGCTTATATGCCATTTACCATGAATGCTGCAAATGTCTTCAAACATAATTGTTATCAAACATAAACGTTCACAAGAAAAAAATGTTGTTACTGGAATTAATACAAACACGAATACTTTAATGTTTAGAACTTTCGTATTGGCAATTTCATTGTTCAATATATATTGTCATTTATTAGATTCGTGACCTCAAGAAGAGCTTTTAAACGACACACTTTGCAACACTGCCGTCTAAGACAAGGATCATTTTAAAGTAGCATGCAGATTGTTCATTGCCAATCATTTATGAAGCTACAGAAGCTACTTCGTTTAACTAAGTACTATAAAAAAACAACGGATTATTCTATATTATATTGATAAGTTTGTCTATTGAGTAGTTATTTCTCTTGTATTATACATACTCTTAAAACAATTGTGCGGACTTCGCCTTTGAAGCCTTTCCAGAATTATTTTTCTACTCGCCAGCAGGTGTCAAGTGCCGTACTATAGCAGCTGTAAAAAAGTGCCACGTATTTTACGTCAGTGTTTTAAAAAAAATATTTTCAGGTTCTTCCGGATCATTGATTTCAGCACACTTTTTTTGAAAAACCTCTTCAAAAATAACAAAGTTATAACCACGAATAGCAAAATTCAGAATAAATAAGCATATTAAAACTAGAAGGTCAATGCCATTTATGAACAAAGGTCAAATTTAATCGGGTCTACTTGATGGTCTGGTCCCGACGGTTGTTGTGACCAAGTATAAAGACAATCCACTAAGAACTTCAGACATTATGATCAAGGTTAAAGTTTGCGGAGGGCAACTGGAACGCCGACATGAGTGTAACAATACATCTATCTTTTTTGAGCTAAAAAAAAGATAAAATTGGTAAATTTGATAAGTTTTTTTTTCAAATTTCACAAGGCCACATGCCCACTTAGGAAATGCAATATAACGCAAACATATATATTAATGGCAAGACGACGTGCAAAAATAAATATACAAAGAAGATAGATTTAAACAACAACGGCGAAGTTTAACAGTCAATTGCATGTTAAAATAACTTGATATTAATAGTATTTTATATTTAACCTTCTTATTTGTCCTTGAAGATCTACCGATAAACAGTTGTGTGCAAACAATGTGTGCATACCATTATCAAGTCATTATAATTAATACAATACCTATAATTATAAATAAACGACTTGTGGTGGGTAATTTGGATAAACAAGTAATAGAGGGGATCGAAACACGAGGCTATCTGATTTGTACACCTATTATTTGTATCATAGTTTACGGGCCTTTGTTGATCATGTGTTACAGTTTAATCATTTACATACCTATAAACATATAAACAAATGCACAAATCAGAGAATATATGTTACGTTTAAAACTATACTCACAATGTAAACACTTTCTGTCATTAAAAAACAACAACAACAACTTGCAGATTCAAATCATTCTGACAAATGCTAAGGTATGCAGCTTCAAAAACATACAAAATAACAATCAAAAACAAAAAAGAAAAAAAAGGAAGAAAGAAAGACAAGTAAAAACAACACCCCCTCAACAAAAAAACCCAACTCCTAAAAAGAAAGAAAGAAAAACAACCAGAATACACCCCAAAATAAAACATTAAAACCTCATAAATCATCACTAATAATTCAATGGTATGAACTGTTAAAATAATCGTGCATTACACAAGGTGAATGTTTACAGCTGTATAAGGCCCATTATGCCTAAGAAGTGCTTTTTTATTTTTATTGAGCTTTTGGGTTTTTTTTTTGTGTTTCCAAATGGTTACTCATCAGAAAATGATCTTAGCACATATTTCGTCAGTTACTTTAAGGCAAGTAGTACAGTGATTGAGTATTTTTATGGAAGTGAAACAAATAACTTCGTTGTTTACATTTTGCTTCTTTTAAAGATATACTGTTATTTTGCATTTATTGCATTATTCTTCATGTAACGGGCATCTAACATGCTAAAAAATCTGGAAACAAAATGATCACAACAAAATTACATGAAAATTGCAGACTCGGTTTGGTTGAGTCTCAAAACCATCATTTAAACGTTATAAAATTCATATTGCCTTTTCTAAAGAGACAAAGATTTTTTCGTTTCTGATGAATAATATACATTTTTTAAAGTAAAATATATATATGAGATTCAAGATACTACTTAAAATTTTAAAAATATTAGCAATTAAACTCTGATATTATTTCAGAACTTCTGTCAAAATGTTATTGAGCAATCAATCGAGCAAGCCTAATTAAATGATATCAACATGAAATCAATGCTTAAAATATATAAAGTCATTATCTTGAAGATCCTTTTAACAGGAAAAGTTTTCTTCTTAAAAATGTCTCACATTATATCATTGTACATTTTAACAAAAATGCCAGATCAAAAGAAGAGGCCATTGTCAATTTCATTTGAAAATGCCGACCTTAATGTACTGATTTCAGTATCCCCGCCGGTCATTCCGAACCCAATATCTTTGAGAAGATGATTTTTATAGGAGTGTTCAGCTTGATTTAGTGATTCATTGGGAAGTTTTCGATACAGATCAAAACGAAGAGCATCCCGGTGTGAAGGGTAATTGTGGAACATGTGACCAATCTGAGAATTTGAGTAAAAGAAATGCGGCAAATGTTTCTTCTCCAAACTTGTATGTAACAGATTTACGAAAAGAACCAAGGCTCGTTCCATATCATCAACTCTCGTATGTGGGTATAGATGGCAGGTATACAAAATCAGATACAATGCTATCTGCTTGAGGTGGTAAGATTTCAGCACTGTGACAATAGGAGGCGGAGGTCTTCTTTCATTTTTTGCAGTCGTCTTCGTTTTGGTAAAGTAGGTCTTCAATATGCGTAGAGCAGTGAGTATATATTTCTGTTTCTGGGATGTTCTTGCAACATCTAAGGTATATCTTTCATAGCCAGCTGAATTGATATGCCATACTAACATCTGATCTGCAAACTCTAACGATTTTACCGCTTCTTCCTCTTTCCACTTGCAGACAGCATGTATCACCGCGTTGACAGGACGGCCATTATATTCTGTATCACTATCAAATCTTAAACGTATGGCGGGAACGATGTCCAAATCAATTTCTCGAACGATGTCAGAACGGTTTCTGATTTGACCTTGATTCATGAACAAATCGTTTGCGTCGTCGTCAAGATGTATCGTTATATTCACAGCAGGAGGATTCATTTTTCTGGAAATATGAAAATTTCTGGAGCGTGGCATTGCTTCTATTTTCTCTTCTATAGCGCGGCAAGATTTGTCAATCAGTGACTCAAATACGCTTTGGTGAATCATACGAGAACTTAGATAAACGGTGCCATCTCTTTCTTCAAATACACTCTCATGCCAAAGCTTTGGAAATCGATCCTGTAAATATTGACTGCTTGCGTCTACCTTCAGGTAACAAAATCCAGGGACATATTTTCCACTTTTGTAAATGGGCTGCTCTAAAAGACGTAATCCCTCGATGTGAAACTCTAGAACAGTATCAAATTCATCAGGTTTAATTACTTTCAGGCCATCTCTTGAACTGCCTTGACGAATGTAGGAATCAATACGTAGATATTCGTAGTCGGTTGAAGCTTTTACTCGCAACTCCTTCAGCAGTAATTCCATGACAGCATCGACGGCATCTCGAGAACGTGCCCATTCCCTTCTTCCGAAGTCTATTTCACCTTCGAAAGCAAAAGGACTTACGTTTTAGGTAAGTGAAAAATACTTGTGATATATTTTGAACATTTTTTTTGTCTAAAAGTAATTTTCATCACATGTTAAAGAAAATGTATATATGTTATAAAATAAGTAAATACAGAATGCTGAAATTTGAGTTGTAGAAAAAGAAAAAAAGAAGAGCTAATACCAATATAAGGTGATGCTTTCAAGTTGACAACCCACTCCGCATTGCAGCTAGAGCCAAATTCTGTTATTGGTCTTTGCCATTGGTTCAATGCTGATCCAAGTTCATCCTTTTGATATTTGTAAAACATGTTTATAAAATTTAAAAAAAGAACACAAAAAATTGCTGCGATCATATTATATCAAATGTCATAAACATATAATATCCTATTATACATGTACTTATTATTAAACTAGAACTCCGCGATTCGGATGTGTCGCCTTGTGAACAGTATTTTCGTCTTAAATATGGGTTATTTATAAACACCACTCTAACAATCTAGATGTACCTTGAACTTCCGTGGAATTTGAACTGATTGTAACAATTTTAATCAGGATTGATGTAGATTGAATAGCTTTTATTGTGTAGGAGAATTGGCCCGGACAAAAATAAAGTATAATATTTAACAAAGGGCAATAACTCTTAAATCATGAAGAAAAACCGGTCCTTTTGCACTGCTCTTCTTCTCAATGAGATCTGTCATCCTATGAAGTTTCAAGTCCATAGCTTTTATAGTTTAGGTGAAATGGCTGGGACAAAAATAAAGTATTGTAATCAACAGAGGGCAATGACTCTAAAATCATGAAGTACAGAGTACCAGTTTTTGTGCTTCTTCTCAATGAGATTTACCATCCTATGAAGTTTCATGTCCAAAGCTTTTATAGTTTACGAGAAATGGCCCGGACAAGAATGAAATATGAAAATTAATAAAGGGCAATAACTCAAAAAATTATCAAGTCAAGAGTACCGTTTTTTAAATATCACACTGTATGTCAATGAGATCTATCATCTCACGAAGTTTAAAGTCCATTGCTTTTAAAGTTTATGAGAAATGGCCCGGACAAAATTAACTATGAAAATTAACAAAGGGCAATAACTCAAAAAATAAGAAGTGCAGAGTACCGGTTTTTGTGCACTGCACTTCTTCTAACTAAGATCTATCATCTTATGAAGTTTCAAGTCCATAGTTTAGGAGCAATGGCCTGGACAAAAATAAAGTATGAACCTTAACAAAGGGCAATGATTATAAAAATAAGAAGTGCAAAATGCCGGTTCTTGTGCACTGCACTTCTTAGTAATGAGGAATATCATCCTATAAAGTTTCAAGTCCATAGTTTTATAGTTTATGAGAAATGGCTGGGGCAAAAATAAACTATGAAAATTAACAAAGGGCAATAACTCAAAGCATAAGAAGTTCAGAGTACCGGTTTTTGTGCACTGCACTTCTTCTAAATGAGAACAATTATCCTATGAAGTTTCAAGTCCATAGCTTTTATAGTTTACGAGAAATGGCCTGGACAAAAAAAAGTATGAAAGTTAACAACAATGACTCCGACGCCGTCGACAAAAGTAACCCATATATGTCGCCTTTTTCAAGGCGACACAAAACCCAACAAAATACCGAGAAGAAAAACAAACATAAAAAAGCAAGAAAGAAAAAAACACAGTTGTGGAAAAAGAGATACTTTTCAAAAGCTATAATTTATGAAAACGTAGACATGGTTTGATTGCGTATGTACGAGTATATATGAGTGGCAATTAACTCTATCCTTACAACAAGAATCACGGCTTAAAAAAGATCCAAAGTTATTCATATTCTTTTAATTTACGGTGTAAACTATCATAGTTTACAAACCATTAAAAATACTGTTTTTTATAGAAAACCTTGAATATGTTCTGCTTGCGATAATTAAGTGCCCAGTTTAAAGCACAACAAAATATAAAAATACCAATACAATGACAATTTCTTTGTATTTCTTTAATACATTCAAAAATAGACACAGAATTACGTCAGCAAAGGCATATCTGTTACACAAATCTACCCCCTCATCATCCCGCCCGTGAGATCACAGACACATACGCGCATTTGACACACAGACACATGCATGCACGCACGTACGCACACATATAACACATACACACACACATAGTTGTATTTGTTTCTAAAACGCATGCGGTGTAGAATAACATGAACATATACAACTATAAAACAACAGTACAAATCAACTAAAAGTAAACAGACATACCATGACACGACTTACAATTCGTCTTGAAGCAATACCTATATCCTCGAAGTCCGTCGATACTCCTTATAACGGTCTGGATTATTTCGCTATTAAAAATGATTCAGAATTTATATACTGCGCAATATTGGAAATGCATTTTTGGAAAACCAGTCACGACTTACATGCATAAAATTGATTAGGAAATTTAGGTCAGACATATGTTGATACTATATCATTTATATTGTGTATTATATCCCCAGATATTTACAAATCAGAGTAGTTTATCTAATTTAAAAGGCGTACATACTTATTTGATAATACTAAATAATGATCTACGGAAAGTCTCCATTTCTGATATGTCATTCAACCATAATACTTGATAAGCTTTATAACGGCTTATGAACAAAGTAAAACTTGGTGTTCTTATATTAAACATCTTGCAAGATATATGTTTGCAATACAATTCCAGAGAAGCATAATTTCCGTGCCGTACAACTTTAACCTACACACGTATAATCTAGAAAACGTAGATAGTTTCAAAGTACATGGCCAAATACTATATGGACAACAGAGTATACGCAAGACGTGGCCGGATACTATGTCTACCCAGACAAATCGTGCTAGAGAAATCATGGAAACCAATAATCTTTGCACGAAAATTCTTTGTAAATGGCAGTTACTCATCTAAGATAAGTAAGTTGTTGCAGGGATAATTCAACTTTGTGCTGAGTTATTGTTTAAAAAATCGAAATACTTTTTCCATGAAATATCAAATAGTGAGCCCCATGTCTACATCATATCAAAAGAAAATGCCTTTCCCTATCTCAGTTGAAATCTCCGACCTAAGCTTTATGATGTCTTGATCACCGTCGGCTAAGGAGAATCCCAAAGCTGCAGGAAGATGATTTTTATAAGAGAGATCCGCTTGTTACAGTGATTCATTCGGAATTTTCCGGTACAGATCAAAACGAAGAGCATCATTGTGTGTAGGGTAATTGAGAAACATGTGACTAATCTTAGAATAGGAGTAAAAGAAATGCGGTAAATGCTTATCTTCCAAACTAATATGCAATATATTCAGAAACAGGACAAGAGCTCGTTCCACATCATTGATTCTCATATCCGGGTAAAGATGACAGGTATACAGAATCAGATACAATGCTATCTGCTTGAGGTGGTACGATTTCAGCACTGTTGTAATAGGAGGCGGGGGCATGTATTCATTTTTTACAATTATCTTCGTTTTTGTAAAGTAGGTCTTCAGTATACGTAGAGCAGTGAGTATGCATTTCTGTTTCTGATCAGTTCTGGCAACATCTAAAATGTACCTTTCGTAGCCAGCTGAATTAATGTGCCATACCAAACCTTGGTCAGCGATTTCTAAAGACTTTGCAGCATCCTCTTCTGTCCACTTGCAGACAGCGTGTATCACGGCGTTAAGAGGACCGCCATTATATATGCTATGATTGTCTTACCCTTAAATGTATGGCAGGAACAATGTCCAAAATCAATTTCTCGAACGATGTCAGAACGGTTTCTGATTTTGCCTTGATTCATGAACAAATCGTTTGGGTTGTCGTCGAGATGTATCTTTATGTTCACAGCGGGGGGATTCATTTTTCTTGTGAAATGAAAATTTACCTTTTTAGAGCGTCACATTGCTTCTATTTTCTCTTCAATAGCGCGGCAAGATTTGTCAATCAGTGACACAAATACACCTTGATAAATCATCTGAGAACTTAAATTAAATGTGCCATTTTTTTCTTCAAATATTTTCTCCTGCAAAAGCTTCGGAAATCCATCCTGTAAATCATGACTCTCATTGTCATTCTTTAAGAATAATTATGATAGATGAAATGTCTTGTACTAGCTGCGTCGTATTTCTTCTTCATATTAATCTTATTATAGTATATAAATCAATTTAATCTAATTTACTTGTCTTCATCTGATTTAGAAAAAATCTGGAAAAAGGGTGATCCGTCGGAAGCATGAAAGACAACAAAATTATATGAAAACTGCATAATTACTCAGTGTGATTATTAAACAGTGCAACAATCCCTCACGCACCTCTAGCATCGGCTTGAGTGGTACCTAATTTTCAACACTTAATATGACGTTATCAATTAAATTTATGGCTATATTCGTGTTTCATTTAATTATCTGCATTGCATACGGTATAAATACTTCTACACAGTAGAGTAACGAAAGTTCTGTAGCCAATACAATTGCATGTGCATAAAGTCTTGCGACTACAAGCACTTTTAACTTCTCAGCACTGTACCTTTCTCGGCAGCCAATATATTTTAACTCGTATCTTTCTAGAATAAACAGAAAGTTTACTCGTTTTAATTATGATTCAATAGATAACATCAACAAATAAATTTGATAAACAATGATTTAAAATATTATATTATTAATTTCATCTAAACACGAAATAATCAAAAACCTATAACATAACTGAAAAATGTTTCAAAATTAATACAACGGCATGTGTTGATTGAACATCTTGTAACGTGTGGGTTATTCAACATAACATAATTTGTTGTTTTCTTTAATTTTCTGCAATCATATGGGTCAAATAAAGTTCTTTCTTGACTGTTGTAAATGTGTAAAATTCTGGAAACAAAGTGATCCCTCGGAAGCATTAATCACAACAAAATAACATAAGAATTGCAGACTCGGTTTGATTGAGTCTGTACATGATGTTCATTTGTTGGTTAATGTATTGAATTTATTTCTGTCTCAAACACAATACAATGTACATGAAAGATTTGATTCATAGTTTAAACAAGATATATTTGGCAATTAGTCAATCATTTTCAATTTCTCGTCTAATGATTGAAATCGAAACAACATGCCTGCAGCTAATTGTTCTTTCAAAAATAGATGCCTTTACCAATTTCATTGGAAAATTCCGACCTTATTGTACCCGCCTCATGGTCTTCGCCTCCTGTCCCAAACCCAATATCTTTGAGAAGATGGTTTTCATACGAGAGCTCAGCTTGACGAAGGGATTCATTCGGAATTTTCCGGTACAGATCAAAACGAAGAGCATCCCTGTTTGAAGGATAATTGTGGAACATGCGGCCAATCTGAGAATTGGAGTAAAAGAAATGCGGTAAATGCCTCTTCTCCAAACTCGTATGCAAAAGATTTACGAATAAAACTAAAGCTCGTTTGACACCATCAATTCTTATACTCGGATAAAGATGGCATGTATACATGATCATATATAATGCTATCTGCTTCAGATGGTAGGATTTCAGCACCGTGACAATAGGCGGCGGTGGTCTGTTTTCACTTTTCGCTATCGACTTTGTTTTTGTAAAGTAGGTCTTCAGTATTCGTAGAGCAGTGAGTATGAAGATTTGTTTATGGTCGGTTCTAGCAACATCCAAGGTGTATCTTTCATAGCCAGCGGAATTGATATGCCAAACCAAAACTTGGTCTGCAATCTCTAAAGATCTTGTAGCATCTTCCTCTTTCCACTTGCAGACAGCATGTATCACAGCGTTAACAGGACGGCCATTATATGTGGTATGACTGTCTACCCTTAAACGTATGGCAGGAACAATGTCCAAATCAATTTCCCGAACGATGTCAGAACGGTTTCTGATTTGGCCTTGATTCATAAACAAATCGTTTGCGTCGTCGTCAAGATGTATCGTTATGTTCACAGCGGGAGGATTCATTTTTCTGGTAATGTGAAAATTCACTTTTCTGGAGCGTTGCATTGCTTCTATTTTTTCTTCAATAGCGCGGCAAGATTTGTCAATCAGTGACTCAAATACACCTTGATGAAGCATACGGGAACTTAAATAGAACGTGCCATCTCTTTCTTCAAATACCTTCTCACGCCATAGCTTTGGAAATCGATGCTGTAAATCTTGACAGCTTGCGTCTACCTTAAGGTAACAAAAACCAGGGACATATTTTTTATTTTTGTAAATATGTTGCTCTGAAAGGTGTAATCCCTCGATGTGAAACTCAAGAACAGTATCATATTCATCAGGTTTGATTACTTTCAGACCATCTCTTGAACTGCCTTGGCGAATGTAGGAATCAATACGTAGATGTTCGTAGTCGGTTGAAGCTTTAACTCGCAAATCATCCAGCAGTAATTCCATGACAGCATCGACGGCATCACGAGAACGTGCCCATTCTTTTCTTCCGAAATCTATATCACCTGGAAGAAAATGGTGATGGTAATAATAATCATGAAACTATAAGCTTCATTTGGAATAAAATTGCCGTTTAAGGTGTTGTGTCAATGGCAACAGATTATCAATTACGTTCTCTTTCATTTGTTTTAATAATTTACCAAAATTGGTTTTTTATCATACGCACACCCATTGCTGTGCCCATTTGACCTTTCCTGTTTTAAGGTTCTTTGTTGGTACCTTACTAGACCTGAGTTTCTGGATTTTGTTGGGGAATGCGTTAATAGATTTCGCCTTGTCGACCTTATTTCTTATATTTCATTGTTTAGGACTAAGTACAATTATACCAAATGTCTTTTATAACTAGAAATATGTAATCTAATATGATATTGTAAACAAAGAAAAACAAAACCAAGGGACATAGAACATGTGATATTCTTCGTAACTATTTTTTTTCAAAGAGCAGTGTTGCAAGTAATTTGAAATAAACGTTTTACCAATATATGGCGACGCTTTCAGTTTTACAACCCACTGTGGATCACAGCCATAATCGGTAATTGGTCTTTGCCACTGATTCAATGCTGATCCAAGCAGACTAGCGCCCTCATAGCTCTCCTTAAGGTATATAAAAAATCTAGATAATTGTGATCCATGGAAGCATTAATCATAACAAAAATTGAGGACTCGGTTTGATTTAATCTGGGTTATGAAAATGTGCATCATCCCGCACGGCTGCTAGCTCAGACTTGAGCGGTAGTCATTTTTCATTTCAATACTAATCAAGTATGACAATACCGTTTCATTACTTCCGGCAATCCTTCTCAATGCACAACTAATATCGGCCTCCGATACCCCTGTCATAGGTCCATATTGCATCGCCAGCTTTTTTGTATAATGATTAAGTTTTATTAAACTGCGCAATATAGGAAAGTACAGTGTGCATTTTCGGAAAACCGATAATAAACTAGATACTTGTAGATTGTTCATAGGGAATATATAAATAGCAAATTTAGGCCAAGCATTCATACGGTATTAAAAGATACAACAGGAAGTAAACAAAATATGATTTGAAGATGCTCAGGCAATTGTTTTTAAATTTGAAAATCATGAATGTAGCAAAAAGTTTTTTTCTTTTTATTAAATCATTGAAATGTAAAATGTCAATAGCATAGTTTTGAAGAATGTGATCTTTCGACACAACAAAACACTTTTAATGAAGAAATATAAAGTTTGGTATTCCATTTCATATATTTAACAAAAGCCATTCAATACCAAAGAAAACAACAACACTCCCCCCCCCTAAAAAAAAAAAACAAACAAAAAACAAAACAAAAAACAACAAAAAAAAAACAACAAAAAACAACAAACAAACCCAAGACCAAAAGCAAAAACATGTGGAACTTATCTTTTCATTTTAATTTTTAATTTCTATACCATTCCTATACTAGTTAATTTAATCATTTCTTTTAATATGAAATTAGGCAAAGCCTATGAACGGGGAAGTTGTTAAAAAAATTCCTTTCATTCTTTCTGTTTTAAAGGTGTCATTCGGTATTACATGCACCGCTTCCGTTTTCACTCGGAAGACTCGACAAGTATTATTGATCCGAAAAGTTGAGATTTGTTCCGTTATCGGAATACTCCGCCTATTATCATTGAGTTACTGTAAATGGCGGCGCCCGACTAGAACTGACACCGAAAATTTCATTGATAGGTAAAGAATTCTATATTTTTTAATTGTTTTTTATTTGATTTTTTTTTAAATATACACGTGTAGTCTATAGCCGGGCAAGCCAAAGCCAAAGACTTTGACTTCCCCGTATTATATATTTTTTCCGCTCATAATACGGAATATAATACGAAATTATTTTTTGATTTTTCATGTACATGTAGTAACTGTACATTTAAAATCACAGACTGAGTGATATACTGCGACTCAAGGTTAATACTCAATTGTTCACTAGTTAGTTTTAATTGAGTAGAATTATTTTATTCAAAGAAATCATCATATGTACATTAAATTTGCCAGTTATATAAATGTATCATTGTATCGTGCCTTACTAACAGTAAGCTGTCAATCTCGTATAAGATGTTGTAAAGTCATGACTTTTTTATAACTTACCGACTCAGCTATTGGTGTCTGCCGTTGGTTCGGTGCTGGTTCACGTTGCCTAACACGCTCATATAATACCTAAAGATGTATAAAACTATGGATAAAAACTATTGTAAATATTTCGAAATAAATCATGTGGTTAAATATACATAGAATTATACATGATATCAAATTAAATCAAGATAACTTAGTACGTTGAAGGAATTGTATGTATACGCTTGTATATAAATACATATATCATGATATATTAAAATAAGGCATACACAAACAAAAAGCAAACGAAATAAATTATATATGCATAAAACTTTTACATCTAGTCTGCTCATCACCATTATATAATTTAGCTTTAAAACTAGGTCTTAAAAACTTAATCAATATTTTATGATATGTAATTTGAGCATAGCATATCTAAATGTTTAAACAAATCCCCACCTACTCCTACACCGAAACCCATTCAATTAGGTAGTATTTGAATAGCAAATACATGGATATCAGATTTAAATCACGCAATAAAAAGAATACTGCGTTCAGTTACGACACATGCATTTTAAAGAAGATTAAAATGAATTAGATACATGTAGGTTAACTGATTAAATAATAATGATATAAAAACATACGTTGAAATTACTATATATGAAAATGTATCGATGTCATTGTTTTCCAGCATTTTCATGTACATGATCATGAAAAAATACTTAGTTAAGAAACGCTAAAAACAAAGAGAAAAGAAATCAAGTAAGACAATACCGTTTCAGTACTTCCGGCAATCTTTCTCGATGCATCACTAATATCGTCCTCCGATACTCCTGTCATAAGTCCGTAATTCATTGCCATCTTGATGTTTAATAATTACTTGATTTTAAACTGCGCAATATAGGAAAACACAGCGTGTTTTTTTTTAGAAAACCTATATAGGTAATATATAAGTAGCAAATTTAGGTCAAGGATTTTTCATACGGCGTTAAAAGGTACAAGAGGAAGTAAGCAAAATATTGTAAAATGCAATTGTTTTTATATTAACCATGGATAAAAACTATTGTTAATATTTCAAAACAAATCTCATACAAGATGTTCAAATATACATAGAATTATACATGAAATTAAATTTTAATGTGTTGAATGTATATTGTATGCATATGTATACGCTTGTATGTGAATAAATATGTATATCATAATAATGCATTTGCGATAAAATAACAAACTAACAGAAAACGAAATTTATATTTCATTCATATTTTTTTACATATTGTCTGATCACCCACCATTATATTTTGTTTAGTTTAAAAACTAGATCTTTCTCATTTCAAAACATAAAAAATGTTCGAACATTCATGCTTATACTGTGTCAGTACATTCGGTTATCCGATCCGAAGCATGTCTAATATCGTGGTTGGATACTCATTTTAAAAGCCTGCAATGCTCAGCCATCTTGATAAATGTTTAAACAACGTTATAAACCTAAATGTTTGCCCTTCTAGAATTAAAAAAGGAAACAAAGTATTCGTTTCTGAGGCAAAGTGTGCCTTTAAAAATGAATCATTACAATTATGCAAGCAATGTTTTCCAAAACATATAATTTTACCATCCATTTAAAACCTTACTACTTAACTCTATGGCAGCAACCTTAAAGTTAAATATCTCTTCGTTTAATGCTACAATGGATTTGCTTTTACAAATGTCTGAAATCAATTTGGAATCAGATTTTAATGTTATCTTTTAATTCACATTAAAGCGTAGCTCAAACTTTTGATGTCAAGCAATCTATCTTGAAAATGCTTGTAAATTTTACTTTCATAATGTAAAACAGAAAGAAATGGTATTTTTCTTTCTTCTATCATATGCTTTAACTAATTTATGAAACTACACATTGACAAATGCTGAAAGACAAGTCCTTTGAATAGAATTTTGTTTTCATCTTCGCAAGAGGTAAATTAATAGTAGTTTTCGTTTTGTTAATTAAATTTAATTGTAAGTTGCATCATATTTTTTAAAAAGAAAAACGCACTCAGCTCCATTATATTGCGCAGTTATAGTTTTACATTGCACACATGGCGGAGCACTGTCCATCTTTAACAGGAATATCCGGGTAAGATAGTAATGCTTCAAGAATCATTACAGAAAATATTAATACGGTATGAGCAGAACTATTTTTATTGGAGAAAAAAAATCTAATTTCTAATAAACAACTGTAGGCATTCATAACATTAATAAAACATATGTATGGGAAAATGTATTATATTAAAAACTGTATTATTTGTTTGGCCTGTGTCGGTTTATTACATGCTATGCTTTTTTGCGATATTAAGTAGTTGCAATACCGCAATTGGCATTACAATAAATCTTGGTGACGATGCAAAACGATTTGTTCATGAGGCAAAGTAAAACTAGAAACCGTTGTGACATCGTGCGAGAAATTGATTTAGACATCGTTCCTGCCATATTAAAGAGTTGACACGTACACCAAATACCGTATAATTTGAACGCTATGATACACACTGCTAGGTCTCAGAAATTTGAAGGATGAAGATGCTGCAAAATCCTTGAAAATTGCGGACCAACATTTGGTTTGGCATATTAGTTCATCTGGATATGACAGATACAACTTGGATGTTGCTAGAAATTACCAACAACTCACCGCTCTGCGCATTTTGAAGACCTACTTTAACAAAACGAAGATTGAAAAAACAACAACAAGCAAAACCATCAAACAAACAAAAAACTTCATTTGTAAAAGATTGTTTCTTTAGATTGATGCCATGATGTACACAATTAACCTATAATAATAAATCTAAGAGTTTTACAATGTTTCTCTTCAGAATTTATTATTTTAGTTGATAAAATGCAATGACTGAGCATTCGCGCGTGATTTTATTCGTTAAAGCATGTTTATGCCTCTCCGATGATGTATTACTGCCAACATATTTGAATATTGAAGAATACTAGGTTGTTTATATGAAGAAATGGCAACAGTGATACATAGATAACGTCATATAAATGTTAAATTTAGAAAATTTAATAAAAAAACATCTCAAACTGGTTGTTGCTGTAATTGCCACTATAAGTCCTTATGGGCAACAAATTTATTAGTTACCCCTTTTAAGCGAACCGATACAGAAATCCCTCAATTCCATGAGAAACATTTCTGGTCATTAACGTGCAAAGGGTAAAACACCAATACACGTGACCCAATTTGACGTTGTTTGAGTGTCTCGTTCAAAATGCCTATTAATACTTGTTTATTTTCAAAACTTTATATACTGTTATCAATAAACTTAAGGTGAGTATTCGTGTTCCATTCAATTATCTGCAATACACACGGTATAAATACATCTACACAATAGCAAAATAATTATACATCTACACAATAGCAATATAATTATTTAATTAATTTAAGGAAAGAATCAGAAAATGATTAAATTACTGAAAATGGTTTCAAAATTATTACAATATGTTGATTGAAGGTCTTATAATGCACCTGTTTAATTTTGAAATGTTGCATAAAATATTTACATTATGTTTTGTCTATTTCCTTCATTAATCTTATGGAACAAATAAGTTCTTTCTTTGATCTATGTATTGAATAACTTTTGTGTCAAACACAAATAATGTAAAAACTATATAAAACTTAGATCCACAGTTTACACAAGATATGTTTGGAAATAAGTCTATCATTATCAGATTGAAATCGATAAACACGCCTCCAACTAATTGTTTATTCAAATGTAGAATCCTTTACCAAATTCAATTGGAAATGTCCGTACTTAGTGTACCCGCTTCGTGGTTCTCACAACCTGTCTCAAACCCAATATCTTTGAGAAGAAGATTTTCATACGAGAGCTAAGCTTGACGAAGTGATTCATTTGGAATTTTCCGGTACAGATAAAAACAAAGAGCATGACTATTTGAAGGATAATTGTAGAACATTTGATGCTGATCTGAGAACTGGAGTAAAAGAAATGCGGAAAGTGTCTCTTCCCCAAACTCTTTTGCAAAAGCTTAAGGAATAAAACTAAAGCTCTTCTGAAACCATCAATTTTTATCCGCGGATAAAGATGACATGTATACATGCTCATATATAATGCTATCTTCTTCAGATGGTAGGAGTTAATATGCCAAACCAAAACTTGGTCTGCAATTTCTAAAGATCTTGTAGCATCCTCTTTTTTCCATTTGTAGGCAGCGTATATCACGGCGTTAACAGGGCGGTCATTATATTTGGTATGACTGTCTACCCTTAAACGTATGGCAGGAACAATGTCTAAATCAATTTTTCGAACGATGTCAGAACGGTTTCTGATTTGGCCATGAATCGTTTGCATCGTCGTCAAGATGTATCGTTATGTTCACAGCGGAAGGATTAATTTTTCTGTTGATATGAACATTTCCTTTTCTGGACCATGGCATTGCTTCTATTTTCTCTTCAATAGAGCGGCAAGATTTGCCAATCAGTGACTCAAATACACCTTGATGAAGCTTACGGGAACTTAAAAAGAAAGTGCAATCTGTTTCTTCAAATAGCCTTTCCCTTCAAGGCTTTGCAAACCAACCCTGTAAATATTGACTGCTTTCGTCTACCTTGAGGTAACAACAACCAAGAACATATTTTCCACTTTTGTAAATGTGCTGCTCTGAAAAATGTAATCCCTCGATGCGAAACTCCAGAACAGTATCATATTCATCCAGTTTGATATCTTTCAGGCCATCTCATGAACTGCCTAAGCTAATGTAGGAATCAACACCTAGATATTGGTAGTCGGTTCAAGCTTTTACTTGCAATTCTTTCAACAGCAAACTTACATCCCATCGCACCTAGAGCCAAATTCTGATATTGGTCTTTGCCATTGATTCAATGCTGATCCATGTTCAACTTGACTCACATTGTCATCCTTTTGATATATGTAAAATATATTGATAAAATTAAAAAAGAAGAACACAAAACAGTTGCTTTGATCATATTATATCAAATAAAATGTTTATGAAGTCTTAAACATATAATGTCCGATTATATTATTAAACAAAAAATACATACCGACATAAAACAAGCTTCAAATTTAACACAGTTGTAGATAAAGAGTAGACTTTTCAAAAACTATAATATATGAATACACAGTTTGATTATGTCTGTACAAGTACATATGAGTGGCAATAACAAATGACCTCTTAAACTCTATCCTTGAAACACGAATCATTTTCACAATAAAGCGCGATCAGTGATCACATGTGTCGCCTCATATTAGCCAATTGCATGTTGCAGCTACTGGGTAGCAGGAAACAGAAAAATTATTAACAGGACAATACGCGTTTTTATATTAAGGGCAATAACTCGGCCAAAAAATCATTCAAGCGGAAAACTCGTGTGTTATTTCAAAGTACATGAGATACTGATCAATTCTGTAAAGCTTCAATGAAACTGTATTAGTGGTATAAGAGGAGTAGTCCGGATAAACTTTTAAAATGAAAATAATTAAAGGGCCATAACTCCTAACAAAACCATTCCTGTGAAGTTTTGATGAAACTGCACTACTAGTTTCCGAGAAACAGTCCGGGCAAGTTTCTGTGTAGCTGGAAACACTCACAAAAACACCTTTTATTCAAGGGCCATTACTCGACCAAAATCATTCAACCGGAAAACCCATGTAATATGCACAAGGACTTAAGCTAAAGATCAATCCTGATAAGTTTAATTGGAAGTGCATAAGTGGTATAAGAAGAGAAGTCCGGACAAACTTTTGAAATGAACAGCATGTAAGGTCGATAACTTTGCCAAAAAAATCATTGAACCGGATAATGCCGATATTTTGCACAACTAGACTCAGTAATGATCATTTCTGTGTCTGAGGAGTAGTCCTAACAAGTTTTGTAACGGATGAACGGACAGACAACGGAGAAGTGATCGTTATATGTCGCCACTACTCTGTATAGGTGACACAAAAAGATCCAAAAGGTATTCATGTTCTTTTAATTTACGATGTAAACTAACGCAGTTTAGACTAAAAAACTGAAATTATTTTATGTAGAAAACCTTGAATGATAATATAATGCTATTGTTCTGCTTAAACCACAACAAAATATGTATGTCGTAAATAAAAATACCAATGCAATGACATTTTCTTTGTATTTCTCCAATACATTCAACAATAAGGACAGCAACGGCATATCCGTTACACAAATTACCCCCTCCCCGCGCTTGAGAACACAGGTACATACACACACGTGGACAAACACAGACACACGCACGAGCGCGCTCACACACAACACAAACACCAAGTTGTATTTGTTTCTTAAACACATGCGTTGTAGAAAAGGATGAACATATACAGTCAGTGTACTAGGCAATCAGAATCACCTTATGATAAGCGTTATTTTTGCAATATTTTGGGGTGCTTTTGGTTGTAACATTCATATAACATAATAAAAATAATCTCAAAGAAACATGATCTAAAAATCGCAGAATTGTCACACGGCTTACCACAGTTTTCTTGAAATCTTTATATCAAAAACTGATGAAGAAAAAATAGAAATCAACATGAAAAATATTTAATTGATTATTTCAAAACATTAGACAAACATTTAACAGTAACTACAGAAAAGCTCATTTGAAAATATTAAGGCCTTCTTTTAAAACAAAGGTTATCTAAACATCTTGTCATTCAAGTAGTTCTGGATCACTTAAAACATATATTTCCTTACACACAAGTGCTGATTTTTTTTTTAAAAACTTTATCAACTGATTCTTTTGTCAATGAGAACATTAGGAACGTATCATTTTGTTTATATTGGTGAATAAAAAAGAAATAAAATTATGTGAATCGGATTGCCTTAGATTCGGATTACCTACACATACTGTACAACTATAGAACAACAATACAAATTAGCTCAAAGTTTATAGACTTTCAGCAATTCTTCTTGAAACATTACTTATATACTCCGACAATACCCCTGATAACGGTCCGAATTGTGTCGCCATTTTGTTATTTTATGTACTGCGCAATATAGGAAAGGAATTTTTTGAAAACCAGATATGACGTAAATAATTGATTAGGAAATTAAGGTCAGACATGTGATTAAGAAATTATATATCCCAAATAGTGTTTTTATCAAGCGATAAAATCACCGATTTGGATATATCATTTCGATTCTAACACGACATCAACAAATGAATACTACTTTACCTAATATTAACCTAAATTGACAAGAAATGTAGGAAGGGGATTGAAAATAGACGAATTTCAGTTGAGTCAGTACAGATATTTAACTGACTAAAAATGAAACGCAATAATTAAACATGGAAATAATAATGACACACATTTTAAAGAAGGCACTCTTTTATCTGCTTTCTTTCGGAGCACGCTTTACCTGTCAATATTTTAATTTTTTTTATCAACATACGATCTGCAAAGGTTCTTTAAATTTCTATATCCGTTTAAAATACAAGGTATAATTCTTTTGTTGTGATATAAATGGGTGAATGCGTCCTATTTATTATGTAACTGATTGTCATTATTGATTTCCGTGCACCGAGTGAAAAAAACACGTTTTGCAATTAGCCGTAAAATTACAGCTGGTTGCGGATTTGTATCGATCCGATAGCTATGTACGTCCTAACAAATCAATGTTCCAGCTAACACATACATTAATTGGATAAAATTAAACTTTTGAGTCTTACCGGAAAACTCTCGCATTATATAACTCAATCAAAGAATAACTTGTTACCTTAGATACATTAACACTCTACTCCATGTAATATCCGAAAAAAGTTTAAATATATAGGTATCAGTGATCGGATGTAACATGTGTTACATGGTAAACATTGCATTGTATAGAGTACATTTATCTACTGTGATTACGCCCTATAAACACCCGCTGCAATGAAAAATAAGCAAAAAGGATCTGTGAGAAAGAGCAAAAGACTATATAATTTACACAACATGGAAGGTGTTGTAAAAATTGTCACTGAACTAGCAAATGGTTAAGCTACACACAATTCATAGCATTGCAAAACTTCACTATTTTGAGTGCCTTAGTGATATTGTTTCAATTTTTTCTTTGTTTTTAGCTCATTATCGTAAATTGTGTATAAAAAGAAAAGCCGAAAGCCATGTCTCTTCTGTGCATTGAGTTATACTTTTTCGATATTTTTACAATTTATCTTTACCTTAAAGTTAAACATTTCACAAGACTTTAAATTATTCAAACTCTTTAACATATAATAACCGACCGACCGACCGACCGACCGACCAACCAACCAACCAACCAACCAAACAAACAAGTCATATCAAATTACTAAAAACATTATCTACAAGAAGCATTTGGTTAGAAATATTGGTGGAAAGTACAATGCTACATTAATACGGAGTTATTGTTCAAGAATAAGGCAATGGTATGCAGTTATTGCCCTAGCAACTAGCCCGTTCAATGTCAATGTTTATTATTGTTACTATTTTAGTATTCATTTTGTTTAATATGTAATGGATGAAACCCTTAATATTATAGTCCATAAATGGCTTTATCGAACGCCTTAACATAATGAAATTAAAACCTTGGTGTATCTATCCTGCAACATCATTTTAATATAAAAGTTTCATACACTAATCAAGAAAGAACAATTTCGGCCTTTGCAAACTTTGACACTACACACGTATTACATAGAAAAGGTAAATATGTTTTATATGTACATGGCCAAAACCAAAAGAAAAACAAGAGCTCCGCCAAGAGATATACTCCCTAGACAAATTTGTGCCTTAATAGTAATAGTAAACAAAGAAGTATTTTGACTTCCATACATCACTCTTTTATCAATATTTACAAAAAAGCAACAGAACAAAAGATGGTTCACATAATTAGCCGAATAGTATGTTTTAAGAAATATAACTGCACAGCAAAATTAAAGCATTCTGGGGCATAACGTGTCTTTAAGGAAAACTTTTTATCATTTTGCGAGGTTGGCGTTTTAAGTTAAACTATTTTATATTAAAAATTAATCCAGTAGAATTACTCTCAATGATGCTCTCAAGACATTTCTTGTCATTTTGCAAGACTTAGCTATCTATTTATGATAAAAATCGAAAAGAAAGTTTTTATCTATATGATAGAAAATGTGTCTTTTATGTTGAAGAACAATCGCAAACTATCAAACTATATAATTATACAAGTTACTAGTTGTTCAAACTATATTCCTATTTTGTTGCCGACATGTTTTACTTTACAGTATGCGTGTCTTAGCTCATAAAACTACTGCATTTGTTTTTGAAAATCGCTTTATATCGTTTCTTATAAATGTATACGTCTGAGATGTGTTCTGTCAAGAACTGAACAAGATACTCATATCTACGCTCTTGTCGAATTGTCATTTAGCATACTATGAAACAAGTTCAATTCGATGAACCCAAAACTATAATTTAATAATAATGTGTATCACGTGACATGGTGATGGACGGAGCGGTCAATTTAGCTCTTATTAGTTTTGATTGTTTTTCTAGTCTTGGATTTTATATTTTAACTGTTTTCTGGATAAAACAGTGGATTTATAGTTAAACTTGGTGGTGAACTCTAAAAATGGAAAAACAAGCAGAAATTATGGAGTTAAATAGGCACTTTGCATCCAGCTCTGCTCGTGCACGGGGGGAACATCATGGCGGCGGTGACATTGACCCATACGACTGGCGTACTAAAACCAAACAAAGCTCCAAAAGGCAAAGGCGTTCCACTGGTGGAACCTATAATGAGCAAATATAGAGGTGTAAGTCTGACCCCTTTTCTATTGAACAGTTTAAATCTATGAACTTGGATGATAAACTCGTGACACTGTTTTAAATGCTGACGTGTACAAACAATAACACAGATAATTTAAATGCACGTGTATCAAATGTTGAAGACGATATTGTAAATCTGTCTGATGCTAATGTGCAGCTAAATAGGAGAGCCAAACCCCTTGAATATAAAAGTATTGACGCTGTAACTCGTAACCGTAAAATACCTTAGTTTTCCGAGGTATAAAGGAAATTTATTTATCCGAAAATTGTGATTCGCTTGTAATATCATTTCTTCGTGATGAACTTGATATTGACCTTACTAATATTTGTGTAATACGTGCTCATCTGCTTGGAAAAGTGAACCCGGGGAAGACACGGCCAATTATAACCTGTTTCAATGATTATCGAACTGTTGAGCATATTTTATCTCGTATAAATTCAAAGGTAAATACAACTTTGGCATAAACAAAGATTATCCCAAGGAATTTGTTGAAGCAAGGTCACGCATCTGGCCTAAATGCAATGAAGAGCGGTCAAAAATCCCACTAAAACTGTTTATATTGGCTACCCCGCAAACTTTTTGTGAAAAACAGAGTAGTGCAAGATAAATTTTCACTTTGGCAAAACGTTATGCAAATGTCACGTCACATAGAACGCACGTCGGCTAAAGGAGATACCATTACAAAAAATATATGACACGTTGCAAACAATCAGAAATGTTAACAGACGACAATTCTAGCAGCAATAACGAGGCAGATAACGTAGATAAATACAGCCAATCAATGCGCGATTAGGAATCACGACAAAAAGACAAGCATTTTGTCTCAACAGCATCACTACGTGTTACACCGGACGCCGGATTCCGTGCCTTTCACAAATGTGGATACGACAGTCAATTTAACGACTAACAGCCATTCCTAGAGTAATAATAAGATGTTCAAATAATAAAAAAATCGATGGTACTTTTTTCAGTTGCTCAGTTGCCATGTTACTTTTTATATTATATATTGATATACCATGTATTGTACACTCTTGTGTTGCTATATTTAACTAGAGTTAATAAGTGTTGTTCTGTTCTGTTCAATAGAATTTAAAGTTTATCTTTTTAAAACAATCAAAAATCTTTTTTTTGTCCATGAAATATCAAAAATTGAGCCGTAAATCTTTCTTTGTCCATGAAATATCAAATATTGAGTCGTATGTCCACATCATATCAAAAGAAAATGCCCTTCCCTATCTCAGATGAAATCTCCGACCTTAGCTTCCCGATGTCTTCATCACCGTAGGCTAAATAGAATCCCAAAGCTGCAGGAAGATGCTTTTTATATGAAAGCTCAGCTTGGTTCAGTGATTCATTCGGAATTTTCCGGTACAGATCAAAACGAAGAGCATCATTGTGTGTAGGGTAATTGAGAAACATGTGACCAATCTTAGAATTGGAGTAAAAGAAATGCGGTAAATGCTTATCCTCCAAACTAATATGCAATATATTCAGAAACAGGAGAAGAGCTCGTTCCACATCATTGATTCTCATATCCGGGTATAGATGACAGGTATACAGAATCATATACAATGCTATCTGCTTGAGGTGATACGATTTCAGCACTGTTGTAATAGGAGGCGGGGACATGTTTTCATTTTTTGCAATTGTCTTTGCTTTTGTAAAGTAGGTCTTCAGTATGCGTAGAGCAGTGAGTATGTATTTCTGTTTCTGATCAGTTCTGGCAACATCTAAAATGTACCTTTCGTAGCCAGCTGAATTAATGTGCCATACCAAACCTTGGTCAGCGATTTCTAAAGACTTTGCAGCATCCTCCTCTTTCCACTTGCAGACAGCGTGTATCACGGCGTTAACAGGACTGCCATTATATATGGTTTGACTGTCTACCCTTAAACGTAGGGCAGGAACGATATCTAAGTCAATTTCCCGAACAACATCAGTACGGTTTCTGATTTGACATTGCCTCATAAACAAATCGTTTGCGTCGTCGTCAAGATGTATCGTTATATTAACAGCAGGAGGATTCATTTTTCTGGTAATATGAAAATTCACCTTTTTACAGCGTTGCATTGCTTCTATTTTCTCTTCAATAGCGCGGCAAGATTTGTCAATCAGTGACTCAAATACACCTTGATGAATCATACGAGAACTTAAATAAATGGTGCCATTCTTTTCTTCAAATACTTTCTCATGCCAAAGCTTTGGATATCGATCCGGTATAACTTTACCGCTTGCGTCTACCTTGAGGTAACAAAAACCAGGGACATATTTTTTATTTTTGTAAATGGGCTGCTCTAAAAATTGTAATCCCTCGATGTGAAACTCAAGGATAGTATCAAATTCGTCTGGTTTGATTACTTTCAGGCCATCTCTTGAACTGCCTTGGCGAATGTAGGAATCTATACGTAGGTGCTCATAGTCGGTCAAAGCTTTAAATCGCAACTCTTTCAGAAGCAAATCCATTACAGCATCAACTGCTTCTCGCGAACGAGCCCATTCCTTTCTTCCGAAATCTATTTCACCTGGATAAGAAATACACACTTCATATTAATTTGTTCGATTTCTGATATAAAATATTAGTGATTAATACTGAAGGAATCTTAAAGCTTTTAGCCTTTTTTATAAGTAGAAATGGTCATATTATTTTGAAGAATATAACATTTTCATTCAAAAGTCATTTCGTCGTGTTTAAAAAATGTAGAAAAACAACATAGTACCTATATAAGGCAATGTTTTTAGATTGACAACCCAATCTGGGAAACAGTTATTGCCAAATTCTGTTATTGGCTTTTGCCATTGATTCAATGCTGATCCAAGTTCTCCATGACTCTCATTGTCTTTCTTTTAATATAATTATGATAGATAAGTCTTATACTAGCTGTACCGAATTTCAAATTCATATAAATTTTATTACAGTATATAAATTATATTAAATTAAATGAACTTGTCCTAATCTGATTAATAATTTTTTTTATTTAAAGCAGATATATTGACATAATTAAACAGCAATTTATTAATCGTACGTTTAAGAAACTGATAGCTGGATAAAAGAAGTAATGTAAGAGTTATTTCAATGAAATTTAGTTTATCAAAACCGCGATAACGATCACTTACGCCCAAACCTTACAACAATCTCAGTAAAATCAATAAGTCCCGAATGCTAAATTTTAAGAATGGTATAAAACATACTTTTGAAAATAGACCGTTCCCCAAGTCTGTTAGTGTTATTTATACAGTAGCACACTTAACAGTCAACATGTTTCGCTCGTTGCTACATAATTTAAACAACAAAAACAACAACAACAACAACAACAATTAAAATTAAACACTCATTTTGACCATTTCTTTTGGTTAATCTCATATTTCTTCGGTAAATTAAACAATAAAGTTTTGAGATTACAAGTATTTAAGCAAAAATATTTCTGTAAAACCAATATGTAATGCTGACTTTTTGTCTCATTTTCAATTCAAGCAGTGTACCCAATTGAACATATACAAGCATATTACTACAGAATATATTAACCCAAAAGTTAAATCACATACCGTGTTACTACTTTCAGCAATCAACTTTGAAGCATAGCTTATATTTTCCGCCACCACTCCTATAAAAGGTCCGTATTGCGTCGCCATTTTTGAATTCAATAATGGATCGGTTATTAGTTGTTAAGAAATATTGTAAAATGCATGCAGCAGTTTTGAAAAATTATTTCGATAAAAAAATAGGTCAAGCACTTGTTAAATGGCTCGATTGTAATTTATAACCATCGCCTGTTGTATGAAAAGAAATAAATCTATGAAGTTTACACAGTTGTAGATAATTTCCGTTTCTTTCTATTGATAAATAATAAAACACGTTTCAACTTAATCAATTCAGGTTCTTGGCTCAGGTACTTGCTGTATAGAAATGTTAGGTGAATGGTAGACGCAAAAAATATACATTTTATGAAAAACGTTAATAGTGATAAACATTGGTAAGTATATATTGAAAGCGTCTTTTATTGTCACATTTTAGACAAACAGCTGATTGAAATTTACATAAAAGACATTATTTAAACTTAAAATGTTGCTAATATCATATTATCAGATCTAATATCTTTATGATATCCTATTTAAGCATGACTGTCAAGTTACAAATACAAATGTGTCATTATAAAAATAACGCATGTCTCTCAGGGTAATAGTGCATATAAGCACCCCGAGAACTAAAATAACACCCGAGGCTACCCTCCGCCTCGGGGGTTATTACAGTTCAAGGGCTTTTTACCTGAGATACAGATACAATTGTTATTTTTATACCGAACCAACATTTTGATAAAGTAAAATATTTTAATATAGTAAAACGTTTAAGTGAGCAGAGCGGCCAGGGGAATTAACTAAAACGTTACCTGTTCTTAAGTCTATATATTTATACATGTTCCTGGGGAATATTGCAAACAATTACAGTCCGGGCGATATTCATATCGAATTAATACCATATTACGTCACATTAGGCTATACAGTATACAGTTTATATGAGGTGTAATAATAAACAAATGTTTCCTCCTGTCAATTTACTTTCAACAATGTATTTTTTTTTCATTTTAAATTCTAAATTTACAGACAATTAACATTGCTTGCTACACTGTTTAATTCTATATCTCTTGGGTTTGAATGTCAATATGAAAGTCATTGCAGAGGTACAGTTGAAGTGACCGGATGAAATGATTACATGACAAAAAACAAAGTCACATGCATCGTCCCGGAGTCAAACCCGGATCGCCTGATTCACAGACCAACGCTCTACCTACTGAAATTAGCTAAGTTGACGGAAGTTAAAGAACAGTGCATTTATATTACATAGTTGTTTAAATGGTCTCCCTTTATAATCTTTATAATGTTTATCCGGAAAATAAAGGGGATTTAAGGAAAAGCTATTCAAGGTGTTTGATATAAAGTTCATGTACAGATATATTTTGTGATTTTTTCATGACTATAGAGAATTTATCTAGAAACAAATTGATGAAAAAGGGTTGGGCCAATCTTTACCCCTACTGTGATGATTGATGTAACAATAGTAGAGGTCCAATTAGCAATAATACATGCCAAAATCTTAGCTATGTGCATTTTAATTTCACACGATGAAACTAAATTGTGGTTTACTATATCATTTTTGTGACCCCTGGGGCGGGGCAAATGTTTGCTCAAGGAGAATAATTTGTATCAGGTTTGTGGAGGACTACACAGGCAATGCTACATGCCAAATTTCTAAACTTTGGGTATAGAATAAGAATTCTTGTCTTTTTCTAACATAAGTCTATATAAATCAAGTGACTTCCAGGGCGAGGCAAATATTACATTACATCTTTCTAAGCTCAGGGTCGCACTAATTCATTATGTATGAATTTCAAAATTCCGTGTCCGCTCTGTATGTTTTAAACAAATGGTAATAAATTAAAACTAGTAAACAGAAATGTTAAATCTTACTTATAATGAGACAATGTCAATTTTCAACACTTAATATGACGTTATCAATTAACTTAATGGGTATATTCGTGTTTCATTCAATTATCTGCAATACATACGGTATAAATACTTCTACACAGTAAACTAACGAAAGTACTGTAGCATGACTAACACGCCAATACAATTGCATGTGCACCATGTCTTGCGACTACAAGCACTTGCTACTTCTCAGCACTGTACTTTTCTCGGGAACCAATATATTTTAACTCGTATCTTTCTAGCATAAACAGAAAGTTAACTCGTTTTGATAGTGATTTTTATCTACGTCAACAAATAAATTTGATAAATTTCATACGTATATTATAATCAGAATTGATAATTGTATCAGTAATTTTTATAAAACAAGCAAAAATCATCGATACAATAATTTATATGAAGATATAAGATAAAAATTTTGAAAAACCCATAACAATTACAATAAATTTAAAATATTATAAATTATTCATTAAAACAAAAAATCAAAAACCCTATAAATAACTAAAAAAATTTTAAAAAAATTAAAACCCAAATAAATTTTTGGGGGGTTCCCCGTTTTGGGAAAAATTCCCAAATTAAAAATTTTGTTTTTTTTTTAAAGAACATATTAAGTTCTTTCTTCTGTAAAATGTTCAGGGGTTTTGAAAAATGTTTTTTTAAATTTATTTTTTCTCAAACACAATACAAGTACATGAAAATTTTGTTTCATATTTTAAAAACAAGAAAATTTTTAAATTTAAAATCTTTTTTTTCGTAAAAAAAACATCCTAAATTGTTCTTTAAAAAATAAACCTTTTACCATTTCATGAAAATTTCCGACTTATTTAACCTCGGTTCCCTCTTTTTTTCGAACCCAAATCTTTGAAAAGATGTTTTATACGAGATTCGTTTAAAGGAGGGTTTTCTTTGGAATTTTTTCGGTACAGATAAAAACGAAGAGCATCCCGTTTAAAAAATAATTTGGGAAAATGCGGCCAAACTGAGAATTGGGGTAAAAAAAATGCGGGGAAAAGCCTCTTCTTTCCAAAATCGTAGCAAAAAAATTTAGAATAAACTAAGCTCGTTGAAAACCCTCAATTCTTAACTCGGGAAAAAATGGCATGATACATGATCAATATAACTATCTGCTTCAGATGTAGGATTTCAGCACCGTGACAATAGGCGGCGGTAGTCTGTTTTCACTTTTCGCTTTCGACTTTGTTTTTGTAAAGTAGGTCTTCAGTATTCGTAGAGCAGTGAGTATGAAGATTTGTTTATGGTCGGTTCTAGCAACATCCAAGGTGTATCTTTCATAGCCAGCGGAATTGATATGCCAAACCAAAACTTGGTCTGCAATCTCTAAAGATCTTGTAGCATCTTCCTCTTTCCACTTGCAGACAGCATGTATCACAGCGTTAACAGGACGGCCATTATATGTGGTATGACTGTCTACCCTTAAACGTATGGCAGGAACAATGTCCAAATCAATTTCCCGAACGATGTTAGAACGGTTTCTGATTTGGCCTTGATTCATAAACAAATCGTTTGCATCGTCGTCAAGATGTATCGTTATGTTCACAGCGGGAGGATTCATTTTTCTGGTAATGTGAAAATTCACTTTTCTGGAGCGTTGCATTGCTTCTATTTTCTCTTCAATAGCACGGCAAGATTTGTCTATCAAGGATTCAAACACTCCTTGATGAAGCTTACGGGAACTTAAATAAAAGATGCCATCTCTTTCTTCAAATACACTTTCCCGCCAAAGCTTTGGAAATCGAGCCTGTAAATATTGACTGCTTCCGTCTACCTGGAGGTAACAAAATCCAGGGACATATTTTCTGTTTTTGTAAATATGTTGCTCTGAAGGTTGTAACCCTTCGATGTGAAACTCCAAAACAGTATCATATTCATCCGGTTTTATTACTTTCAGGCCATCTCTTGAACTGCCTTGACGAATGTAGGAATCAATACGTAGATGTTCGTAGTCGGTTGAAGCTGTTACTCGCAACTCTTTCAACAGCAAATCCATTATGGCATCGACTGCATCTCGAGAACGTGCCCATTC